CATATATATATGTGCCATATGTGCTCGGCCCATCTCTTTGCGAATCCCAGAGGCTGCTGTTGATGTTGGAACAAAAAGTTAAATAAACGTTAAATGAAAAATTCAACTCAATTGAATTCGTTAGCGCGAAATGTCGTTCTTGTCGTTACTTCATCATCCCGTCATCGTTGTTGTTGCTGTTTCTGGCCTTCCCTGCGCCTCTGCCATTGCTATGGAAGGTATTCAACATGCCCATTGTTCATAAGCGTGTTGAAAATAAAGACATCGGATATCCAGGAACCTACTAGGGGAAAGAACGAACAATTCTAATATTATTATCATTATCTAATACTTTTGCGAATTTTCATGAATTATGTATGAAGCGATTTCGTGAGCACGTCTGTGTTAAAATATTTAAAGGTTTTTCTTAAGTGTATGATCACAATTAGTCGATCGTTCATCATTGATAATACAAATATAAATTATATTGTATTATCAATATAAAAATATTTTCAAAATAGCAAACTATTTCTAAAAAAACATACAACATGAATCATCATATTTATCCAGAAAAAATATCAATAAAAAAGGAATAAATATTTTTCATATTAAAAAAAGTAGCGTGTTTACTCGAAATATAAAAAACTTACTTCAATTGGCCTATAATTATGTATATATCTATAATTATATATCGACAGATATATGTATGTAGATATGAAGTAGCTTTTTTAAACATTTATTAAAATCTACTGAATGTGCATTTTTGCAGAAACTATAAAATATTTAATGATTTCAAATAAATTAAATAAAATAATTTCTAGTAATAAGTAATAAGTTACATAAACGGAACGATTCTAAGAAACCACATGAAATACTCATTGGCAATCAATTCACAATGTGAATTCATTATTAAATGTATTAAATGTAAAAACTTTGAATTGAACTTTGAACTAAATGTTCTGGAAGTATATTTTTTATATTATAATTTATAATACAAACCTTTTCATCAGAAAGTGGTATTTTATAGCTGACGATAAATCTCACTTAAATCATGTACATTTGTTCGAATTTTACGGCAAACTGAATGGGCTTAGGTATATTTCGTCTTATATGAAAATTAAAAGATAGCTATTATACACATAATTATGTTAATTTTAAATAAAAAATTTTCACATTTGATATATGACACTACTACCTCCTCTGATTCCAAAGTAAAAACATGTTTCAAAATCTAGTACATACGTATTTCGATATTATAATTTGTCCTTGATAATTTACATAGTAAACGTAATTATTTAACCTGAAACCTTTGAAGCTCACAGTTTATGCCTGAGCTTGAGATGAACCGAAAGAAGGGAGTCCAAATCGTGATTTTGATTATACTATGTATTTTATTTGTGCTTCATCTAAGATTATCTGATGAAGTCTTGTTGTTGAAGTTTTAAGTACGTGCCGAGATTTTGTAAAGTTTGTTCAACCTGAACTTTAGAACGCCATTTTTCTAACCATATTAAATACTCTCATCAAAATGAACACTTAATTCATATTAAATATGAACATTATTTTGAGATCTTTAAGTCAACACGGCATTTCTTACAACTATGCCTGTCTCCACATGGTTATAAATATCAATCGATTTTGTTTCCTATGTTAAAAATAAAAAAGAAACCTGCAAACAAAATAAGCGAATTTCTGTGTTAGAACCCATTTTACTTGTTTGTTTGTTTTTTATTTTTGTTGTTTTTTTTTTGAAGCATTGTAAATATTTGGCATGTATACAAAACATACTACATACATATGTATATGTACACATGTGTGTAAATACAAATATGTAGCTGCGCATTAAAAAGAGAAACAACATACTACTCGTATACGTGCTGGCAGACAAATAAAATTTGTTGCTGAGTAATTTTATTAGTTCAAAGTGAACATCGCGTAACAAAAACAGGACGGACAAACGCGAAAAGGGCAACGCAACCCAGCGCTTGGGCGCTTGGGAAGGTAGCGTGGCACAGGCGGAAGTTGTAAATAACACATTGGGCAGGTAAGTATGTATGTATGTGTGTGCTATCGCACAAAGGAATAATAATACCAGAAGAAAGACACTTTTCGAAAATGGTCGATGATGACGGCGGCTACAGCGACGACGACGATGATATGGCAGAAATGCGCGAATGAATGCCCACGGTCTTGTTGTTGTTGTTGTTATTTGCCTGTCAGCGTGCGCTGTCATCCGCTACTGCTGCCGGTGCCGTGCGGGGGCGACGGCGGCGCCGAACAAATTGCCATTTACACCACTTACAGCAACAAATAGCAGGTCTACACACACACACACACATACAGAGGCAGACAAGTGCACCGTTAGCAAACGCATTTGAAATACTACGCCAATACTTGGGTCGTCCAACGCAATGGTTGTCTCTTTTCCGCACGTGTACGAGAACGACAATTGCGCAATGCGTTGGTTTTATATGTAGGCGTGTCACAGCCTAGACACACCCCCTTTTGCCAATGGCAGCCGCACAAGCATACATACATATGCATGTACATACATACCCATAGAAGGGTAATTGTATACATGTATGTGTAGCTCTAGTACCTCATTCATTGTTACAAATACACACAACAGATGCAGTCACAGATACTCTTGCTGCTGTTGTTGTAGTTGCTGTTGCTGCTGGCGTCGTTATTGTTGGCAGCAGTAGCAGCACAGTTGAGTAGCTGCGGCTGACGTTTTGAATAAATTTTAATTGAATTCGCACAATGAAACTGTTTACTTAACTTGCCACTTTGCGAGATGAGCTTCATCTATGCGTAGTAACAAATGGCGAGTGTTGCACGTAACGGCAACTACATGCATATGCGTTAAGTCTGCAGCTGCAGCCACCGCGCAAATACATATACATATCTACATACATACGTATTCATACGTGTGAATGTTCTATACGCACGAGAATGCGCAAGGGAGACAACAACATTTGTTGTTTCGATAATAGACACAGTACAGACATGCATGAAGCAAAGCTCTCGGTTTAATTACAGCAATCATCGGATTTGTTAACAGTGATATGTGTGTGTGTGTGTATGTATGTAGGTACTAGTAGGTATTAGTTAAACATTTGACAGCTGTGTTTGTAAAAGCGTTAACAGAAGACTTTTGCAAAATTTTCATTTATTTTTTTTTAGTTTTCAAAATAATGCCTGTTTTGGTGGATGACATTTTAAAGCTTACAAAGTCGCTGAATAAAATAAATCCCTTTCAAAAAAGGTCACATCCTCATGCGACCTCATCAATTAGCAATACGTTTTTAGCTAGCGCCCGACTAATGATCTCACCAAAGAGTATGATAGTATAATATTTAATTGCTAGCTATATTATCCCATCAATTGACATTAATCCCAGACAGCTAATACCCAACAAAGCAGTTTTCAGTGAAGGTATTCAAATATGCTTTGAGCTTTATGCTTACAGAGAAATCTTCTAATAACTGTCTGTAAAGTTGGAACAGATTTGTATGAGAATTTTGGCATTTGTCAAGCCCCCTTTTAGAGGTTGGCTGCACCTAAATAATTTCAATATACGCTTTCATGTATCTTTACTTGACTACATTCATCATTCTATTCGCTTTTTTGGCCACATGTTCGATTTTGTGTCAACAACATAGCCGCTGTGTTACTTGAGGAAGCACACTCGTCACCTTTTATTACTTTTTCTTACTGTGCCTCTATTTCTTTTTATCTCACTTTTTCTGTCTCGCCCAGCCATTATAAATCACGTGTCAGGTAAATGCGGAGCAACACTCCTTCATTAAGTTAATAACAGTTTCCACAAGTACAAAGTGAAATTGTGAAATTCCGTTTCACAATTTTCAGTTACACTTTTGTATCACACAGACACACACACACACTCACACCCATACATACGACGGAGCATTTCCATCTGGTCCCGGAAAGAATTCAAACTGCAACATACGGTGCTGTAATTTGCCAACGCTTGCCTTTTGATTTCGCAGCGGTTTTGTTTGGTTTTGAATTACAATCGCCATACACCCCCATCCCCACCCCCACCCGCATTCGCATCCGCACCCTCGACGCGACCTCGCCCTCACGACATTTAGCCCGACCGAGCGCCACTTGCTTGTCGGATTGTGTTTTACATCTTGATTATCTTCCGCTTGTTTATACTATGCACACACAGATACACACACACACGCGCACACAGATACACACCCCAGGCCAAGATATGCACCCCCATCCTGGCATCGACTCATGAAAAGCGAAATAGCATTTCTATTCAAATCCATTCAAGGATAAGAAGTCAATCAGTCTTCAAAGTGTAAAGGATTTTGCACTTTGTCAAATTCAAATTCCGAACAAATCCCGCACAGCGCTTCAAGTCGTTGGCTGTTGTTGTTGTCTTTGGCTTATGAATCCGACAGAGGCTGGGGAGCAGAGCTTGCCATGAAAATGTAATCCGGCCGCGTTGCGCCATATTGAAGGTGAAACAACCCCAAGACGTTCGACAAGGAACACAAAATTGAAACTTTTGTCCTGGCCTCCTGTCTGCCGAGGCGTTTGCTTGACACGTGGCCAACCAAGCCCACGCGAGTCGGTGTTCGGTGAAAGGAGAAGCCACCAGCAGCTCATTCCTCAATTACCCTTTCGACAAGCGTTCGTCGTCACATTATCGTAATCGCATCCTAATTGCGAGAAAATTACGCCCACGTGCTGCTGATGTAACCCGATCGCCACTGGCATCAAAGGATGTGGAGATGTGGCAGTCCAATGCCGTTGAAAGTGAATCTCTTGCTGCTGATTGCAGTGTTGCGAAAAAACGTGCCACAAAATGTATGCCACCGTACCATACCACACACTGTTTCGTCTTTAACTTTTACCTTTCTCTCTTATCGTAAATTATTCCCTGCGAACAGAAACTGAACATTATATTCTGGCGAACTGTAAAACGAGAAGACAGTATGCTTCCCTTTGTTGTACAAATTGGCGGTAGAGTAAAGTTCAAATTGGTTTAATGATTTTACAACAAAGTTTATTATTTTACTCCACAAATAAGGCAATAAAAATTCTTCATTAGATTTACAAACAATTTGGTAATACTTTGCTATGAGCTGATAGATGGCAAAAGCAAATTCAAAATTTGTAAACCTTTTGCTACTCCGTGATAGAGGGCGCTTCGGTCCTTCAGTAATGCTGCCACCCTTTTACTTTAAAGTACTGCAGCAGTGTGAGTTTCATTTCAAAAAGCTTTTGTCACACTGTAAGAAGGAACGTTTCAATCGAAAATATTAGTATGACGTTTTCCATGCAAATGAACCAAACATACTTAATTTATGAAAATACTTTTCTACTTGGCCGTGGCAATGGTAGCTTCCGACGGTGTATCCGATGATTTTTCGGCCAAAACGAAACGCCATAGCAGCGGCACGAGTACCGCTCCCAGCATATGTGCCACAAAATAGGTCCACATGCCTTTAAATTCTAATTGTACGACTCCTGGAGCAAAAGTGCGCACAAAGTTCATGCTGCTACCAGTGTACCGGTGCTGTAGAGAAAATTGTATATAAATGCCTGTACCCTCCATTATCATCGTAATACTACTTACTCCGGCGTAAAAAAGTCCTGCAATCACGAATCCAACACGCACAGAGAGCGAATCGAATCCACCGGCATTTCGTTTATCCCAAATGGAACAAAAGGTTAATAGTAGTATCGATATTAGCATGAACTCCACCAATAACATTTTCCATTCCTTGACGCCTCCTGTTACGGTCAAGCAAATGTCTCCACTAAACCGAGGAGTTACTGCATAGGCCAAGCCGAAGCCCAGAAAGGATCCAAGAAACTGCATTAAAATGTACAGCAGCATCAATGCCCAGTCCATGTGTCCAAGTATTGTGGCGCAGATAGACACCGAAGGATTTACGTGTGCCCCACATAAGAATGCAAAAGTGTGCAGGACTATAGTGTATACGAGACCCCAACCAATTCCAAGCTCGTCGCCACGTATTCCAACGCTCAGAGTGCATCCCAAGGCCAAAAGCATGGCGGTTCCCGTAAACTCGCAAAGGAGCTTGCGAAACAGCTCGCGGTCACATTTTATCTTACCCATATTTTAGAGAATTTAACTAACTTTACACAATTTTTAAGCAGAAAAGTTTGAACAGATTGTTCAACACATATGAACCGTTTTCCAAAGCCTTCTAGGCCGTTGATGGGGCCTCTGAAACTGTAGACTTATTTCCATTATACACATAAATGAAACGCCAGGCGAGTGCTAATAGTATAGCCGTTACGGGGGGCACAACCATGTAGATATAGATGAAATCGAAATCCTCACTCATAACTGCTGGCACTAAGGACCGAAACGGATTCATACTAGGTCCAGTACTTGTTGCCTTCAGATTATAAATGGACACAACATTTACCTAAAATTCGTATTCAAATATCTTTTTATTTAATTACTTACCCCAATTATATGGCAGGCGGTCACCACTAAGCCAATGCGCAACGAGATGGACTCCGACAACAATTCGTTGCTTGGATGCCAAGATGCACACATGGCGAGCACCCAAGCGCCTGTCAGATACGCTTCTATCAATAGGGCCTTCCAGAAGCGAAAACTACTTTCGTGAAAGGAAGCATTGCAGAAACCAGTGGTAGACTCCTGGAAGGCATAGGCAATAAAAAAGCCAACCGTAGAGCCCAGAAACTGCATGAGTATATATATGAGGCCCTGCACGATCTTGACCTGCTTTAAGATCATAGACGCTATTGAGATGCACGGGTTGATGTGAGCCCCGGACACTATGCGGAATATCTGAGTGGCTGCAAGCACAGAACAGCCCCAAGAAAATGCCACTCCCAGAGAACTCGGAAATAACAACGTCCTTTGTGTGCTACCAAGACATCCAACAAATTGCACTATTAGACTAGCCAAGAACTCGCCTAATATGGCAGCAATCAACTTTTTGGTCACTTTCATTTTACCAAGAATTTGAAAACAAAAAATTACCAAATAAACGTTAACAAGAAATTTTATAAATATGACAATACTCAAACAATTTGAAATTGGTTTCAAAATCAAAACACTTCATCTACATACAATATTTAGAATTTATCCTGTCCCAGCCCGATTTCTCAATCCAATAAGAGAAAACGGATTTGCCAAAAATCGATGTTCCGCCGTTTTAGTTTAGACGGAGCTAAGCAATGTAACTCTTATCCTCCTTTATTGCTTCTAGGTAGGGCAATGAAAAAAAAAATGCTTGCTCTTATGAAAAATATAAATAATAATATGCCAAAAATATAAACAATAATAAATAATACAGATTTAGTGAAAATCATTTAAAATATTTCATCTTGTTTCTCAACCAGTTTTCAAATCTAGCTAAGTCTTCAACCTAAATTAAAATTTGGCACCGGGTGGCAGCACCAAATGGACATAACGCTGCTGTGCAACACTGAAACCGTTACTTCACCAACGAGTAAGAATCAACCCCGCAATGGCAAACAATTCAATTACGCTCAGTCCGCAGTCGTCGGTTTTGCCAACTAAACGTGCTTCTCATTGCTCGCACCCGTGCTGAGTGCTATCCATTTTTATTTTCCTATTGCATATTCCTGATGAAGTGTCGGCGCTCGTCAATTACAATAGCTTAGGCACAATTTATAGCCTTTGCCCGCTGAAAGCTGAAATCTGAAAGCTGCATGTTGCGCTACAATTTCTGCAACGGAATTGAAAAATTACACAAGTGCTTTCCCAGTCACACTAGTGGAAACAATTGGAGGAGATTGGCGCGCGTCGCACTCAAACTACGGGAAAAACGCTAACCATCAGATACTTTGTGTTTCGGTTTGCATTCAATTATTCAGAAGCAACAAATGACGTGACATTGAGAACCTTGCGCCAGACCCCCGTTCACACATAGACCGTAACGCACGGCCATTCAAAAATCTCTCTGTAACGCTATCGATTTTCCGTTACATCGTTATACACACACACTGACCGAGTTACACACTTCACGCCCGCCAGCACACCCCCTGCCCAACAGGGTGCGTGCGTGTGAATGTGTGTGTGTGTGTGTGGTCACACATAGTGAAAGTGAACCAAAATAATTTTGAGCTTTTTCAACGCAACTCGGAAGGCGCAAACCGAACACTTTCTGCTTTCGACCACTCACAACGTTAAATTAAAGGAGCACTCGTATCTTTCTTGAACACATTTCGCTAATTACCGGCAATAAAGGGCAATTGAAGCATGATTTATTTGGCACTGATCAAATACGGACGGACCCAAATATTAGGTGAGTTAACACTCCAGCTAATACTGATATGTAAAACCGTAGAATATGCACACACTCGTATTCTCAACTAGTGCAGTTTTTTTATGCGTATTCTTCTACACTCACCAGTTACTGTAGTGTGGGCAAGTCGAGCTCAATTAGTTCAATTTATTTTTAATCCGCGCGCAACGTAAAAGCAAAAATGAGAAACAGAAACACAAAAAAAAATTGCGCATGTCGTTTATTGTGCGCTAATTTACTTTTCCATTTCAAGCTTAATTTTAATACTTATGCTCTCCTCTCCTCACTCCTCTCACCGGCCCCAACAACAGGGACACAATTGTAAATAGCATCAACAGTAAGCAGTAACAGCAGCAGCGGCAGCGCCAGCGACTGGCTGGAGATTGACGTAGGAGAGGGAGAGCGCGTAGTCCGTTTATAAACGACCACTTGTCCAGCCTGGTTCGGCTTGTGCGATTGTGTGGTTGACGTGTGTGTGCTTAGAAACGTGAGCGATCTCGATCCTCATCCCCCACCGTAGCTGAACCATTTGTGAGCCTTCGATATGGCAGGGCAATGGCTACTGGACCACAGGGCGCTGTGCGGCACGATCTGGTGCCTACTGCTGGCTCAAATACTCGCCCAGAGCACGCCTCAGCAGCAGGTTTGTCCCGAGCAAGGCGACATCTCGCCCTGCATATGCACGGTTAAGAAGAACGGCCTCGATATTCTGTGTGAGACAACTGATCTGGCGCATATTACCAAATCGATGGGCACGCTTAAGGGCAAGAGTCCCATAATATTCTACCTGAAGCTACGCCACAACAATCTGCCCAAGCTGCAGGGCTTCGTGTTCCTTGCTCTGGACATACGTCACTTGACCATCCACAATAGCAGTCTGGCAGCCATCGAGGAGAACGCACTTAGCTCGTTGGGTAAGCTTCCCGTCCTAGCTTGGTCGATCATATTAACATCATCTTTTAACATTCCAGGCAAGGGCCTCACACAACTGGATGTTTCACTGAACCAGATGAAAACTGTGCCGTCGCAGGCGCTGCAGCATTTGTATCATTTGCTAATTTTAAATTTGAATCACAACAAGATCACTGTCATACACAACAATGCTTTCGAGGGACTGGACACCTTGGAGATACTCACACTTTACGAAAACAAAATAACTCAAATTGACCCCGAAGCTTTTCGCGGATTGGAAAAGTAAGACTAGCAGCTTGAGACCGTAGTCAAGACACTTAACAAATATTTGTTCATATTTGCAGAAAACTTAAACGCCTGAACCTCGGTGGAAATGACCTGACTAGTGTACCCCAAAAAGCGCTGTCCATATTGGACACACTGAAGAAGCTTGAGATACAAGAGAACAAGATTCGCACAATTAAGGAGGGTGATTTTGCCGGTATGTTTCGGTTTATTATGTTTTTCACAAACAAGACTCCTAAAGCAATGCATGTTGCCTTGATAGGTCTGGAAAACTTGGACTCTTTAATATTAGCGCATAATATGATCACAACCGTGCCTGCAAATGTGTTTTCCCATCTAACCCTGCTGAACTCCTTGGAACTGGAGGGCAACAAGATCAGCATTATTGATAAGGATGCGTTCAAGGGCCTTGAAGGTAATTATTAACAGCTGTCTTTTGATGTGATATTGGTTCAACATCGTTCGATATTTGTCGATCTATATCAGTGAAAATAAAATCGAACTATGTATATCATTAATATATTGTATTATCAACTATAAACGCAACAAAAAGGCTTTCTAACAATATCATGTAAAATCAAGCAATATTTTTAGCAATTCTTTATCTCAAAGCTAAGCATTTAATTAGTATAAGCAAATACAATTATAGCTATGTTTTTCATAAAATGAAATGTATTTGTTTAAGCTTCATTCACTGAAAAATAATTGTTTGATATATCAATTAATTATGAAGTATGTAGAACAATCTTCAATATGAAATCTACATGTGTATATCTGTGCTTACAGAGAATCTGCAATACTTGCGTTTGGGCGACAATAACATAAATGCCATACCCAGTGAGGCGCTGCGACCACTGCATCGTTTAAGGCATCTGGATCTGCGGAACAACAACATAAATGTACTGGCCGATGACGCCTTCACGGGCTACGGGGACTCGCTGACTTTCTTGAATCTGCAGAAGAATGAGTAATTCAGTTGCATTTGGCAAGGCACATTGTGGAAATGACCTTCTAAAATTTGTTACTCTCTTGCAGCATTAAGGTCTTGCCCAGCATGCTCTTCGAGAATTTGAACTCGTTGGAAACATTGAACATCCAGAACAATAAGCTGCAACGCATTCCACAGGATCTAATGGAGCCTGTGATCGATACGCTGCGCATTATCGATATAACTGGCAAGTCATGCGTGTTTTGGGAAAGGGATCGTGAGTCTTTTATAAAGCTTTTGAATCTCTTACAGACAACCCACTGAACTGTTCATGCGAGTTGACCTGGTTCCCCAAGCTGCTGGAGGATCTGAAGAACAAGGATGATGAAATGTCACAGAAAAAGAAGCCACTGTGCCACATGTCGCTGGACAATCGCGAATACTTTGTGCAAGCGATGCCCATCGAGAAGATGCACTGCGCCGGCCTCAATGTGAGTCCCTCACCCACGAGCGGAGGTCTCATGCGGATTCTGCAAGTGAACATTTTGGCCCAAGTAGCCATGTGTAGCATGGCGTTTCTGAGTAGCGTTTAACAAGCCCCTGAAGCATCCGCTTTTCCACTCACATCCGTATTCGTGTTCGAAATTCAAATCCGCAGCGGGCACTAGAGAATAGTTAGAAACGCATTTCGGAAGCGCCGCCTTTCTCGAGGCGATTAGTTCCCTGTGAGCTACACATATTGTTAGACATAGTGATAGTTAGTCGGAACGGCTGTGCTGTTCCAACACAAACCAAAGATCCCGAACATCCCCAAACCAAAAAACAAAAACCAAAGATCTTTTGTACGCCTACAAAATTTGTTTTCTGTGTTGTTGTATTGTGTTTTTTTATAGATTATAGAGAATCCGTGAATTATGCAACTCTGCCAATTGTTAGACTCAAAATGCACGCTTTAGGAATGTACAACCAGCGACCTACAACAACATCAACCACAACAACAATGTCTAAACGAACAGCAATTAAAGCAACAACAATATCACCCGCAAGTGCCCAGTTGAAACCCCCAAGCAAATGAATTACACCCACCTTGTTGAACTTGATGCCACACGCACATCAACAATACCAACAACAACAACAACTACAACAAAAAACTACAGAAACAACAACAAGAACAACAAGAACCACAACAGCAATACACACGTTAAATGCATAGTAGCCCGGCGCACTGCATTTGCTAAACGCATCTAGAACAGTCTAATAGCCGTTAATCGTTAATGTTACCTCTATTCTATACGAGTGTCACACAAAAACACAAAAACAAGGATGGGGCATATCGCAAGCCCTCACCTAGGCATAAGTAACTGAAATCCCAATTGAAATTGTTAGCAAAGGGGTTAGAGAGAGTCCAAACAACAGAGAACAAACAAAGAACCTCACTGAGAAGTGAAAAACAAAAACACTAACCGAAACGTAAACATATCTACTTGTAGAGAAGCGAATTGTTATTAATATTAAGGAATAAGGAAATTGAAATTGTAGAGTGTATAGTTTGTATGCGATCGTATTCATCGATGCGAATAGTATATACAATATTTTTAGCTCTACCACCATATCTGGGTGTATGTCGTTGTCGATGTTGTGAGATACAATCATTATCAATTTTATTTGTTTTCCATTTGTTCAAGTTTTTTAAAAGCTTATGTGCGTACCTATTAAATAATTTTTAAATAATCCTAATATTATTGGCAAGCCGATACACAATTGTATTTACATACATACTATATGTTGATCCCAATGTGGGATATCCTTGAAATGTGTACGCGTTCAAACGAGACGAACATTTGCATCAATCACCAAGAACTGATTATCGAATAAGTAGTTTGTACTCTTTATTTGCACTATATACCTGAGCAAAAAGGGACCCACCAAAGTCCCCTCAAAAAATGACATGCATATATACACACACACACATACACACACAAACATACCCATAACTATGCCTAATCAAGCAAACATATCAATTAACTAACTATCGCAACATATCAAGAGCGCCAAAAGTTGGACTCGCAAATATTTTATAGATTTAAATTTACTTACTTGTACATCTTGAAGCATGTGAATATTTTGTGGTAATAGCAAAAGCAAAACCCAATGTTTGATATTTACTCAACTAAAGTACCATTTTTGAAGTTCTTTTTTGTATCGAATCGTATTGTAATTGTATTAAATTTGTATTTGTATTTGTATCAACTAAGTTATAAAGCTCTCGCATTAGGTACGAGTAGTGTAAGTATACTATTTAGTCGAGCCCCATTCACTGCACGCCAGTAGGTTCGGTCAGTTAGCCACTGGTGGGCACTGAAGAAGGCGTCCCCACCAAACCAAACCAAACCATTTGTGAAACTAAGTACGCGTATATTTACGAGTATCTGTACAATATTAAAGACAGGAGACACACACACTGCAGCTAATATTTTCAAAAGAATGTGCTAAATTCAAATTCGGGTCAGTTTTGGCAACAGCTGTTCTTTTCAAAATATTGCAACAACACAAGCGAGCAATAGATAAATGCTTCGATGGCGGAGCGTGTAGAAAACCAGGTACATCAGTGATCGGTGGATGGCGAAGCTTGGGCCTAGCCGAGGGCCGAGCACTGAGATACACTCCCGTACCCGTACGTATACAATAAAACAACTATGTTTTTCAGCCGAACAACTCTCGAAATAATAAAAAATCATATTGGTTACTAAACGGCATATGTTTTTATTCGGATATGAGTATAGCTTTTTCAGTCATATAGCGCGACATTGGAAGTAGAGTGTCTTGGGCTGCAGGAAGCCATTGAAAGGACTGGCCACGGGCACCGTGTATGCCCCCATGTTTGGAAAACCGAGCAGATCCCCTCTATTTAAGTTGGGCAAATAGAGTTCCTCCGAAATCTGGGCAATTGGTAAATTCAGAGCTGGAGTTATCCTTTTTACAGCTATTCTATTCTCTTACCTTATCCAGCGCATCACAAGTGGGTCCCCATATGAGGGTCTTAAACATTGGCAAGTCAGTGTCATCATCCTATGGAATAAATGTATTAAGTACCATTCGTTTTGTAATAATAACGAAACCAACCAAATAGTGCTGCGCCGTCACCACCTGGTGGTCGTAAAGTATGCAATTGAAGGAGCCGTACACCCCGTCGTTTAGATAGTACATAATGGTGTCCAACTTGCCGTCCTTGTTTCGAACTTCGCGCTTTGCATGGATCTTGCACACCAGTGTGTAGGCCGCGGACACAAAGAAACGTCCGGGCTCCGATATTATTTTTATTGACTCTTCGGGAAAATGTTTTTGTACAGCCTGGTCCACAATGGTCGCTATCTGCAAATAAATATTTTGACAAATAAATATATTTTGGGAAAATAATGCAAAATCGAATCGGCACAAGAAAGAGAGTTCTTCAAGTTATTATTCTTTTTAGAGAATTGATATTGGACGTACCTCCTTAAAGTTGTCATCGTTGTCACCAGAAAAACCGCCGCCTATGTCCAGCAAATCCATATCGTATCCCAGCAACTCTCCAAACTTAAAAATATTTTTGGCCGTTTTAATGGCGCGTTCGTAAGCCGGAAAATCGCTACAACCGGATCCCACGTGGAAACTAGTGCCGGTAACCTATTTTACAATGCTTTAATGATTGTGTTGTTTATATATCAGATAGAAATCTGACTCACATTTAAGTCTAGACTTTTTGCCAGCAGCATCAATGTTGAGACGTCTTCGGAGCCAAACTTATCTCCAAGAGGGCATTGGGCGGCCTTTGCCTCGCTACGAAAACGTACCACCAAGCTGCGAATTAGGAAAATAGGGCAGATAAGCTATACTCAAATCGGAACTCAGTGATGTACTACTATATAATATATTAGATGATGACGCACTTTGAAGAGGGATAGTGTTTAAAGAGCTTGTAAATCTCAAACTCATTGTCCACAGTGCCGGTTGTTATTCCTTGCTGTTGTGCGTACTCCAAATGGCTAACAGGCTTACAGGGATTGGCAAATATAATCCGCTCGGGGTCCACAGCCATGCTAAGCACCTGCAGATATTTCAAAAAATATCATATATTATACAACAAATTCCCATTACTTAATGCTACCAACCTGCTTGATTTCATTTTTCGACGCACAATCGAAGCCAACACCCAAGTTGGCCAGAGTTTTTACAACCAATGGGTCGTCATTGCACTTGACCGCTGCATTAATATTCAGAAATGAGTTTACTTAAAATCACTAAATCGTTTAAATAGTGTGTGTTGAATTGCGTACCAAGCTGAGTCGATATAACGATAAGATCAAGCCAAATAAATGTAGGGCATCGTATTTAAATCGGGCTCAACTGATTGAAATTAAAATTGAATATTGTACCAAAGTGGTCTTTTTTTGCGAATCGCGATTAGTACAGGGTGCGCCATCTTTTATGACGGTATGTAAATATTGAATAACTTTGTCATTAGTGAACCGATTGACTTGAGTAGACCAGTGTTCAAAAATTCGTCTGAAGAAATTGTATAGAACCAAATTAAATAAAAATATCCCATACTTGGTTATTTTCAAAGATATTCAATGTTTACATACCGACATAAAAGATGGCGCACCCTGTAGCTTTAGAAAAATTACATATTCAGTTTGATTTTTATACTGAACACAATTTTATGACATTTGTAATAGGGGGAAGAGTTTTGTTTAAGAAATGTTTATGCACATAGTTGCTGATTTAATTTGCAATCTTTAAGCAAATCGTTGGCACACTAATTGAGTTGTTTTTATTCAAATTACGAAAATCTAAACATTCATTCAAAAATTACATATTCAGTTTGATTTTTATACTGCACACAACATTTCATGAAAATTTGTTATCGATGGCAGAGTTTTCTTTAAGAAATGTTGCTGATTTAATTTGCAATCTTTAAGTAAATCGTTGTCACACTAATAGAGCTGTTTTAGTCAAAATCACGAAAATCTAAGTATTCATTCATTTAGCCTCGACTTACCATAGTAGGGTGTTATGCGAGGCAACAGGCTTTGCCAGAGCTGATACTTTCGCTCAATTCCGCTGAGATCACATATGTTTAGGGCCTCATCCATGCACTGCAGATTGGTCTGCTCTATAATCTGTTTAATGTCGAGGACATTCTCGTAGTAGTTTATTGTGTAATTCTCGCACATTTTCGCTATAGATTAGGGGGCTACGGCAACGACCGCAATGCTGACTGATCCCAACTGGACTGAGTGGCAAGAGGGCCGCTTTATCTGCCTTCCACGTATTATCAGCTACAAGTTGAACGTCGGGTGAATTATAATCGTGTGGGCCGCGCACACACACACACAAATTTAAAGATCGAATTGGAAATTGGAACAGACTGACGCAACATTTAGACGAAACGTGGACGACACCCGCTTGGGCAGCTCAGGACCCCATGCCTTTGTCCATGTCCGTCCCATGACCATGCCTGGAAACAATAAGACACTAATTAACGGCAAAGGTCAAGCGGCGACCGTTACAATTTCCCAATCACAATTCGAACAACTCATAAAGTAGACGCGTAGTGCGGTGGGTGTTGGCGCGATATTTGCCAGCGACATTATTTACAACCTACAATATTTGGCATCGTAAATAATTCAAAATGCGAGGCGGCGCATGTAAAACTAATAAAATGTAAATTTTCTACAACGACTTGAAAAGGGCCATAAAACGTGCATAATCGACACTTTGCAGGACACTTCAAGTCTGTCACACCCCGCGACCGCTGCATAATTGCCCGCAACAATACACACACTTACACATATACTCGTACACAGTGCATTTGAGGGTTGGGTTGGGTTGGGTTGGGTTGATTTGGTTCTGCCTCGGGTCGAGCGTTGATGACACTTGGCCAGGCAATGAGCCAGCAATTGCTCTCGACCGCAACCCCACACCACGGGCAGCAGAACTGACACGTTTCAGCGCTCGGCAATTAAAAATTAAAATCAAACTCTCGAAATCGATATCGTGTGTGCATCAATCACCGGTTAAATGGCCGAAGTTGTGCGCGCCTCATCAATACTTGTACATCATTGATACTGATACACGAATTCGGATCCATTGATTCAGAATTGAGGATGCACCCTTTAACCAAGCGCTTGTAAAAAACTGACAACTGTCAAAAATATTGAGCGATTGTTCTGAACGCTTGCCAAAAATGCATCTTGTCACGGTCAGGCTTTAAGATCTGCCAGCCACGATTCGTACACTCATTGCAATCAAATGCACTTCATATCTACACATTTATTCGAAAGTCCCAATCCCAATTGGCTCCGAGTGTCATCATTCATTGCGTTCGCAGTTTAACCGGAAATCTAGCCACGAGACAGAAATCATTGTCGGAACCATCATCCTTCCCATGTTCGCGCACTTCACTTTGAGTGATGTGACAAATTCGACAAGTTGCCGAGTTTCGAGTGTGGAGTGCTGAGTGTCGAGTGCGTACTCCGAGACTGTTTTTCATTATGTTGAGGTAAAAGTAAAGGGCAATGGCAAATTGAAAAACTGGTTTACGAGTAGTACACTAAGTTGCACTTAAATCATTTTGTAATTAGCTTTAAATTTAAATGAAATTGTCATTAATTATTTACGGCATTTGCATTAAAAGCTAGCCAGACATTGTAGTTCCCACAACAAATGGCGTTCAGCTGATTCTGAAATTCAGACGAAATGTTTCATGACTGAAAATACAACCTTTTACTTAAACCTTTTAAAAATCTGTTCATTGGATATAACATTGATATTATTGACAGACTAATTACATAGCAACAACCCGAAAATAGAGTTGAAGAGTTCAGGTTTGTAAACTTGATTGTTAATTAGTTGTGGAAAATAAAACTTGGGTTCATTTCTAATTTCAAACCCATTTCAGAAGACATATTTCCTGAAGCATTTTTAGCATACTAAATTTCGGCTAATACTTAATGTAAGAATACTTTTTGTTATATCATATTTGTAATTTAAGTCGTTAATATTAAACTTTGGCGTCGAGATTAATCAACTATTGATTTAAACTTAATGCAGGAATACTGATTGTAATTTTATTTTTGGTGTTTTTTAAACTGTAACACCCTCCAACATCATTTATTCCGCAAAGGTTTTTGCTTTTTATTTAATAGTAATTTATTGAGCAAGCCGGATCAGGCCACTATATTCCATTTCGTAATATCTAACTATCGGCAGTATTCAATCAAATAAGAGAGTGTACATGTAGAGAATTTGTAAAATATGACAACAAAAACTCAAAGTCGACACCAAATTATAGTATATACAAGTATGGTAGATATCTTTGTATAAACAACTTTTTTCTATGTGGGTATATTGAAACCACATAAGAAATTTGAAAATTTGCAATGATTTTGTAATACCTTATTATATGTTATTTAAAAACAAATATAGCTATTTTAACATTCATAATCAACTTTAATCTCGAACATAAAAAGTACACTGGCGCCAATATTATTCTATACTGATCTTAAAGATAAAATCACACATTCCAAATAATATTGGAGTTTAGTCTAAAGCCGCATCGAATAAATATAAATATTCAATTTTCTACCTTAGGTTTCTGAATAACCCTTTCTAAATTGAAAATGAAATACAATACATTAAAGTGTTAAATGCTTATATTTGTGAAGGCCCTTTCTTAAAACGTTTAACAACAATTACTTAAGGATATTCGTAAATATAAATACATAAAGAGCGTCACTTTTGATGGCAATCCAAATAAATAAAAAAGAACAAAAGCTTATTTCAACCTGATATGGGGAACGAAAGCGAAAATCGGAACGGAATGGCTGCGTCATAGTTTTCCAATAGCTGTAGAAATGAAAGCAGATTAGACTGGTTGTTAGTATAATATTTGCAATTTATTGTAAATGGATTTTTAATAATTTAATTGCAGGTCCCCTTAATGGACACCCATTAAGGTGGTTCTGATTTATTTCACACAAATTGGGCCAACGAGCAAAAAGTGCCTAGTCAATGGCCCTGCTGACCTTTCCCATGCATATGTACGTGTATCCGTATAGTATATATTCTGAAGGTACTGGTGGATTTGGCCAACTAAGCGCATTGTTCAAGTGTGTGCGGTAATATGTAAAATTACCGCACAACCACACTTGGCCCAAACACTTGAGCACCACTCAAGTTGTCAAATTAAACATTCAAAGTCTGCGCTCACGATGGCGCCCATCCGGTAGGGGGTCCTGCATTGTAGTTGCTTACTGCGCCTGTGCCGCAGCGGCTCTCACGGAGCAGATGTGCGGGTGTGTGTTAGCATTTTGGCACTTGCAGTTCTTGGCCATGGCTTATGAGTCATGCGGCACACGACCGACTGAGTGCTGCTGTTACTGTCGCCTTACCCGTTGCCTGCGCCTCATCGTCCTTGCCCCACCTGTGTCCACTCACACACACACACACAAGTCGTCGGCTTGTCGACAATCGCCTCTCATGTCGAGGGTTGAATTCAGTTTCGGCTTCAGTTTTGTTTTGTTCAGCCAACAAGCTGCAGCCGCAGTAGCAGGAGCCGCAATGCGTGCGCCCAACACTGTTGTGTGAACTACATTTATCATTATTTACTGCATACGCATACCCACATCCACTACAACAAACAAAGTCAGTAACACAATTTATATACATATAACAACAGCAACAACATCAGTTAAACAAACATTCGCACAGACAGACACACGCACTCCCAACAACAGAAGAAACAAGGCGAGCGAGCTCCGTCGTCATTAGTTGTACCAATGCCATAGAGGAGGGCAGGAGCAGCGAAAAGAAGAGGAGTCGGCGGCATGTCTCATTTACTAAAACGCACCAAGAAGTCCTGTCTCAAGGTGAGTGTCATCATCGATGTGCCGTCATGTTAGCATACACCCATACGCGTATATCTATATCTATATCTAATGGGGTGCGCGAAGGGCAGCCGAAATCAATAACATCGATTGCCCCGACTGTTCAGTAAATAATTAAGTTGTAAATATAAAACTTTGGCGCCGAGCTTGGGCGCCGAAACGCGGCCGTTTTGTAGGAAAATCCGAAAATAAACCCTGCCAACGAACGTTCACTTGTTGTTACTAACACGCGCATTTCTACGCGTTGCCTTCCATTCCTGTACCCTAGCTTTTACAGAGAGTATCTATTAAATTTCAAGTGCATATGACGACTTGAAGACAGGAGGGTGTAAGCAAGAACACATCGAATGAATGTCGAAATTATATAAGGACCTGATTCATCATATGTAGAGTGTAGTGTATTTTTTCCTTCCTAACTTTCATGTAAATATAGCCTCGTTCTTTTTATGTTAATCTTGTAACGTATTATATAGTTTTCTGGTTTTCTATATAGTGAATAATTATACAGGGTCAATAAGCTTGCTTATATAAAACATAATTATCATCAGAAATTATATACTATAGTTTCAGACTATGACCGTTCGTCTAGATGAACACTTGGATTTTGAAAACGTTCGAAAACTCTCCTAATCTCTGTGAAACAGGAATTTATTCCTTTACCCCCTCTCGCCAAGCAACTTTTCACCTTCTACAGAAGTGTGTCAGTACTGTCTGCAATTTCAAAGAAAAATATAAACTTGAATATATTTTTGGAGTCGGAGGTGATTCATTCGGGCCATTACATTCATTTGCAGAAATCGTATGTACCTTATGTTCTTCGGTTAAGAAAACACTACACTGTTCTTAACTCAAAATGTCTCCCAGTCTCAACATTGCAATGGGTAAATTGTATTAAAACTTACCGGCTTACTTGTTTACTAGTTATAGTTACAATGTCAATAGGGTATACTGTGTTCGGATATGCTTGAATATTGGTTCACTTCAATAGACACTAATGCACTACATACGTAATTTATTGATTTCCCCTTAGTTTCTGCGCAAAATATCGACATCAAAGCAATTGTTTGTGCAACGCCTGGAGGAGGACGATATATCCAGCAACTGCAACATTGAACCGGCCGCGGACACTTGCAGCTACGAAGGCTTTGCCGATGACGCGCACGACAAGCAATACGAGGCTCAGCGCTATGGTAAAAGCAATAACAACAACACGTCAAGCCCCCTCAAAACCGGGCAATGCTTCGCGCAAGTACAGGAAGCAGCAGCTCCGGAGCAGCAGGCGGAAGATGTCGAGCAGTCGGAAGAGGTAAAGCTGGAAGAGAACGAGGAGAACCAGAACGGACATGCGATCATCAATGGATTGACATCAAAATTCTTTCTTGGTGCCGATGGCTACGAGTTCCGCAGACTGCATCAGCTACGGAGCGATGCCGCCTCCGAAATTCTCGAATGGGAGCCTGAAACGGACACAGAGATAGAATGTGATCCCATTTATAGCCATAGCCAAGGTGCGACTAATGTGCAGTTCGAGCGGGTGCGATACAAGCAAAACGTCCGCTACTTGCGGCATACGCCATCGAACTCTAGCCTGGATCTGCAACAGCAGGTGGCAGCCAAGCCACCAGTTCCCAACGATAGAGAACGCCAACTCTGGTCCGTTTCCCATCCCTGCAGCGTCAGCTTTGGCTCCAAATTCGATGGCTTATACCACAATGTGGTAATTAGGGAGCCGCCACACGACGACTATCCCATTGTCAAGTGGGATATCAATGGCAACTCCCTGGATGATGAGTATCTCGATGTGAGCACGGACTGGGCCGATTTTGACAACCGTTGGCGTCAGCTCCAGTTGCAGGACAGACGCCCCACACATAACCCCTATTCGCTGAGGTCCAGCCACCAGTCAAGCGCTTGCACTCTGGAGACCTGGATCGATGATGCCGAACCGTTGAGCGGCCTTTTCGATGATCAGCCACACGGCTCGCTACACACCAGTGGCAGCAACAACAACAACAACAATAAGAACACCAACAGCAGTAACCTTTGCCTTAAGAGTTTCTGAGACTCGACAAAAACTCGTGAATGGAAAAGATTGCGTATATAAGTACCTACGCTTATATATTTCTTAGTCTTAACATTTAACTATAGTTGTGAATATGAGATTTTTTGAAAATTATTATAGCGATAACAATGAACCCGAACCGTCTCAAATGCATCTTCTATGTGCGCTACAACAGTTGTCTCAACCAGCCTTTTATTTTCTCGTGCTCCTTGGGATGGCAGCAACAAAAATTCAACAACAAAATAGTAGGTGGAACTTAATGGCCAATAATTTTCATTATGGAAAATTGGTTACAATTTCAAAAATCCATTAAAAAAATGTATACACAATAACAATGCCCGATGTGTGCCTCTCTGGGCAGTTAATGCACTTCAAACGCTTGGGCCTGCGCTTTTTCATAATGCTCGGCCCGGCGGCGCACGGCCCGCACGTGCTGAACGTGCGTGAGAATCGGAGGTCCTTTGACTTTCCCACGCGCCACAGCGACGATTTAGCAGTAGCGCTGGCGATAGCAATAGCAATGGCGCTGGCCTATGACAGTCAGTGCAGGGCGTGGTGGTGCAAGTGGTTGCCGTTCTTGCCGTTGTTGTTGGTGCCTCAGTCCTTCGCAGACTGTGCCGCCAACAAGGGTGGGTGCGTGAGCTGCTTGTCACACGGGAAATAAACGTGTATTTGGCTCGGCTCGGCCTTAGCGCATTTACTCGTACTATATACAACGAATCAACAATTGCCGCTCCGCCACACGACTTGTACAATATTTTATTTTGCTGCCTTTGAAACCTGAGCGACAGCATGCCAAATCAAATTAAAAGCACTTCCCATAATTCTTCCTATTTGCCGCATGTAATCGATAGACTCTCTGCAAATATTTTTTTAAAAATTTGCAAACTAATACTAAAGGTCTTTAACGAAATCTTCAGCGGTGAAAAGGCTAAAACACTTTTTGCAAATGGGCACTTTCCCAGATGGATATTACAAGCAATGTTTATTTGTTTCCACTTTGGGAATTTTTCCTCCTTTTTCCAATGAAATCTTAAACTGTAAACCCGTTTTTAGTAACACTCTTTTTGAATTTGCTTACATTACGGTTGTAGCATAAAGTCGTCTAATGCTCTAGGTTGTAAGCTGGTTTTTATACCCAGTACCCAAAGGGTAAAAGGGTATATTAGTTTTGTGCGAGTGTAAATGTAACACACAGAAGGAGGCGTGGCAGACCCCACAAAGTATATATATTCTTGATCAGGATGACAAGCCGAGTCGGTGTAGCCATGTCCGTCTGTCTGTCCGTCTGTCTGTCCGTCTGTCTGTCCGTCTTTCTGTCCGTCTGTCTGTCCGTCTGTCTGTATGAACGCAAGGATCTCAGAAAGTATAAGAGCTAGAATAAACATATTTGGTATTCACATTCTTCTAAACCCGAGAAAGGAGGAGTTTGTTCATTTTTTCCGATGCACTCTCACTCCCCCGCTATTAGCGATTTTCTATAACTCCCGTAATTCTTGGAATTTTGAACTAAAATTCGGTACACCTAGATAGTAATTATACAAGTATGTCCGTATGCCAAATTTTATTATGATAGATTGATTAGAAAGAAAGTTATAGCCATATAACCAAGCCCAAGCTCTGTCCGCAGCTGTATTTGTTGCTGCTTTGACATAATAATGTAATGCACACATACATATGTACAAGTACACAAACACGAATAGACACGATTCTGATGTAAATGTATGTATGCAAATTTTATATTTAATTTAATGAAGTAATTAAATTTTTTTTTTGTGGGGTGTTACAGGGTATTTAAGGGTTGAGTGCATTCTTTTATTGAAACTTTGTCTCCCAAAAATGCATTTTTATTAAAAACCATTGCATGGAGAGAATACCATTTCCTTGCAAAATAAAGCACGATCGAGGGCAAGAGCTGAATTAAATCGAAATGGTTAAGTACACAGGTAAAATAATGTTTCTTTTCAACAATGTTTTTTTGTTTTTGAGAATTTCAACATTTCTTGTTCCCATATTTTTATGCGTTTACCGAAAGGCAGAAACTGTAGTTCAAGCTAGTATAGCGCGCATGCCCAGAACATGGTAGAGTCCCCACAAAATACTTTTATTTATAGTTATTTATTTATAGTTATTTATAGTATTAAAGCGAGTCACGTCCACTTATATTTAGGAAAGCATCTGGGAATGTATAAGTGTATTTGATATTCCTTTTCTTCAAAATACATGTTTTTTTTTAATGTATAGCCTACTTTAAAGAGTCAGGTCCGTTTGGCTCTAGTTTTCAATCCTTTTAATTTTATCACCCGGCTTGGTCTAGGGAATGCCGTGTCTACAAAGCCAAAGCTGAACAACGGAAGCCAATGATAAATATAGCTAAACGTGCCAGTAATCCAAAAAATCGGCAAGAATTTGTTCCTGCAGCTATGGTTCAAGAGAACATTTCTTACGCAGAGGCGCTTCGTACCCGTACTAGCGTACACAATTCTGATCGGAACTCGGGCTCAAAAAAGGGAATTAATATAGAAAAAAGAGACAACTTGGACATACACAACCAGGAACAGAATTGGCAACACATAAACACAAACCGTAGCACGAGGCTTGAGGCGGCTATTGAGGCCCTCACAGCGAAAGTTGACACACTACAAGCCATGTTTAAGGAACTGCAGGAGACAAATCACTTCCTTAAGCAAATGTGTTTAAGTCTATTGAACGCCAAAAAATGATGACACGCACACTTAGCCTTGGATTGTGGAATGCGCGTGGAATTTCTGGACATGTTGAGGAACTCAAGCAGTTTCTTACAGAACATAACATAGACGTGATGCTCATCACTGAGACTTGGCTACAGGAGTGCATCTGCGTCTATGTTCCAGGCTACAATATCCTCAAAGCAGACCATCCCAGCAACAGACTTAGAGGAGGAGCGGCGATCCTAGTCAAACAGGACATTTCGTACTTCCCTTGTGACCCGGTGAAGACTGCACATGTACAAATGGCTACGATTCAAGTTGCCACAAGCTCAGGAGATTTGGTTGTGTCGTCTCTCTACCTCCCTCCAAAACTTTCATGGTCAGAAGCAGACTTCAGCCTGATATTTAGTAACCTTGGGAATAAATTCATCATTGGAGGAGACTTCAATGCCAAAAGCAGACTCTGGGGAAATTTTAGAGCGGATAAGAGAGGCAAATGTTTGCAGAATGCAGTCCAAAACTCTTCTGCCCAAATTCTTGCAACTGGACAAGCAACACATTATCCTGCTGTAGCAAGCCACACACCCAGTGCTATTGACTTTTTCGTCTTTAATGGATTGCGTCAAGACAGCCTCAAATTAAGAACAGAATTCCAGCTTTCTTCTGATCACCTGCCTTTAGTAGCCACCTATGACTATATTCCGGTTTTAAAGGTACAGAAAGGTCGTCTATTACCACGAGGGGCAGATATAGCTATATTTCGTCGAGAATTGGAACAAGCTCTTGACTTAAATCTGGAAATACTGGTGCCAGGAGACATCGAGGATGCGCATGCGATCTTTCTCAATAAGGTACATGCAGCTGCTCTATGCGCTGCTCCCAATACACTTTCGCATGGATTAAACTCTCAAAACAGACTCCCGCCAGCAATTGAAACTTTACTGCTCATTAAAAGAAGGCTCAGAAGACAATTCTGCCGCACTCGGGATCCAATAGTGGACAGGGTATATTGCAAAGTAGCCAATAGAGTAAAGAAGCTGCTGGTACTACACAAGCAAAACAAAAATGACGAACTTCTTGCTAAAGCGACCACGGATGCAAGCTCAAAGCATTCACTGTGGACTTTGGCTAAACGGTACAAGCAGCAAGTGACTCCAAAGTTTCCAATAAAAAGGCCTGATGGATCTTGGGCTAGAACTCCAAAAGAAAGAGCAGAGGCTTTTGCACTGGACTTAGAGGCACGGTTCCAGCCATATAGTACCAGCTCAACAACCACTCAACACGAAGTACAACTGGCGCTCGAGAGTCCGGAACAGCTATGTCCCCCGGTTGCTCCCATTACAGTGGAGGAAGTCACTGAACACATAAAAGGGCTGAAAAGCAGAAAAGCTCCAGGTGATGATGGCCTGGATAATTACATCATCAAGGCGATGCCAGCCAAAGCAGTGTTGTTCTTGGTGCTTGTGTTCAACGCAGTACTGAGACTGGGTCATATTCCAGCCCTCTGGAAGAAAGCGAGGATTTGTATGATCCATAAGTCTGGCAAAAGCCCTTCTTCCATGGACTCATACAGACCAATCAGCTTACTGCCCACAATAGCCAAACTTTTCGAGCGGTGCCTGCTGAAACGACTTTTGTCCTTAAAAGAAGTGACAAATAAAATCCCTCCCTTTCAATTTGGGTTCCGAAAATCCCACGGAACACCAGAACAATTGAATAGGGTAGCAAATTTCATCCTTGAGGGATTTGAGGCTAAGGAGTACGTGGTGGCGGCGTACTTGGACATATGGCAGGCCTTCGACAGAGTCTGGCACAATGGCCTACTAGCCAAAATTAAGCCAATGCTGCCTCCTCAACTGTTTTGGATACTACGGAGCTACCTCGCAGATAGGACCTTCACGGTGGTGCTGGATGGAGAGGAATCCAGTGTCAGGGGTATTAGAGCTGGAGTTCCGCAAGGCAGTGTCTTGGGGCCCACCCTCTATACCTTATTTACACATGATATGCCCACTGGCACTATGATTCCTATTGAAGACCCGAAGGACCTTCTAATAGCTACCTACGCAGATGACACGGCTATCCTGGCTAGAAACAAGAATATCTTTGAAGCCACAGATATTTTGCAGCAGTACCTAGAGAGCTTCGAAATGTGGGCAAATCGCTGGAATATTGGCATCAACGCAAGCAAGTGCGCCAATGTCACCTACGCACTGCGCAGGATGAGCTGTCCTGGCGTTTCCTTACAGAACCAGCTGTTGAATCATACCAAGAGCTACAGATATTTGGGCGTACTTTTGGACAGGCGCCTCACATTTCGAGAGCACATATGCTCTGTTGTAAAGACACTAAGTGTTAGAATAAACAATATGAGATGGCTCCTAACCAACAAAAAACTGTCACTAAAAAACAAAGTGACTGTTTATAAGTCCTGCATCGCTCCCTCTTGGCGATATGGCTTACAAGTTTATGGAATCGCTGCAAAGTCACACCTGCAGAAAATTCGGGTCTTGCAAGCGAAAACCCTTCGCCTCCTAACAGATGCCCCCTGGTACATGAAAACGGCACACATAGAAAGGGATCTAGGGGTGCAAAAAGTTGGAGACGTGCTAAATAAGCAGGCTGAGCAATACATGGAGCGTCTGCGAACCCATGTGAATGTATTAGCAAGGCGCCTGCTGAAACGGCGACGCAAAGGAACAAGAGTAATAAGAAGGAGGCTGAAGAGATCACACCCTGCCGATCTTCCTAATAGATTTATTTAATATAAGATTAAATAAATAATAATTAAATGATATAAATAATTAAATAAGACTGAACTCCTAGTTTAAGTTGTATTTGTATATTTCTATAAGTTTAATTTAAGTTGTTGTAAATAATAACAGGAAAATTAAAGTATTATCATATAAAAAAAAAAAATTTAATTTTATGAATTGACATTTTATTTATCATATGACCTTAAATTTTGATATCATCAATATTTAGCCAAATCAGCTTAACCCATGAAAAGTTATAAGCGAATGTATTTTGCTCCAATACTACGCCCGCAAACTGAGCCAGCTGACTCGCTTTGAAAGAAAATATTATAAATAATAACAAAACATTGTTATTATTATTGTCATTTTGTTGAATATACATAGTAAAGTGATTATTTGCAGAACTTAAAAGTTGCTTGTCTACTTGACAATATTTATATTCTTATTTAATATATTTATATATTTATTGAATAAATTTTTTTCTTATTTAATACTTGATCATTGATTGTTCCCATACGCGGCACAGGTATAACCATAACCTTTACGATTTCAATATTGAAATTATTTTCTTAAACAAAAACGTTTTTATAATTACAGAGAATCTTTTAAAATCATATCGGTTTTTGGACACCTGTGTAGGGTGTAAATATTACGAAGTACTTTGAATATGTGGATGAGAAACATCGATTCGTCCTATCATGATGAACATATATGTATGTATATTCGTATATATGTAATATATGGTCTCCAATTCTCGATCTTACAAGCTTCGCAGCAAAATATCGTACAGCGAACGGCAAAGCCAGAAGGTCTTTAATGATATTTGCAAATAATAGAAATCAATAACCTATGTGTGCCAATGCCCTTGTGGCACCTGCTCCACAGCCTTGACCTAATCTCGCAGCCTTGCAGAACCCAAGCGCTGACCTAGAAATGTGGGACAGCCGCAATAAAGGACAGCGGCAGCAACAACAGCAACGATTGCACTTGTTGGAGCCACAGCCGCACACGACCGGCGGTCGTTCGAGTCGCGTGCTCCAGTTCCTAAAGCAAGTGTGGCAACAAGTCAGCGGGCGGGCCATTGGCCGCCGGCCGGCGTCTGGCGTCTGGCATCGTCAAGTGGCCAAAACGCAAGGACAAAGAGACAAGAGCGGTGCCGGCTTTTCTGCCGCCTACGGCGCTGATGCTGTCTGATGCAATCGATGACAGCAATCATAGACGACGCTCGGCCTATTAAAATCGGGAGTGCGAGGACAATCGTTGTGGTGTTTGATTTGCATTTCGAGTTAGCATTGAATGGTGACAACAGGACAGCACTGGGCCATGTCAACAAAGGCTCATAAACAAATACAACAACAATATGTCGCAGTATCCTGAGCGAGTTCCTTCCTTTTCGCACATCCTTTTCTTTGCATTGCCATTCGCACCACCTTTGCTCTTTTATTAGTAAGAGTGTGTGTGTGTGCTCTGATCACTAGTATCCTGCTACCCCCAACCAGAGCTCGAGCGTCGGCATAGCACGCGTTGCTAAGGGTTGTTGCTGCTGCTGCTGCAGCGGACCGTGGACGTCTTATTGGTGAAGTTGGCCGCGCCGCCGCCGGCTCACAAAAGGGGTTGAGGCTGGACGGACGCTAGTCGTGTGTTTCAAAATCAGTCGAACGTCGTTCGCGCACACGATAAGTCACGTGCTTCAAACTAGCTCCGCTACAAGTTCAACCTTGCCACATTAGCTGCAGATACTTTCCTAGATAAAGTGCAGTAAGCAAATAATTGCAAAGTGTTGTGCGATCAATAAAAGAAAAATCAATACAATTCTAACTGTGAATATTTCATAATAACAAAGAAAGAGTTTTTGCCTTGTGAAATGGAACACAACATGCACGTGAATGCTCCTTTGCATTGGGGCTATGGTGCCGCCGCAGCCATGCCCAGCACCCCACAAAACCATTGGGTGCCTCCACCGCAGAACCACCACGGCCATAGCCTTAAGCGAGCGCTCTCCGAGAGCGATTGCGACGAACTCTACTCCGAGGAGTCGTCCAAAGAACAGTACGTGTGCGTTTTTTTTATTTGATTAAAAATATTCTTTACTTAAACATCTCAATTTATTACCTTTGCAGGATCTCACCCAGCGAACCGGGTAGCTGTCAATTGATGAGTCGAAAGAAACGCCGCGGTGTTATTGAGAAGAAACGGCGCGATCGCATTAATTCCTCTCTAACGGAACTCAAACGCTTGGTGCCCTCGGCATATGAAAAACAGGGATCGGCCAAGCTGGAGAAGGCGGAGATTTTACAATTAACCGTCGAACACTTGAAAAGCTTACAATCAAAAAGTAAGTAAATCATAGTTCACCGCGAATGCATGACACAATTATCCATATTCCCTATTGCCAACGATTCGAAATCACGTATATTTATATTAGTGCAGAGCTTTAATAAGCCACTGAGAATATCTACGCTATTTTTAACGACAAAACACATTTTCAAAATTAAAATTTAAGAAAGCAAAGACGAAAGTTGTTTTTGCAATCCAATGGAGAACCGATTTGCCGGGGAGTCCTTTAAAACTCAGGTACAAATCTCTTAGACCGTTTTTCTGGCTTTGGAAACCGACTTTTTATAGCCTGTACCGGGGGTAAAAAGAGTATATTAGGGAGGCATCTACGACCCCCTAAAGTATACTATGTATATTGTTAAACAGCATGACGAGACGATTGCATATAGCCATGTCCGTTTGCCGTTCCGTCCGTCTGTCTGGGTGAATGCCTGAATTTTGGAGACGGCTGAGCCTAAATTGATCAAACCTGGTATGTAGACTGTCCTCATCCCCAGGCAACACGAGAATTTCATCAATACTGCCCATAAATCCAAAGCTACATAAACCAAACTTCGTATACGCAATATATATAAAATTATCTACTTTTCGTTCAAATTAGCACTATTTCTTGCAAAATTTGTTGGTCTTCAATTAAGTTGAGCGAGAGAAATCCTGCAAACAGTAAGCCAATTAATTTTGGTAAAATAGATTTTGCTAAAGATTTGTATATTGAAAAACTTTAAGGAATTCCCGCAGTTTTCATGCAATCTGCTTTGCTCACAGGTTAGCCATGATTAATGGTTTTGTGTAAGACTGATTCAAAAAGAGTGTTAATAAGAGTAGATTTCTTTTGATTAGTATCCGCTATTAATATCGAATAGAGCCGATTTTGGTTTTTCTAAAAATCACATGGTGTATCGCTAATATATAAATAAGAGTCTTTCTTATACAAGCGAAATATATGTATAACATTAAGCTATCCAGATATAGTTTAGTATTGACTTGTGATAACTAAAATATACCTAAGAGCTCACTGGCCATATTTAATTTCTAACGACAATATAGTCCTTATGATGGGAATGTTGCTTGCACTCTCGGGCACAATATGCCGCGAATTATCAGAAATCAGTGTAAACAATGGCAACCTGTTAACGCCAACCTGATTGCGCTCTGGGAAAATAATGATTACCATAACAAACACAGCCCAAGTGAAGTCGGACTATTGCCGATTCCCACAGTGCCGTTCACTGCCTACCGATCCCACGATGTGGCAAATTGCCACCACCACAACATACACCACCCGCTTTAAACGCTAAGTGTGTCGAGTCCAAGTGCAAATAGTGGCGGTGCCGCTATCGCCACCCCAGGCCGGACAGCGAGAAGGGGTAGTTTTTTAGGCGGCAGGCGTGGGAAAAACTTTTTTAATCGTTCGAAATGCATTGTCCTTTTTATTGTCGCCCTGACCCTAAGCCAGATTATTGACTTGTGTGTGTTCTCTGATTTGTTATTACAGCCATGGACTCGCTAAGCTACGATCCTCAACGCTTTGCCATGGACTATCACATCATTGGATTCCGCGAATGCGCCGCCGAGGTGGCACGCTATTTAGTCACCATCGAAGGCATGGACATTCAAGACCCACTGCGACTTCGCCTCATGTCCCATCTGCAATACTTTGCTCAGCAACGTGAGTTATCGGCCAAGGGTTGCGTTAGTCCTGGTGGCTGGTCCGCCTCGGCGGCTAGCAGTGGATACCAACCCAACTGTGCGGCCACGCCCTACCAAACGTACTCACCGGCCAGCAATGCTACATCGTATGTGCCCAATTTGCCGACAACAGCTTTGCACAGCTATCCAACATTGAGTGCATCACCACAATCGGGAGCTGGACTTCACCCAAGTCGCTCCAGCGTATCGAGAACAAGCGGGGGAGGCACAGGTGAGCCATTGCCAGGAATGGGGACACACGATGCAAGACCCGAGGCCACATCGTCCCAGTTGCAGCCGCAGCCAACATCCACCCAATCCCAACAACAACAGCAACAGCAACCTCAACAGCAATCGCAACAACAACAACAGCAACAAGGACAGCAGCAACACTACACACAGGAGCACAACAGCCATGGAGACCAGCAACAGCAACAGGTGCCCACCTACATCGAGCTAACCAATAGCCATCGCAATGAGGCAACGCCCAGCATTGCAGCCGAGGGTCTTAGCTACAGCGCCGCTCCTCAATATCCTGGAAGCGTTAGCCAGGCCGATTACAACAATACCAGTGGCTTGCAATATGCGGCCCCCAATGGCGCCAAGCCCTATCGACCATGGGGAGCCGAAATGGCTTACTAGCCCTAAGGAAGCGTTTCAATCTGCATTTTTGGTGCAACCCAATTAAAAGTCTAGTCATAACAGAAGGCGGGGTCAAAGGCTCCCACCTGTGATAGTCTTATGTTTCCGACCTCTATAAAAAACAAAGTCACGGAGATTGAAGTACTGACGCTAACGCGTATTAATTATAAGTGTGTAGATAAGTATTTAATGAGTTATTAGTTGAGCCCCTTGAAGCATTTACAGATCTCAATCATAATCCTATGTATTAAATAATTTTTACAAATATGTACCGCCATTAAAACGCAAAATATGAAGAATACCCGTGTTTTTATGCCATAAAATATGCGTAGGGGAACACCAGAACATCAGTTATTTTTCGGAACTTACAACCAGACTAAGAAAACAGCCTTATGAAAGGAATTGTTCGTAATTTTGCACTTCCAGGGGAGAATGGATAACTTAAGCTACCAAAAGAGAATGTTGGGTAAGTACATCGATATGTCGCTGTTAATTTAAATGAAGGTTTGGGTGTTTTGGTGTACTTCCTACATAGATCATGTATGTGGTTTAAATACAGATAAGAGAGAGCATTTCAACAAATAGTTTACTAAGTCTTTAAACATTAGTCCGCATTATCTGTACAATTTTTCTGTTGATCAAGCTTCGGCGGTTGCGGTTGCCCATTGAACTGGAAGCCATAATCGCAACTAATAAGCTGCGGCCACTGTGCGCGACCCGCTGACCATTGGTCAGTCCTCTAAGCGGGGGGGTCAAGCATGCTAAATGTGTGCTTTGTTCAGCTCAAAATTTTATGTAAATTCTGAAATTTACATACACACAATACGCGAACTAAAAACAAAACCTAGCGCTTGCAAGAGTAAGGATAGTTAATTTGCCGGCTGCAGCATATTTTTGGAATAATTAGGAACAGACCACAAGGTGCACAACCACCCCAATAACAAGAAACCCGTATTTCCCGAAACCACGTGTGAAAACGTAAAATAAACCATTACTAAGTCCATCAATTTGAATACATAATGAGTTCAAATATTCTACTAATATACTTACATATATACTTTAAAATGTATATTAAGGCCGTACGTAAAAATGTTATACTTTGTTAAAGTTTTATTAAGGAAATTCTAATAAGTACAGTAACTATTTAAATGTAAAACTCATAGTTCCTCAGACCCCAGAAATCACACACGGCTTGATGGATGTTTGGAGGTTTGATCTGCTCGCCAACCCAGCTGAAAGTATAAAACAATAGTAATGCGATATAAATGAAATTTATATTGCTTGGATACAAAAACTCCAAAAAATTCCTTTATGTAGCTAATCCCAAAATGTTGGTTGAGCAAAGTACCTACATAAGTATTCACATACTATAATTTTTTATAAATTATTTACATACCAGCCAAGTAAGACCAAATGGCTCCACTAAGCAACCAAAAATTGCACTCAAAGTTTCCGTATCAACACCATCGAAGCAACCCTTAATAATACTCTGTGAGGCCTCTTGAGTTTAGGCTTAATGCTACAAGCATTTTTTGCCATTGAAATGAAACAATCTTCTGCGCATTAACTTAACTTTGCCTGTTAAACATACACAAACGTTTTCAATATTTACCGTAACCAGGGCTGCTTGCTATGAGAGACCTTTGCGCTTTGACTTCCCACGCTTCCCAGTCATGCCATTCCAAACCACCCCCATTTCGAGCGCCTGCCAGTGAGTTTTATTGTGTAAGAACCGAGCAACCCGCTGAGGGTGGACGAAGATCATCACCAACACCATCAGCATAATATACACGTCAAAACTTCCAATTAGAGACAATCATTCGGCTACAGGATAGCAAGGATAGCTAAGTTATCAAGGCCATGTACAGGGGGGTTGATTGCTTGGTTTTGCCTACAAATACGTGCGTTCAAGATGAACTTCTGTTTATTCCTCAACTTGCGCTCCCGCCACCAACAGCAAGCTCCAGAGTAGTAAGGACCTGCTACAAGAAGGGCGGAATTATCAAAACCACATATGGAATACCCATCGAGATGTCACCGATATTGAATGGTTTGTTTTTATTGTTCTGCGGGTCAATTAAGTGGAATGCTGTGCGATATTTAAATGGATTTTCGTGTTGAACTTGGCAGAAATTTCCATATATGTTTGCATAGTATGTACAAATGCATGTTTGCACTTCACTATCAATTCAACCGCCATATATGTTCATATGTATAGTACACACTTAATTTATGCACAGGTGTCCCACAATACCATTTTTATATGTGAAAACGACACTTTTATTAACAGGATTAACTCTCCTATTTCGGCACATTTTATATGTTGCATGACTGAACGCTTCGTTGAGTATTTGCGCATTAAATATCAGTATTGTCGCTTTATTAATGTGAACATACTTTTGATATATTGTATGCTGAAAATTGGTTTTATGTGCTGGCAGTCGGCTGTTTTAACAATTTCCTAGCATTTATTCAAACTAAGACAAAATGAAAACTAACAAAATAACGAAACAAGCCTTGGAAATGAGACAGGTATGTTGTGTTTTAACTGTTTCCAAAATGGCACATATCTTTAGTGATTAATTATGCCTAAATAAAAGCCGAATATGCCTAAAAAATAGTGCAAGATGTACTTTTTGCGAATCCGTTTGGGTAAGAACTTCTTACTTTAGTAAATTTAATAAACTTTCAAAAACTTTGATTTTTTTTTTGTTTTTCGTTTAGCAATTTATTAGGATTAATTTGCGCCTACACCACATGAAATATCTACAGAAAACGAAATTGATTTATAATTATCACAATTTGAGCGAGAGCATTTGGTAGCTGCGACCGACGCACGCTAAAACTGAGCACTGGATGCCATAGCTTTTATATATAGTGCCCCTTCGCAGCACACACGAATGCTCTTCAAAGTGTTATCAGATCACACATACTGAACGTCTTCGGATTTGTGCGCGACGAGAGAAATTCGATTTTGTTGTTTTGTAATTTTCGGAAGCATGAATCAAAAATGTTTTGGTTTAAAAAGATTTGCTTAAAATCGATATCGTAATGAACGCACCAATCACGTGTATCCAAAAGATACCGGGCGCTTTACTCTCTGTGATCCCGTCCCCAGTGATGTAACGAAAGTTCTGGTAGTGTAACTAGTTCCTTAGAAAAAATGTAAAATAAAATAAACAATTCAGCTTCGAGCAATATCCAAACGGCCGGCAAACAACAACGCCACCAAATGCGGAAAACGTTGACAACTTTGATAACCGGCCAATACCTTACACGTTGGAGCAGTGAGAACATCAAAATGCTTACAAGATGCAAGCGTAAGTTTCAAGACGAAAACAAAGAACTTTAACTTTAGCCTTTATTTAAAACAGTAACACACATTATATATCAGTGCCACGGTACTTGATTACCGATTGTGCCTTTTTTGTAAAACTTAGCAGTGGCTGACGCAGTATTGGCTAGTGATGGCGTCGGTAACGTTGGTTCATACGTAGGTCCACCGCCCTCTGCCTTGAGCACGGCAGCACATTTCCACTGTCTAGAATAGTTAATGCACCATATGCGCACGCAGCCGTCATCGCCGGTTGAAATTAACATTGTAGCGAGCATGTTCCAGCAGACGCGCCAAACTGGACAGTTATGATCGCTGAATTTAACAGTTTGAAGATCAAGTTTTGAGTTGCCACTTGAGTCTCTAAAATGGTTCTAGATTAAACGCTGTTAAGTTTTTCACAAGGGTCCAGTACTTACGTGAAACCGCGAATGTTTACAATATAGAGATCCTTGCTAGCCACAGCCAACATATGAAAAGTACGCCCTGCATTTGGCGCAAAAGCCACATCAGTAACTGGATCTGTTATGTCGTTAATAGTCTCCATTTTAACACATTTGCGCGCATTCTCGCTATAGCCAAAGAGAAACACTTTGCCTGTTGGCGTGGCCGTTTCATCGCTGCCAGCCTGTGGAGCAAAGAAGACTAGATATTATTGGAGAACACATTATCAACTGAACTGATTAACGAACCGCCAACAGTTGCGAAACCATGTAAGTGGATGTGTTCCACGACAAACAGCTAAGTGGAAATTTATTGGCAATTTCATGCTGTACTGGCCATTGCGATAGATTCATGATGTCCGGTGCCTCATATATCCGGATTATTCCATCTGCAGACGCAGTGGCTAACAGCAGTCCAAGATATTTTGGCGCGAATTCCACATCTGTGACGCTAGTCCGAGAGTCAACAAGCGTAGCGCGTCTTACCCATCTGCGCGTGGGTGGGACGGTGGTCGTCGTCGTGTTCACTTTGTCACCGATTACCTCTTCCCAAACGGTTGCCGTTCGATCAAAAGAACATGTGGCAACCACTTGGCCAAATTCAGGATGCGCCCATGACACGCGCCAAATAGAACCAGAGTGCGCCTTCCAGCTGCTCGCCACTTTCCATTTGCCGTGCTCGTCTTCGTCCCAAATCTGAAGAGAGAGGAGGAGAAAATAAAGGAGTTTAACAAAGTATGTCCGTATGTACTTTTAATAAATGAAATTCTTGGTCTTTTATTATACTTTTACTGTTTGGTCGCTGGAGCAAGTCGCCATGCGTCGTCCATAATAATCAAATACGACGTCGTGTATAACATCTTTGTGATCAGCAAGAATTGGCTCCACATCAAACATTGTTGATAACTTAGTCGTGTTTGGACCACCTTCAATGCCGTGACGCTTGATGGTAGTTTTAGTATTTTTTCGGCTTTACCATGCTGTTTTAATTTCATAGTCTGGCAGCACTGTTTTTTAAAACCCAAAACTATAGAGAAGCTCTGGCAACGATGCGGCTGCAGTTCTGCCTCCCAAATCGAAAAGAGTCAAAAAAAAATTGTTAATTAAAGAAACGCCAACAGCAGGGCAGGTTGTTAACTAAAGTTTTGTGCTTACCCAAAGCACAAAGTAGTCGTGTATTTCGTAAACTGAACAAAAACGGTACTCGCGAATATTCTACCCGGAAAAGAACAGTTAGATATATTGCAAAAATAGGGAACAAAAAGAAACGTGAAAAACGCAATAAAATGGAGAAAAGTAAGTCAATGACCGACCGTATATTGTCAATTGAAACTCAAAGTGCCCTGGACAATTTATTGAATATGTATGTAATGTGCATACATACATTTGTATATGCATATGGGCATATGTAAATAAGTTTGCAACAACCAAACCCAAGCACGGGTTATTAACCCCAACGCCGCACGATACATTGATTAATATTCAAATGCATACATAAATAAATATCTAGTAGTGTCGTTGTGCGCAGGCTGAATTTGTTTATGCACATTTAAAGGTGTTTACATAAGGTCTATTATCAGAGCGTGTCTACGTTGGAAAAGCTGTTTAGGCAACATAATTTTTTCAATACATATGCTCGGGCCATTGCGCTCTCTCGCTCGCTCTTGTGTTCTCAGTACTGTTACTGACCTTGATTCCTATTGGACTCCACATATCGCGCCACTTCTCGTATATACGTGTGTTTTTGTGAATGTGTAGGTGCCCAACCAGCCACCGTAAGTGTATGCGACGTCATGCGGCATTTTCTGAGTAACATGCATAAATTGCTTTGTATTGCGACTACGAAATAAGACGAGCCCATCAAAATGCTTTCGTCAAACGTCGGACCGAACGGCTTCCGTTATCTAAATCTGTAGTTAATTTATGCAAAGTCGTAATTGAGAGTGGGTGCTATATAAAGACATTAATTGAATAACAGAACAGCCATTGTTGTGTCTGTTGCTTGATTGTCTTCTTTACATACATATGTATGTATGTACATACATGCGCATACACATACATATATGTATGTGCATACATAGTACACGTTATTACATATGTTGTATGTACATTTGAGTTGGCCTTCGCTATATGGTATTATGCATACGTATTATTATCAAGATCATCGTTTCTCGACCGAAAATGTCAGCGCGATATCAGCAGCAGCCACGCGCCAAATATAATTATTTTGACCAATTGGCTTTTAAAAAACCGACAAACAGTTTTTGTGTATATTTCCGTCTGCGATGATAAGAGCCAGCAAGAGTATTAATCATATTGAGTAACCGTAGTTCTCAAAAATCGGAAGATTTTTCTTATCAGATGAGCGTAGTGGCGACTGCGTTATGACTTTAAAAAAACCTCTGCTGATTTTGAAATAGCCGGCGTTAACGTTGCGGTCGCCGTCGAGACCGGAGCAGCGTGGACGTTGAGTGCGCAGTCGAGTGTTGAACTAACAACGAGAAGTGATTTTTTATAATTATTTTGAATTCGAGTGCAACTAATAGCACAAAAACATGCACGTCAATTTAATCCATATTTTTCTAATTTTCTATAATTCATAATCAGCTTCTGTTGCTGACGTTTAAACTGTGAGCAATTGATAGCATTTAGAGCTGTATTGTGTTGTTGTTATTTGTATTTTTGTCCCTTGATTGCATTCCGTGATCGTAACCTTGTGCGCAATTTTCGATGTCAAGCTCAACATTTAAGTTCAGTTTGCGCCACAGCCTTGACATTGAATAAAAACCACAAAAACAATGCACTACTATGGAAAGAGAAACATAAACAGCTGTGCGCCTGCTCTCAGCCCCACATCGCTATCGATTGCACACACTCTCTGTTATCGACAACACGCATATCTTTGATGGTGATTAAGTATACGCCGCGGTGTTTTGATTAATTTTGTAACAAACGCGTTGTTAGCTAACGCAAAAGGTAAATAAATAAATAAGCCATTTTTATACACTGCTCGGTTGATACGACTGTGGCTGTTTAAGTTGCTGCCTCGACCTATGAAGCCCTCTGACGATTAGCATACGAGCGCAACAACCTGTGCATACACGCACGAATCACACATTTAGGCAAGCATAAGTAGTTGATAGTGGCTGCGATGTCGGCGTCAGCGTCGTCACCAACGATTCACCTCAACGTCCAACCAGGCCAGGTCCGGCAGTCAGCAATAGTGTGTTTTGGAGGAAGTGTAGCCAGTCGCAGTCAGTCGCATTTCGTCGGTCATTGGGATAGCAATCGTGCGGAACTTATTGCTTGCGTTGCGTAGCTGTGGAACGCTGTAAAGCCCAGCGCAAATTTTGACATTCTAATATAATCTTATTTACAATAAGAAAAAGTGGTAAAATTGCAAATTTGAATTATTCGACGGTCCACGAGCAAATTTCGTGCAATCATTTTTATAAAAATATAAACGTTATTGTTTTCTTTAAACAAAAAAAAAATACGTGCGCATTTATTACGAATTCGTATTAGATTCCAATTAAATAATAATTGATATGGCACTTATCGCTTCATCTTAAAGTAATCGACACTTGGCAAATTAAAAAAACATACGATTTGTGTCTTATAAAAATTCCACTGAGGAACAAAAATGGCGGATCCGAATGAAACATTGTTTCGGCTACAGTTGAAGGCCATTACAAGTTTTTCATATGCGATTTTGACGTCGTTTTTTTTTACCACTGTGCATAAATATTGATTTCGATCATCCATTTAATTCTTGCTGAGGCTTTAAGAGAACGTAATAGAATTACATAACTGCACCCACTAATTTAGAGCTTCAAGGCTCTATTATTACTTATGTATTTCACCTTTATATTTGTTTCGGCTCTGCCTTCAAACTCACATTGAGCCAAATCATGCCGATTATTTCAAAATCGCTGCTTCTGCAGCTTGAAGTGGCCTGGCATACTTACATATTGTAATACCAAAATCATTGACCTCTCTCATGCATACATACATATAAGCCAAAGCAATTTGCATTTCCACATATGTATGTACATGCATGCATACATACATACATATGTAGCTTTTAGAGCTGTTGTTGGGGAGCTTGATCGTTTTAAATTTGGATGCGCTGTACATTGTACCCTAATAACCAATTTATTATCATTATTTTTTTATATGCGTTGTTTCAATTTATACCTTAAACTAGTTTTGCATAATTTTGCATTTTATAGTGTTTTGCCGCTGCGCCATCGGTGTCACAGACATACAAACATACTAACAAACATATTTATGAACAGTTTTGAACTTGAATTATAAGCACTTACACGTTTCTACCAATCAATTTTGATTGACGTATGCAGCACACTTTCACTGAAAATCTGCAAAAAAGGATTAAATAAGTTAATGAATGCCAATTCAATTGATTTTTAGCGCACATTTGGATTTGATATTTTATTGTTGCCGATGTACATCGCACTGTTAGGCACTCTGGCTTTTTTCGCATTCATATTGACTTTGCTCTTTGGCCGTGGCCACAAAAGAACAAAAACCACAACAGCTGCTACCGGAACAGCAATAACAACAACCACGACAAATACAACACAAGAAAATACTAACGACAACAACAACTGCAATAATAACAAAACTAATTGTAAGCAAAACATGTGTCACACCTACTTATATCGTTGCTAAGTAATAAACCTCCCATATTTTTAAAATTTTGCTAGAAATTACATTTTGAATATGAAAATCTGTCATATCTCGCACATTGTTAATAATTACATTGTCTACATGTATAGTATTTTGTATTTTAGTAATTTTGCTCATTTCCCCCGCCTACTTCAACATTCTAAATAATATATATTTTAAATTTATTTATTTATTTTATTTACTTTTAGACAACTCCAGCGTTATTGCGGCTGCAGCAACAACAAAACCAGATACAGAAAAAAATTATCCTAAGGCAAGCATCAAAAAAGTTAAATTTTCAAGTGAAAACTTAGTATCTGAAGTTGGTAACTTGTGCGACAAAATTAAGGATATTGGTGTGGCCGATTTGAGTAACGATAAGAATAATATAATAAATCACAATAACAACAATATTGATAGCATCAAGTACAACAACAACATGAGCGCGACAACAACAGCTGCTCCAGCAGCAACGTCTACAGATGCAAATGATCGCCCTAGTTTTCTGGTGAGCATAACTTGAAAATGGTTCCAAAGTTCAAAAGCTAATCTATGAAGCCTCCTCAGGTTGGCGACGAAATCGACGATAAGGCTGCCTTGGAAGCGGGTGAAGCTCGCGATGATTTTCCACAAAAGATGCAAAGTGATATAAGACAAAATGGCGATCTGGCAGAGCGTCGCAAGCGTCTGAGGTAGGTGTCGAAGTTCATTTAGAGATTAAAGTAATCTTGGGGCCGCAAAATTCAGAAACAAAATGAAAGATGAACATTTTTTAAAGGGAAAAGTGTAGATTGAGTGATTACATTTCTAACTATGTTGGTATAAAGGAGTAACAAATCATTTTTTGAAAATTGTTTTCAATTCCTGATAATAAAACGGCCCTTGTCAAATTTTAATTGAAATATCTTTTTTTTGTAGCAAATTGAAGTCAGGTTGTTTCAGGAAAATTCCATTTAAAACCAGTTATAAGTACAATGGATTTAAACTTACAACTTTCAGTTTTGTTTTAACACTGCTTCTGCAACATGTTTTTGGGCGTCCTTGGTGTGTGTTTTTTTTACTTTTTACAATTTATCATCAACTTATACTTTTGAAAACCATTGAGAATAAATTCGTTGGATTTAGTAGGTACTGCGGTGCATACGTTTTTTCTGCTCTCAATTCAGATGCATTTTATTCCCAGCCAAACAGCGCCGCGTACCAGCCCGTGGCTGCTTATATTGTAGGCCAAAAGGAAATTCCCATGCATAATAGATGCAAAGAGCAAAACAAAGGGGCACAACAAACAGGTGATTGACTCTACTCCGACAACAGAAACGACGCTTTATACTCTGGCCACAAAGCAAAATGATAGAGAGAGATAGAGAGAAAGAGAAAAAGTAAGACAAGCAAGAGAAGTCGCACACTTACGATAAAAAATATAAATATTGCAATGCAGAACCGGAATTTGTTAGACAGAGAGCAGAGAGCGCCTTCTGCGAGAGTGCGCGTGCACTGGGAGAGAGCGGCAGGTGCGGCCGGCCGCATCAATTTTCACTGACGACGTGCGTCGCTCCAATTTATTTTCATTCATAACTGTTGTTTCGATTTAAGATGAGCATAGAAACCATCGCATTGATCCCCCCGACCCTACCCTAGGCAGAACCTCTCAGCCAGCTTTTCTCATGGAGTCAAACAGAGAGATGCCGTCATCAACTTTTCTTACATGGCGTATGAGCAATGCGCATTCGTTGAATTTTTTCTGGCTGTTAGCATTTTTAGTTACCAAGTGGTCGTCAGGTCTGGTAGTTGTTGCCGCTGCGTTCGTCCGTCATCATCGTGTCCGTAGTGAATTTTTTTTTTGGCTAAAATATTTTCTCGCGTTTTGGGTTGATTATTCAAGCAGCGGTGGCATTGATTATTTTTTATTTGTTGTTGTGTTGTATTTGGTTTGACTTGTCGGTGAAAGTGGTGCGCGCAAACACAATAGTTGTGTTATTGTTTTATAATACTTTCTTACATACATATATCATTGAATTCCAAGCGCACGTTCCGAGTGTAGTGGAGACTTTGTACTTGAATGCTTTTGGCCTTAATTGTGCTAGCCACAATGTTGAAGCGTCGCGCCAGCAAGCGATTTGTACTTGTTGAATCGGGCGAAGAGCCGCAGCAGGCGGTGGGGGTGGTAGCAGCCACAGCTGGTACAACTGCTAATCAACAGAATGATAATGCAATAGCCCCGTCAATACCGAATTTTGTGGCCATCGAGCAAGTGAATCAGAATAATACCCAAAACATTGACAGCGGCAACAACAACAATCTCGACCCTACTTCACAATCTTCATCACTCCTCAACGTTCCAGGCGGCACTCTAAAGTAAATCAAAAAACGAAGCCCTAGACCAAAAGTAAATTACGAATGCGACACGCATTTACCGAACACACACACACACACAAACTTATACTAAAATACGTTTCGGCCACATTAAAAGAGCGGGCGCGTCCTATTGTATGCGCATATATATGTAGTTTTATGTGTTTGTGTACTTATCACTTTTCTGAATTCGCGAAACGTAAACAAAGCAAACTCTCAAAAAGAATTTGTTTTAAGCGGCACGGACAAGTGAAAAACCAGTTTGCCAAATAGTTAAGAAATTCTTCATTAAAAACTTTTAACGAGAGCGCGAGCGCCCGTGTTTTAACATTGACCCACAATAGCGTCTTACAACTGCTCAGTCGAACTTAAGACACTGCTCCGAAATTCGCACTGCATAACATATTTTGGATCCGTAGGAAATCATTATCAATAATATCCTAAGGGAAAATTTGTTAAATATAATAACCAGTATATGCTAACCCAATATATATTTGTTATTATTATAATGGAAAGTGGTGTTATATATTGATATAATTTGTCTTAAATTATATTTGCAATACGATCAATTCTACATGTCAATTTTTCGACATTGGCTTTAATGTCACAGTTAAACAATTTGAAATGCAACAAAGTCAGAAAAATTCTTTCCCATTAAAATGCAAGAATTTAAGGTGCATACATACATCTAGAGATGTAATAATACATCTCACTGAGAACGACAAAAATAAGCAAAACTTTATAAGAGAGTTTTTAAGTTTAATTAGGGTTTAATTATATAAGGGTGTTTTCGTAATGCCTAGGATATGTTAGTATGCATTTGATGCATTATGTTTTCATTTATCGGATAGAGAGTTAACATAGAAAATAACATCCAAGGTTTAATTATAAATGCCTTTCCTCCTTCTTAACCTGCAGACCGAGTATGTCCCGCGGCACTGGCCTGGGCCAGGATCGTCATCAGGATCGTGACTTTTTGATTGCAACTACGGAGGAGTTCGTAAAGCGCTTTGGCGGCACCCGTGTCATTAATCGTGTCCTGATCGCCAACAATGGCATTGCGGCTGTCAAATGCATGCGATCAATACGTCGCTGGTCTTACGAGATGTTCAAAAACGAACGCGCTGTCCGCTTCGTAGTCATGGTGACCCCAGAGGATTTGAAGGCGAACGCCGAGTACATTAAAATGGCTGACCATTATGTACCAGTTCCTGGCGGTTCCAACAACAACAATTATGCCAATGTCGAACTAATCGTTGATATTGCACTTCGCACTCAAGTGCAGGTATGTATTTCTCAGTTGTGTTCCAGCCCCCAGCTTAGTTGAGATGCCTAGCACATCGTATGATGTTTGTTTACTAGCGTCCGACCTAAGTATTTACAGATTTGAATGTGCTTGTGTGTATATACTCAGAGTTTCAAGAGTGACCCGTCTCGAGTATGTAATTATCGGAAAGTCGTTAGAAGAAACTGTATTCACATGTGCTTGAGTTTGTTTCGTAATATGAAAATAGTTTTTGCGCTTACGTCACGTTAGCTCGTTATTTGGCGTCCTTTATCTATGTAATAGGGTATACATTAAAATAATATACATTTTAGGCTGTCTGGGCCGGCTGGGGCCATGCTTCGGAGAATCCCAAACTGCCGGAACTTTTGCACAAGGAGGGGTTGGTTTTCCTTGGGCCGCCGGAACGTGCCATGTGGGCCCTTGGAGATAAAGTTGCCTCATCAATTGTCGCTCAAACTGCTGAAATTCCTACACTTCCGTGGTCCGGGTCGGAGCTGAAGGCTCAGTATAGCGGTAAAAAGATCAAGATTACAAGCGATCTCTTTGCACGCGGCTGCGTAACTAATGTAGAACAAGGTCTAGCGGCCGTTAACAAGATCGGTAAGCATATGGGGTGTTGATACTACAGTTCATCGCCTCTTATTCATGTTGTTGTCTTTTTTAGGTTTCCCTGTCATGATCAAGGCTTCCGAAGGAGGCGGTGGAAAGGGTATTCGTCGTGTTGACACTGCCGAAGAGTTCCCAGCACTCTTCCGTCAAGTTCAAGCCGAAGTACCTGGTTCACCGATTTTCGTCATGAAGCTGGCCCGTGGTGCTCGTCATTTGGAGGTGCAGCTGCTGGCCGATCAGTATGGCAACGCCATCAGTTTGTTTGGACGTGATTGTTCCATTCAACGGCGACATCAAAAAATTATCGAAGAGGCACCAGCTATTGTAGCCCAGCCAGAGGTGTTCGAAGACATGGAGAAGGCTGCCGTGCGCTTAGCCAAGATGGTGGGTTATGTTAGTGCTGGCACTGTGGAGTACCTGTACGATCCAGAAGGCAAATACTTTTTCCTTGAGCTTAATCCGCGTCTCCAAGTCGAGCATCCATGCACAGAAATGGTAGCAGATGTCAACTTGCCCGCTTGCCAGCTTCAAATTGGCATGGGTATTCCTTTGTACCGTCTGAAGGATATCCGTCTGCTATATGGCGAATCGCCATGGGGCTCCTCAGTCATTGACTTTGAAAACCCGGTGAACAAGCCACGACCTTCTGGCCATGTGATCGCAGCGCGTATCACTTCGGAAAATCCCGACGAAGGCTTCAAACCTAGCTCGGGAACTGTGCAGGAGCTAAACTTCCGATCCAGCAAAAATGTCTGGGGCTACTTCAGTGTTGCCGCATCCGGCGGTCTGCATGAGTTCGCCGATTCGCAATTCGGTCACTGCTTTTCGTGGGGCGAAAATCGCCAGCAGGCACGTGAAAACCTCGTAATTGCACTCAAGGAGCTTTCTATTCGTGGTGACTTCCGCACAACAGTCGAGTACTTGATAACATTGCTGGAGACAAACCGGTTCCTAGATAACAGTATCGACACTGCTTGGTTGGATGCTTTGATTGCAGAACGTGTGCAGTCTGAAAAGCCCGATATTTTGTTGGGAGTCATGAGTGGAGCTCTGCATATCGCCGATCGCCAGATCACTGAGTCTTTCTCAAGTTTCCAAACTTCACTGGAAAAAGGACAAATCCAGGCAGCTAACACGCTTACCAATGTTGTTGATGTAGAGCTCATAAACGATGCCATTCGCTACAAAGTCCAAGCAGCCAAGAGCGGTCCCAACTCTTACTTCTTGCTAATGAACAATTCATTTAAAGAAATCGAAGTGCATCGCCTCTCCGATGGTGGTTTACTCATTTCGCTCGAAGGTGCCTCATATACCACCTACATGAAGGAAGAAGTCGACCGGTATCGCATTGTTATTGGAAATCAAACCTGTGTTTTCGAAAAAGAGAATGATCCCTCCCTGCTGCGCAGCCCCTCGGCGGGCAAACTGATTAATCTGTTAATCGAAGATGGGGCACATGTCGCCAAAGGTCAAACATATGCTGAAATTGAGGTAATGAAAATGGTTATGACCCTAACGTCACAAGAAGCCGGTACTGTCACGTTTATACGTCGTCCAGGCGCTGTTCTGGATGCAGGCTCTCTGTTGGGTCACCTCGAATTGGACGATCCGTCGCTCGTTACGAAAGCACAGCCCTATAAGGGTCAGTTCCCACAGCCGGAAAACGCGCCAGTGCCTGAGAAACTAAATCGCGTACACAATACGTACAAATCTATACTTGAAAATACGTTGGCCGGCTACTGTTTACCAGAGCCATTTAATGCGCAACGATTACGTGATATAATAGAGAAATTTATGCAGAGCTTGCGCGATCCTTCACTACCGCTTCTGGAGCTGCAGGAAGTCATCGCCTCTATTTCGGGCCGCATACCTATATCGGTGGAGAAGAAAATACGCAAGTTAATGACCCTATATGAGCGCAACATCACCAGCGTACTCGCCCAATTTCCCTCTCAGCAAATTGCCAGTGTCATTGATAGTCATGCAGCAACTTTGCAGAAACGGGCTGATCGTGATGTCTTCTTCTTAACAACCCAGAGCATTGTGCAACTAGTGCAGCGCTATCGTAACGGTATTCGCGGCCGTATGAAGGCTGCCGTTCACGAACTGCTACGTCAGTACTACGACGTTGAATCACAATTCCAACATGGTCATTACGACAAGTGCGTAGGACTGGTGCGCGAGCACAATAAGGATGACATGCAGACCGTGGTCAACACCATATTCTCACATTCCCAGGTGGCTAAGAAAAATTTATTGGTTACTCTGCTTATCGATCATCTGTGGGCAAACGAACCGGGCCTTACCGATGAATTGGCCAACACCCTTAACGAGTTAACGTCGCTCAATCGTGCCGAGCATTCGCGCGTTGCACTTCGTTCCCGTCAAGTCCTGATTGCAGCTCATCAACCAGCCTATGAACTTCGCCACAATCAAATGGAATCGATTTTCCTATCGGCGGTGGACATGTATGGCCACGATTTTCATCCTGAAAACCTACAACGTTTGATTCTATCAGAAACCTCCATATTTGATATTCTTCACGACTTCTTTTACCATTCCAATCGCGCCGTCTGCAATGCGGCTCTCGAGGTGTATGTTCGACGTGCCTACACCTCCTACGAGCTGACCTGTCTGCAGCACCTAGAGCTATCAGGCGGCTTGCCTTTGGTGCACTTCCAATTTTTGTTGCCCACCGCGCATCCCAATCGTCTCTTTTCACGCATGTCATCGCCTGATGGTCTGGACCAAGTAGCCGCCGAAAGCGTGGGATCCTCATTTGTGCGCACCGGTGCCATTGCCGCTTTCGACTCGTTCGAGCATTTTGAGATGTACTCTGACGAAATTTTAGATCTACTGGAGGACTTTGTTTCACCCGCTCTAGTCAGCGCAAAAGTGTTGGAGGCCGTAGACGCTGTGGATTCTATCTCTGATAGCCGTCATAGCACATCCATTAATGTATCACTATCAGATCCAGTCTCCCGTGCCAATGCCGCCGAAGAGGCAAAATCTACCGAACCCATTCATATTGTGAGTGTTGCAGTGCGTGAAACGGGTGAAATGGATGATCTGCAGATGGCGCAAATATTCGGTAACTATTGCAAGGAGCATCAACAGGAGCTGTTCCAGCGTCGTATACGCAGAATTACCTTCGCTGCGCTAAAGAAGCGCCAGTTTCCAAAATTCTTCACTTATCGTGCACGCGACAAATTCGAGGAAGACAGAATCTATCGCCATTTGGAACCCGCTTCTGCTTTTCATTTGGAGCTAAATAGAATGAAAACGTACGATCTGGAGGCATTGCCGACTGCTAACCAAAAGATGCATCTATACTTGGGCAAGGCAAAGGTGTCCAAGGGTCAGGAGGTTACAGACTTCCGTTTCTTTATACGCTCTATCATTCGGCACTCGGACCTTATTACCAAAGAGGCTTCGTTTGAATATTTGCAAAATGAAGGCGAGCGCGTGCTGCTCGAGGCAATGGATGAGTTGGAGGTAGCCTTCTCACATCCGCATGCCAAGCGTACCGATTGCAATCACATATTCCTAAACTTTGTTCCCACCGTCATAATGGATCCGGCTAAAATTGAAGAGTCTGTTACAAAGATGATCATGCGCTATGGACCACGTCTATGGAAGCTACGTGTGCTTCAAGCTGAGTTAAAAATGGTCATTAGACAATCCCCACAGTCGCCAACCCAAGCTGTACGACTCTGCATTGCAAATGATTCGGGATATTTCCTGGATATTTCCATGTATACGGAACAAACGGATGCTGAAACGGGCATTGTGAGTTCTACTGAAATATCGCTTAAAATGCTTACTAAATTAAAAACTCTGCTCACAGATCAAGTTCAAGGCTTACGGCGACAAGCAAGGTTCTCTACATGGTCATCCTATTTCCACGCCATACATGACCAAGGACTTTTTGCAACAGAAACGTTTCCAGGCGCAGTCCAGTGGTACTACATATGTGTATGACGTGCCAGATATGTTCCGTCAAATGACGGAACGACACTGGAAAGAATTTTCAAAGGCTCGGCCAACGGTGGACATACGCATACCTGATAAGATCCTACTCGAGTGTGTTGAGCTTGTTTTGGAGGGTGATAATCTGGTCGAGATGCAACGTCTTCCTGGCGAAAATAATGTAAATGTATAATAACACTCTTAATAACTCATTTAATAGATAAATCTTTTACAGTGCGGCATGGTGGCTTGGCGTATTGTGCTCGCCACTCCCGAGTATCCAGCTGGTCGTGAGATTATTGTCATTGCTAATGATTTAACTTATCTCATTGGGTCGTTTGGTATCAAGGAAGATGTATTATTTGCCAAAGCATCACAACGTGCTCGCGAACTTAAAGTTCCAAGGGTACATTATAACTGAGCTATAATTGTTGATCTTTTTTAATTTGTTTATATTTTAAAGATATACATTTCGGTCAATAGTGGTGCTCGGATTGGTCTGGCTGAGGAGGTTAAGGCGATGTTTAGAATAGCATGGGAAGATCCCGAGGAGCCTGACAAGGGCTTCAAATATCTATACCTTTCTACTGAAGACTATGCCCAGGTTGCTAATCTCAACTCTGTGCGTGCCATTCTCATCGAGGATGAGGGCGAACAGCGCTACAAGATTACCGATATTATTGGAAAAGATGATGGTCTCGGTGTTGAGAATCTGCGCTATGCTGGCCTCATTGCTGGTGAAACTTCACGAGCCTACGAAGAGATTGTTACAATTGCCATGGTCACGTGCCGCACTATTGGAATTGGCTCATATGTGGTGCGACTGGGTCAGCGTGTCATCCAGATCGATAACTCGCATATTATACTCACGGGCTATGCCGCTTTGAACAAGGTAAACTTGCCTAGCTAACATACACTAAGTTTTATTTGGTTTTCGCAATTGATAAACATAAAGGAATAAGAATTCTATAACTTTTGTGAAAACGACTTTTATATCACTACATATATATTAACACTTTCTCTTGTATGAATCGTAGCTCTTGGGTCGTAAAGTGTACGCCTCAAATAATCAACTTGGTGGTGTGCAGATTATGTTCAACAATGGTGTCACCCACAAGACTGAAGGTACGAATGGCTGCTATTCTCAATCAATTTTTAGCTAATTTACACTTCGCACACTTTTAGCTATCGATCTCGACGGTGTTTACACCATTCTGGACTGGCTTTCGTACATTCCCGCATATATCGGCTGTGATCTGCCTATAATTGTGCCCAATGATCGCATCGATAGACCTGTGGACTTTATGCCCACAAAATCTCCCTATGACCCACGCTGGATGCTTGCCGGGCGCGTAAATCCCGTCAATGCCAATGAATGGGAAAATGGCTTCTTTGATCGAGACTCTTGGAGTGAGATAATGGCGCCATGGGCTAAGACCGTTGTAACTGGTCGGGCTCGCTTGGGTGGCGTACCTGTGGGCGTGATCGCAGTGGAAACGCGCACTGTTGAAGTAGAAATGCCGGCTGATCCTGCAAATTTGGACTCTGAGGCAAAGACACTGCAGCAGGCTGGTCAAGTATGGTATCCCGACTCATCATACAAAACAGCACAGGCAATTAAGGATTTCGGACGTGAGGAACTGCCGCTGATAGTGTTTGCCAATTGGCGTGGTTTCTCTGGCGGCATGAAGGACATGTATGAGCAAATTGTAAAGTTTGGTGCATACATTGTGGATGGCCTGCGTGAATACAAGAAACCGGTGCTCATATATCTGCCACCTAATGCCGAACTACGTGGTGGTGCCTGGGCTGTTCTGGACTCACTTATCAATCCAAGATATATGGAAACGTATGCTGATCCCGAAGCACGTGGTGGTGTTCTGGAGCCAGAGGGCATTGTGGAAATTAAATATAAAGAAAAGGACCTCATTAAGACCATTCACCGATTAGATGCTACTACGATTTCTGTAAGTTCCCAGCGTTTTTACTCAGTACTCTAGAATTTACAAATCAATTCCACTTTTACGCCTTGCAGCTTAAGAAAGAGTATGATGAGCTCATTGCATCCGGCGACAAGATAAAAGCTGCTCAAGTTGAAGAAAAGATCAAGTCTCGTATAGCGCTACTCATGCATGTCTATCACACGGTGGCAGTCCACTTTGCCGACCTACACGACACACCCGAACGTATGCTAGAAAAGGAATGCATCAGCGAAATAGTGCCTTGGCGCGATTCTCGCCGTTGGCTCTATTGGCGACTACGTCGCCTACTGCTGGAGGATGCCTACATTAAGAAGATACTAAAAGCTCAGGACAATCTGTCGGTTGGGCAAGCTAAGCAGATGTTACGCCGTTGGCTGGTTGAGGATAAGGGTGCCACAGAGGTAAATTATTATAAACAATAATTATATTTTACAATTAAAAACTCACTACTCCTTACATTATAGGCATACCTTTGGGATAAGAACGAGGAAATGGTCAACTGGTATCAGGAGCAAACTAATACCGAATCTATAGTTTCAAGAAACGTGAATTCGGTTAGGCGGGATGCTATTATTTCAACAATTTCCAAAATGCTAGAGGTATTAACAATCAAATTACATCTTTTTGTATACACTACATTCTATTTTTCCTTAGGACTGTCCTGATGTTGCGCTGGACGCAGTTGTCGGTCTCTGCCAGGGTCTAACGCCAGTAAACCGCGGGGTCGTTGTACGCACACTCGCCCAAATGCAGCTTAACGAGGAGTCCTCAAATACGCAAGGATGATTATACACTGTGTTTTAACGGAACCCATCCACTGTCTCCTATGAATCCTTGTGCAGACGTTGTATGTTTGTAAATAAGCACCTCGAAGGCAGATTTTATTGCGCTTCTCCAAAAGTTAATCACTTTTACTCTTGTAAAGTAACAAGCATGTTTTGCATTTTGTTTAGTTGCAATTTTTAAATATAATTAGTTTAAATATAGGTTTGTATATTTAAATTTGTTAACGGAAGACGTCTCTATTTTGCTGCTTAAGTAAGAGTTGCAAGCATGGGTAAAAATTGCACAAATGCCCCTAAACAGGTAGCTTTTAAATCATAACTTGTAACAAAGAATGTTCAAACTATCTTCGAATACAAAAATTTTGTATATAATATATTCAATACTTTCCACTAGTTCTATAAGAAATAAAATGTTTGTACACAGAGCTTTTGTGAATTATAAGAATAATGCAAATACATAATACTCAATGTAAATCTTTTAAAACACACTAACCAATGATGTACCACTCTCCTGTTCTTGAATTGAGAACGGGTGATGTTCTAATAACAGCAGTGGAAAAACAATAAACCGAAGTCGGGGGTTCGGTAATGAAAGTTAATTTTCTTTATTAAACTATAAATGGGACATATCGCAGGCATGTACAATGTTAAACATATGAAACTGCAATCAATGTATTTAAGTTCTGCCAACGGGTGTATAAACATTTTCAAATTTTGGTAATGATAGCCACCAGTCTGCTGACCTTTAGTTTATATTATCAAGAGTGTGCATCATCCAATCTGGTTCGGCTACACTTATCTTTTCAATGATTGAGTTCACCTGATAGCACAGCGATTGTATTTGACGATCCCATTGTGGCAGCAATTCTCGGTTTTCAAAGTGCACAATACCCGATATTTGGTCAATGTGTCCGTTCATACGTTCCTCTGTGATCATTTGCGAGGCAATCTTCTCGGCTTTGGCGGCAGGTATGTCAAGCAAGGCACCTAATTCCTCGAAAGTAATATTGTTGTAGAGTTTGCTGGCCGACAGCAAGTTATGCTCAAAAACAGCACGATCTAGTATGGACGAGCCGTCCTGTGTGGCAGCCTTCTGGTGATCCTGCAGCAACGCTTCGAACTCCTCTAATTCCGAGCGGCGTATGATGCGCTCCAAATACATTTTTTCGAGTATGCCATACGCTGGCAAATGTTGACAGCGTTCATCTTTGAATAGTGTGGCGAGCATGCGAGAACGCTGCTGACCAGCAGAAGCTAACACAGTACATATGAGGGCCTTCTTCAGGGCAGTCATGCGCTCGCCTTGGTCGACAATTTTTCGATAGGACAGTTCATTGTACCTTTGAGCAGCTTCAATGAATTTTCGCCGATAGTCTAGAACACGAGCGTAGCAAACTTTGTACAAAACCTGCATCGAAATGGTTTGAGTATTGTTAATCTTGTGATCACTAAGCATTAAGTACCTGCAATTCCTCTGAATTTGTTTCAGCCTGCAGAAGGGATGCACGGTTGATAAACAGTTCTGCCTGCACGGGATCATTGTCCTCCAAATAAAGTCGGGCTATTTTCAGATATGTACCCAACTTGCACTCCACGGAATACTGCTTCTGACCCGTTTCCAAAGGAATGCCAACCAAAACCATGGCTGCATCGCGCCACTGTTCATTGCGCTCATAGATATTGGCCAAATGGAAACGAATGCCGGCAACTTGTTCCTCGAAAGAAATGACGCGGGGATGGACTTTATTAAGCGTGTAATGGGACAATTGTTTGGACAAGTCGTCCGACAATTTACTCAGCTCCACGCCCACATCGTTCAGGATTTGACGAGATATTACCAGACTAACATGCTCGTTTACAATAGCGTCGACGAAAAGTTTTAGTGTATCGACCAATTCAGTTCCCGTATTCGCCAAAATAGTTTTCAGAAGTTGACGGTATTTGTCCGCCTGATCTTTATGTGTACCGGTAAAGTTTATCAGACCCAACAGCTGGGTTTTTAGGACTGCGGTGGAGATGCCCATGATGAGTACAACCAAATTAATTCCAGTACTTCAGAATTAATAAATTTCTACAATCGACAAAAAACAATAGCGATGTGCCGCTTTGTCGAGAACAAGTTTAACGTGACTAGAACGACTCAGCTCGATTTGCGATTTTTGGTTCATTTAGCTTATGTTCAAATGAGTTGACAGCCCTTGCAATTGGGTACTTTACTAATGCATTAGGGTATTCTGAATAACTCAATATGATTTGAATTTGTCCATCAGCTGTTCACAGCTGCGCTAGATTACTAGAATGGCAGTTTTCTATTCAGTAAGTAACACGGTCATATTGCAGTATTGATTGCGAGGTACGTTTTTGATGTTGTCGGTGTTAAATGAATTTAGTTCAAAGTTAAACACAGCCACCAGTTAACAGTTGTTAAGGGAAATCAAGTGCATTCTGTAAACTATTCTATTAAGTTAGAAAGTAGAACAAATGATTTGATTACCATTCAAATTGCTATTGAAAATTATTCAAACTAAGAATTTATATTGTCCGCAAACGAATACGAGTACATACAGACAAAAGAATAAATTGCGCTACCAACACTGGCAGCAAATGAATATGAGTACAATGCAATATATTGCAGCACTAGTTACCTGTGAATCAATAATAACATTTTTATATTCAAATTGGAATTTTTTAAAGGAAGCAAAATCTAAAGTTTGTATGTTAATATCTTGAGCTTTCAATTCGGTGATTCATTGATTTTACAAGCGTATTTGTTGTTTTGAAATCCCAAAGTGGTGGAGACTGGCAGATACACACAACAGCGCAGATATCTGCTTTGCACCTGAGGGTTTTGAAAATGCATTCATCAAATGGCAATATTCGCACGAAAATATGAAAGGAAATTGCCAATTGATGACACCGAAACGCTGAGCTGTGAAATTGTCACAGTTGAGGAAGTCAACGGACACACGGTACGACATAAAAATTTAGTGAAATACATACATAAATAAGTATGTATGTAGTTTAGCCCAATGGAGCTCCAGAAAAATCAATAATCAGCGACGCCGCAGCTTTGTTGATGATTTCATAAGTACCGTGTTTGTATGTATTTATGTACATACATACATACATATGTGTGTAGCAATCAACGAGTATGTATGCATTGCCCTACGACTACGGATAAACGTACATATGTTTGTATATTGATGTATGAATTATATACATACATACATAAATACATGGACAGCTCAGTGCACCCATGAAAGTTGCCTCAAATGTACTTCCGTTTTTTAATGTAAATCAGGCATCTTAGACTTGCCCCAATTATGCAAGAATTTATGGCCAGGACCATGTCTACCCAGTGACCATTTAACAAAATCCGCTGATTATACATGCATTCATATACATACATATGTACATATTTGTATGTATGTAGTACTGAATGGTTTTTAAAATCACACGCAAAATTCACAGGAGCACCACTAAGTAACCATCTGCAGAGAAGAGCTCAGCTACATTTATTTGAATTAGTACATTTTTGTATTTATTGAACCTCCATTTTTGGCGAACTTCTAATGTACATCTACGTCTTCTGTAATGCTAGGAATATTTGCTGCGGGTGCAACGCGGACCAAATCAGGAAAACTCTTGGAAAGTTTTGCGCCGTTATAATGACTTCTATAAACTCCATCAAAAACTTGGGGCCCCTGGCGCATTGCCAAAAAAGCGCTTCTTCGGGAATATGCGCCCGGATTTCATAGCTGAACGGAAAGAGGCATTACAAATTTACATAAACACCGTACTAATGAATCCTATATTGGCATCATCGCTGCCAGCCAAGCGTTTTGTTGACCCCGAAAACTACGCGCAATCTTTTCATGGTAATGAAGCAAAATTTCGATGTTGTTCTTTCGGTGACTAACTGGTTTCCATAATTACCATTGCAGATCATGCTATGCAGAATGCGCTGCTGTGCCTGCGCAACGACTCTGTGTGGGCATTAGGGGCAACACTAGGACCGATAGGCTGGCGCCTACGGAAGCATTATTTTAAAGTCACCACAAAACCACCAGAAAAGACACACAACAAACTGTTGGTTAAGAGTGGCTCGCAAACGCACCAGAGCAAACATTTTGCCGCAGGCAGCAGCAATGGCAGCGGAGGATCAATTGATGCTGGCACCTTCGATCCTAATACCGAGATGGTTGCCGAATGGTTGGAATATGGACCGGACAAGTACATCGAGGAAAAAGAAATGAATGGCGTATTGAAAAGCTTAATGGGCTTACAGCATCCGCATATTGAGCCTGTCGTACTAGCAGCACACACAGAGAGTGGCTGTTTGGTTATAAGAAAGTGAGCTCAAAATGCAAACATTTTCTACAAAATATTGAAATATCATTTTGCGTACAGATTTCACAAAAATGGCACTTTAAAGGATGTTTTATGCATGGCTGGAAATCCAAAAAATCCGTTTCTCAGCAAATATGGCAATCCAAAGGGGCGCACTGCACTGTCCATGAAACAAGTTGCTACATATGGAAAGCAAATCTTAGAGGCTATGATATTTTTGCACTCAAAGGGATACGCTTACGGTGATTATATTTTTAAAAGTATTATTGAAGTAAAAATTTATCGTGTGGTTCGAATCATAGGTCATTTACATTCCGGCAATGTTGTCATTGTGGACGATTGCGTCAAACTCTTAGACATTGAAAACCAAGTTCTGGGCGTGCCCGCCTTCTACAGGCCATTTTTTGTGCAACATAGCAAAATCCATACGATTGAGACAATTGACGTTTACTCTTTTGGTCATGTAATATTTGAAATGGCTATGGGGTATCCCCTTCAGGAGTCGATTGTGGTACGCCAAATTACCGAATGCCCCGAAGCGCTAAGTATAACTAAACATACTGTTTAAAATAAACTATTATTAAAGCACACTATCCGTAGAATGCCTGCTGGAAAGTATACTCTCGAAGGAGGCATGCAAGGCTGGCCTGCCGACTTTAGAGCAATTAATTGGTCACCGATTCTTCACACAGTACGCTGCGACAGCGCCATCAGATAGTGGAGCTGTTCCTGAAAAACCATACTTCAAATTGTCACTAAACGCCAAGGAACTGCTGAAGCAGGCGGCTTTGAGGGCCGAAAACCGTTTACGTGATGAACAGAAATCGGTGAAAAACCAGAAGAGGATTGTACGTGTACAAGAGCTCATGAGTTCAGAAGAGGAAAAACGCAAATCCAAGCATAAAGCCGTTAGTTACACAAATATTTCAGAGTAGTTCCCAGCGTTGCACCCTTTTTTAACAAAACACAATTTGTTTTCTTCTTTTCTTTTATTTGTATTTATTCTTAACGCTTTTTAGAAATTAGAGCACAAACAATCGAAGCTAAAGCAGCAAGGTTCACTCCAAACGAACAATGGACGCTTGTCGCTTTCCGCAGCTTCTTCTAGCACAGCTGCTGTCAGTGGTCTGAACACAGCAGATTCATTCAATCGCTCAGACAGCGCACTAACGCCCGAAGAACCCACACTGGCCGGCATCAAATGTAGTTATATATTTTAATCACTCAATCCCCAATTTATAGTCTCTTTGCACCCTTGTATGCATATAAGCCTAACATATGATCCATATTCTTCCTGCAGCTCCCCCACTTACGCCAGCTCTGCATATGGCAACGCAGACACTGCAGCAAACACCATTTGATGTGGCTGACCTTCCAGCAAGCACCAGCGGCGGTGCCGCATCGGTGGAAAGGCAGTCTTCAACACCGAATATGTCATCGGAAGACACTAGCGAGCCCACACGCTCGGCCCTGCTCGAATCTATATGCAAATTTAATCGCGGTTCTTTGCGCAAAGTACGATCTAATGATTAAGAAACTCAAAGAAACACTACTTTCAATATTGGACCAAATTGGCGTTATGAAATAACGGTGCCATTACCAAGAACACAAAAATGTAATACCAAACCAAAAATGAAGATCCTTTTTTAGAAAAATGTTGCGTACACCTATTAATCAAATGAGTCTAGTTATTGGCATACCTTCGACAAACAATCCAGCAAAATACTATCTATTGATGTTGTTTATAACGTAACCCACTGATTATATAAGAATATACAAATCAATATGAATTATTACGTGTGTCCACTATACAAAGATATACAAATAACATTTTAAAATTAACTAAAGTAAAAGAATCGTCTTCAAATTATACAAGTTTAAAGTCACACATATGCGAATTGTCGTGAATTCGCTACTAAAGCTTTATGTGTCTGTGCACCAACAACACGACCACCACACGACTGAAAATAACTTTGAAATCTAAAATAATATACATACATATGTATGTATCTCCAGAGAAATTTAGCAAACTCGAAATTTATCTATAAGTCTGCACCCAAAATTCGCACCAAGGTGCTTTAAGTATCTATCTAATTGTAACTATCATAGTATAGATGTTGTACGTCACCAATGCCACCGCCTCCGCCACCATCACCACATATTTTATTGCCACCATCGTCGTTGTGTATTAGTATGTATTTTTGTATCGCATTTTGTTTGTTTGGGTACTACAACTTTGGCAGGCAATGTACCTATATTTCCTCGAGTGCACGCACGGCGAGTTATTGAAAAGAAGTTGGGTTGGAGTCAACAACAAAAACGTTGCGAGTGTTAAAAACATTCCTTCGTCCGGTTTATAATGGAAACATACTCGGGGTCCTGGACTCGTAAAATGGCCAAGATTTGCACTGTTATGTATTTTTTTTAGGGAAATTTTATTATATATACGTGTATGTAACTGTGTATTGTATATCAAGATATTGCAGAATATATTTATGGGTGTTTATATGTATGTACTTATCTCATATGTTTTGGACTTGAACGTTTTGTAATTTTTGTAACAATTGTTTTATAACACATATAATTATGCATAAATGCAACGCTAAATATACACAAATATGTGTGCATGTATATGTAAAAATCATTTGATTACGCAAATTACTAAATAACGTATAGTAGTTGGGTACGTGTATGTTTGTCTATAACTGACTGTGTATATGTTGGTATACTTCGAGCAAAGGTAAAGGAAGAATTATAAACTGCAGTGAAATAAAACATATTACTGTAACTCTAATCCAAATAAAGTGTGTCGTATTGCTGTTGTAAAGGAGACGATTTTTTATTCTCTATTAGCAGATAAACTATAGTATGTGCCTCTTTGCCTTTCGCCGTTAAACAATGCTTCGATATTCCGGGATTGATAGTACGCCCTTCAATATGGTTTAACGATTTATAATATATTTATAAACGTAGGTTAACATCTGGATCATGGGACATTCCGTAAGATTTGCCATTTAGGACCAACATCTGTCAATCGTCTTAAAAATCTCGATTGGTCGGATGTATAAAAGATTTTTAAATGACTACTAAAGTTTTTTACAATTCTAAATTACTATTATTAAGCCGCATGTCATAAAAGGCAATGTAATTATGTGTTCAGTTTTCAGTGTAAAAGAAAAGACAGAAAATTTTTATTCATAATTTTTGTTTGGACTAATATTATTTGGCTTAGAATAAGATAAGACTTCAGATATTATTACATATTGCAAAATTTCGTTAGTATAGCTTCAAAAACAAAGAACTTATGCCAGAAGTAAAACATGCAGAAGGATCCTTTTACAGGAATCCAAGATGGTAGAGATTGAGTTCCCAAATGTCAGCATACTAGCAGATTTATGTCAGTTATAGCTTATACTTTCATTATCTTATAAAACGAAAGAAACATACAAAAACATAAGCACAAAAATATTAAAATAAAAACAGTTTATAAGCATGGCCGATTCACCAGACCACAGCAAGGATAACTTGGTCGAAAAAGCTGATGGGGCTAAAGATACCCATGGGAAAGGAAAGGTGGATGTAGGCGGCAAAGACAAACCGGCAACAGATAAGGAAAAAGGAAAGGGTGACGTGAGTTTTCTGCTTATCATTATTCAATATGCTATACTTATACGACGGTAATTGGTTTCAATAAATTATGAAAGTTATTGATTCAACAAGCGTATTGCCAGGGCGACAGTCCTTTTTTGGCATACTTAAATTCACATAATCACTTGATTTGCCGTTTTATGAGTAACGCACTCGACTCTTGTGTTCACGTCACGTTACAACACGAAAGCCTCAAGATTAAAAATGGCTGCGGCGGCCAAAAATTGGTCGGGATTGGTTACGCTTTGCTTAGGTCAGGAGCGTGAGAAGGTAACCGATTGATTTTTATGATAATGTCGAAGTAAACATGGATATTTTATGCGTTTTTAATGAATTGATGCTTTTTACGGCATGTGAACACGAGAATGCGTTAACTTGCCAAATTTGGCAGTCACGCATACTGCAGGTCCCCTGATTTGTTTTTACTTGCGGTCCGGCAGTTTCAATGGAATGCCGAGCTGATAATCTAATTCAGTTGTTTTACTTTACACATTCCTTCCATCATAATGCAGAAACAAACCAGCAGCCAGCGCGGATCCCTGACCAAGCCCAATATTACGGGTATAGCTACGCCAATGGGCATGCCCCAACAGAAGGTAAGTTCTGCGCTCGAATCGATTCAAGAAATGGTTAATAATAATACTTTCATGTTAGCCAACATTGCGTTACATGCCAAACTATCGCTTGGAACCAAAGAATCCTCTGAAGAAGGAATGGCTGGAGATTGCTATGAAAGATGTTATGAACAAGAATTATCATAACGAGTACATGTTTCATCCGAAGCATTCATTGCATTTGGCTGCTCAGGTCAGCGAGGAGATTAAGAATCGTATAAAACTTATGAACTATGATAGGTAATAAACAATGCAGCAATTACACATCAAAAAGACAACATCTAACGCTTGAGCGTTTTTTGTGAACTTCTCAGATATCGTTACATCGTCCTGGTAACCGTGGGCGAAAATTTAATGCAAGGCCTCTACGCAATGGTTAATTTCCTGTGGGATGCTGAAAAGGATGGCTTCGTTTCCCATACCATCGAAACACCGAGATTTTTTGCACTCTGCACTGTATATTACATATACTATGATTGAACACAAGGACATCGTCAGCCAATGTGATTAGGTAAATAGGTAAACCGTGCCTCTAGATTTGAACAAGCGTTAAAATTTTTGTTTTCGCCAAACTTCGAATTATTAAGTGTAGTGCTATATAACGAGACTATTTATGAAATTAAAATAAATACTTTGAAATCAAATATTTTTATCACTCTTTATTGTAGATGCAAATTAAATTGTATGTGAAATTATAATGAATTTATTATGTAGTTTAAGTTAAAATAAAGTTCACCTAGCGATATTTACTATTCAATGTGAATGAAATATTTGTTTATACAGAATTTGAACACATCCTAAAAATTACCGAAACTTTAAACTGTTTGATCACTAGAATTATGACATAATTAAATAAGTTTTTTATTTATTTTAAACTGCACACAAAGTCAATTAACAACTGCATCTTTGAATAGTTTGTGTTTATTGAGAGATATATTTAATTTAGTTATAAATTGCGCATAAATATTTAGATTTAATTCAACCAACTCACAATACTAAGCATACATATGTATGTATGTAGGCATATTTACTCGTATATATTTATGGATTTATGTATGTATTTTAGTTATTAAATATATTGTGATAAGTTTACATACATGTATAGTTTTTGTAACAATAACTATTTGTTCATTGCAGAATTCTCTGAGCGTTCGCATATCATAAATATGGATAAATAGATGTCAGTTTAGTGTATATACATACATAGCTTTTAAATCAATATATATGTATATATTTGAATGTTTTTATAGGTCATTCTAGCACACATACGCACTCACATACACTTATTTGAAATTTGTTTCCTTGCAGTTTATATTAGTTGATGACTTGAGAGTTTTGAAATAGAGAACAAAAATATTTTAATCTTGAAGTCACTTGCACAAAAATAAAATAAAATATAAAAAACACCATCGCAACTGTTGAGAGCAACCACAAGAAAACCAATGTAACATTTGCAAAACCCATTTTAACAGATAAAACATTTTGAAACAAATGCTACATGACGTTCTCTTTTCGGATGGATGTGAATACCTGCCATTGCAGGCCGGAACAGAACTGGTATAAACTTTTCGCTCACAGCACAGTTTATCTCATGCATTTGGGCATTTTGAAACTTGACACATTTTCACACACCCATCACAGAACTGGCCTCGCATGGAAACATGAAAACGAAACCAGAAGAACTGATCCTTCAAAGTTTGAAGATCTTTAGCACTTTTTGCACAAACGCACGTATAGTGATCGGCACTGCACCACCACTAACAACAAAAACAGCAGCATCAACAACAATCAGACACTGGAGAACTTTTCTGTGGACTCATTCTATTTTGCGGTCGAAAGGACATACATATGTGGGTGACGGTGACACCTTAGCAGATCAACGTAATAACTTTTGCACTTTGTTGCACTATTTTTAATCAAGTTAGGCGCAATAAATTAAAAAAACTATTGCAAACTAATAACTTGCAAAACTTATTAACACAATCAAAATCAGAAGGAAATTTTCAACACAAAACTGTTTTTTACATTGTCCAGTGGGTTCATTTTGTTTGTTTTTGCACGTAGATCTTTTTGGATGGGGGATTGGGACACTGGCTCCACTAAATAAAAAGGAAAATGATGAGCCATTGAATGTATTTTTACACTTGCCATATTTTTATAACAAATAAATAAATTTACAATTAAAAATTGCTTGATTTAAACTTTTGGCACAATCATACAATTGCATGAAATTCACTCACTATTATTATTTTCATCGTATTTTAATTTGGTTTTTTTTTTTTCTAATTGAAAAACATAAACGAATATTGGTCTGTAAAAAAAAGTAATGGATTAATATGGTAATTCTGATTGATTTACTAACACCTTCGGTACTAATGGTAATGTATGACTCTTTATGTATTGTTTGTGGGTATGTGTTATAGGGGCTTGTGAGCTTAAATGTGTGGACGTTAGTATGAATGTATTTTTCTCATATAAAAATCCACTTGTCAACTCCTACGATATAATGTTAGGTACCGCTTCTAATTGTGTATGTTATATGTATATATGTAAGTGTATATATGTAATCCTACCGTTTCTATCGGACGCACCCATAGAGTTATTATAGTTTGGTAATGGCGAAGGTATTTCTATGCACTGTGGTTTTAATATTTATTACCTCCAGTTTGTCCAACTTTCGCCCCAAGTATTATCAGACACTTAAGCTGTGCCCCCTCGCACTACAACAATGACCAAATGGTCTTCCTTGAGACCTTCCTCGGTCAAACTGTGACATGTACGCTTCAGCAACTCTGTAGAAAAATCGCAAGGGGGAAAAGCATAGAGCACACCCGTGGCCTCCGTTTCTTTATTTAACAGCGAAATCACTCCCGCAGCTTCCTTCTGCTTCAAATATGAAACCAGGTTGCGTAGGGGCCGCGTCTGTACGCTCGTGTCATCGCAATCTGTGTCCACTGTGGATCCAGCCAGACCCATAAATATGGCGTGCGAAGACGACGATGAAATCCGCTTCTGAACGTCGTCCAGTTTGGGTGGATCCAATCGAAGGCGCTGTGTAATACGTAAATTATGCTTGCCCTCCTCATCGCGCATCAAGGATTCAACAATTTCAGTATCGCCGTCCGTTAAATGGAATTTGGCGGGGAACAAAGAGCTCTTCAGTATAAGTGCACCAGTCCACACCGTGCCGCACTTGCGCGCTACCTCGGGTACCGTGGAAGCAGAACTCAGGGCATCATTTCGTCGTGTTGAAGTATCTGAATCGGATCCGACGGATCGCGCCCGCTTAAGTGGTGAACGAGATCGGGAACGCTCAACTCCTGGCTCGCGAGAACCGGACCTGGCTCGATCGTAAGACTCGCCTGGCGGACGACGCCATTCGTCATCAGCACCACCTGGTGGCGGTACAGCGGATGATGCACTACCCAAAGAACCGGGATGTGGCGGTCGGTGCACATCGTTGTGATAATGATACATACCACGGCCACGACCACGGTAGCCGCCACGTCCTCGATAGCCACCACGTGGTGGATACGGCGAATAAGCACCACGTGGGGCATACAGTGGTGCCTCTTCATAATAGGGATCATATTCTGGACGCCGGTACTCGATGGCCGACTCATCATATGGCTTAGAAGGCTTAAAGGGCGCTACTGGAGTGGCGCCAGGCAGCTCCGCAAAATCAGTGCGTAGTCTACGCTCAGGACCACCTAACGGGAAGCCACGCATTTCTTTAACGGCTGCAGTTGCAGCCTCAACTGTTTCGTATTGTATATAAGCATAAGGTTCACCCTTCTGGTATTCAATTTTCTTAATCGCACCAAAACGATCGAATTCACGTTCCAACTGGGTGACGGAAGTCCAAGCGCCAAGACCACCAATCCAAATTCGTGTTGCTGGTGTCACCTTGCCATAACCAATCTTACACTGGAACTTGCCAATATACTGACCAGATAACTCAATTTTGGCGCGATGGGCCATATCAAGGTTCTGGTATCGAACAAATGCGAATGCGTTGCCGGTGCCAGGAGGAGGGCGCTTAATGTCGATGTCATCCACTACACCATATTTACCGAAAATGCGGCGTAGCTCGTCATCCGCAATGGTAACCTCCAGATTCCCAGCGAAGAGTGTGCGAGTAGCCAACGGGTCATCCTCCGGTTGAACGTGATGCAAATAGTTTGGGAACTTGTCTTTCTTGCTCTCTGGCTTTTCATACGGCACGTGTGGGCGTGGTGCCATTGGTCTCATGGGTGCATACTGATGGGGCGGAGGATGGCCATGCATATGATGAGGGGGACCTCGATGCATTGGTGGACCACGTGGTGGCAAAGGATACTCGTGATGCATTGGACGATATTCGCGTGGATGAACAGCATGCGGGTGCATGTGTGGTGGACCATAACGATCGTAAGGATCAATGGGAGGCCTGCGGTGGTCTATGGGTACACCTGGCCCCATAGGGGACCGTGAATAGTGGTAGCGTTCATAATCTGGTGGTGTCATGGAATGGCCACGCGGTCTGTAAGATACTAAAGTTGAAGAAACCGCCCAGAAAAAATGAATTCACTTTACTTGCCTATACTCTGGCCTGGTAGTCGACTTGTACACTGGTTCCACCATCACCATTTTATCATAAATAAGCAATCGCGGCTTATGATGTTTTGCCTCACGAGCATCCTCCGGCGTGCGAAAGCAGACATAGGCCACCCTTTCATCCAAATCATGAGCCAGTCGCACACTAAAATCTCCAAATTTCTTGTACTCGCGATACAGCGTTTCCTCAACAAACTCGTCCGGGGCTTTGGGAGGCAGTGCGCTTACACACAAAACCTTGTATCCGGCAGGACGTTCCCCTGCCGGTGGTCCACGCATATAGGCATCTCGATGCGGCGAGCCATACCGGCCACGGGGGCTTGGTGAACGGTCTAAGCGACGTCGCATCCGCTCTGGTGATAGACGCTCAGGGGAATCACCCGGTACTCCGCTGCCATTATCATATCCACGACCCATGCTGCGCGAATTTCTTGCTAGATTACTTCTTCCAGGCGAGCGCGATGCGCTACGTTTCATATTGTGAATTTTGACTGTAATGCGATCGAGTTCAGCTCCGTCTCTATGAATACTCATGAGCGGGGGTGATGATAATGCTGCTTGCCTATTGTGTCCGACTGCCTGAGATGTTTTTCTCGTGACGAAGTCTAAGTCGGAGTATAAACACATATGCAAACATACAAAGAAAGGAAAATTAAAATTTTTGCACAAATATGCATTCATACATACATACATATGTATGTATGTACATATGTATTTAAAGCAGTGCTTCACTGTAAGTACATGTACGTTTTGTTTACCATATAATATACGGACTTATGTACATACATATGTATATACTAAATTTGCGAAATGCTCAAGGGCTTCTGTTCTGCATTTTTCTTTGTGTAATAAGGTTAATATACATACATATGTTCATATGTAGCAAAAAAAAAATGGCGGCTGCCGACTGCAGCAACGAAAGTGAGGTCAAGAGTTCCTTGAGCTGATCATGCTGCGTTTTAAATACTGCTTTTAACGCTTACCACTATTTCATTAATATGTGCGTCAAGAATAACACCCTTTTCAATTTGTACATAAATTCTACACCGCAATCGACAATTTAAAACTTTCTGCACACACGCAATTTCTGTATTCGTCGGAAGAAAGGTGGTGCCAGCAAGCGACAGAGTTGTTCATTTTTTGTTTTTGTGAAAACTGGTCACACTATTGTTGCGTGTACTAAAATATAATTTGTTCTTAAGTTTTTCGAACGTTAATTCCGTCGCATATCTTGATCATGAGGTGTTGGAATAAGTTTGGTATATAAGAGCTACTGCAAAATTATTTATTTCATTTTTAGCCGAGATATAAACGAGGAAAATTGGAATGTCTGTTGAATTGATTTGCCATCTGAAGAAATTTAATCAGTCATTTATATTTAACACCACCAACTAGGAAAAAATCCAATATTATACAAATTCAATTTTTTAGTACGATTTTATCGCGAGTTGAAAGTACCTTTTTATATTAATAATGCATACATTATATGTAAAAAAAAACGCGAGATCTACAACTATACCATAACTAATGACAATCGTCCCTACAATTATGCTATATATTTAAAGCTAAAAGAAAAATGTACAATAATCAGCGCGGGAAAAGATTGTTCCATTTAATTTTTATATGGAAACTTGTGTACATGTGTATACGTACATGCAAACATATGTATAAGTATTTAAATATGCAGCTGTTCAGGTAGGGAACTCATTAAAAGCGAATTAAGAATGCACATGTTGGTAATCCCAATCTGGGATTGGGTCAACAAGGACAACCACTTCTGCTGCCCTACCTGCAAGTATAATACATATATAAGTTAGCGGTAACAGAACCGGCCTGAGTTCCTTTTCGCCAACACGTACCAGACAACACTTTTTGAAATGGTAGCGGACAAATTAAGTTCACAACGCGCACTAAGGACCTTACCACTTGGAGGTCATGTGGGGTTCGATAGTCTTCCGGATCAATTGGTTAATAAAAGCGTGCAAAATGGCTTTGACTTTAACATTTTATGTATCGGCGAGACGGGACTGGGCAAATCCACATTAATGGATACGTTGTTCAATACAAGCTTCGATTCACAGCCAACGGTGCATACCCTGTCCAACGTAAAACTTAAGGCGCACACTTATGAGCTGCAGGAGAGTAACGTAAAGTTAAGGTTAAGCCTTTGCGATACCATCGGTTATGGCGATCAGATCAACAAGGAAAATTCTCATAAAGCACTAGTCGATTATGTGGATGCCCAGTTCGAATCGTATCTGCAAGAGGAATTAAAAATTAAACGTTCAATGGCTACAAACCACGATAGCCGCATTCACGTGTGCCTCTACTTTATCTGCCCTACAGGTCATGGTTTGAAGTCCCTAGATCTGGTATGCTTAAAACAACTGGACTCCAAACTTAATATAATACCAGTAATTGCAAAGGCCGATACAATATCACAACCGGAACTGGAACGGTTTAAAGCCAAGATTATCGATGAGTTGAAGCAACATAAAGTCAGCATATATCAGTTTCCTACTGACGATATAACAGTAGCAGATACAAACGCTGCCATGAATACACATATACCTTTTGCTGTTGTGGGTAGCACAGATTTTGTGAAGATCGGTAGCAAGCAAATGCGAGCTCGCCAATACCCCTGGGGCATAGTTCAAATTGAAAACGAGGCTCACTGCGATTTTGTCAAATTACGCGAAATGCTTATTCGCACAAATATGGAGGATTTGAGGGAGTTAACGCATACACGCCACTACGAGCTATATAGACAGAAACGGCTATTGCAGATGGGCTTCGTAGATGTCGATAGCAATAATCAGCCGGTCTCTTTCCAGAAGATTTTTGAGTCCAAACGCAGCAATCACTTGGCCACCTTGCAAGCCAAGGAGGAGGAGGTTCGTCAAATGTTTGTACAGCGCGTCAAGCAAAAGGAGAATGAGCTTAAGGACAATGAAAAAGAGTTACATACCAAATTTGACCGTCTAAAACGAGAACATTTAGAAGAGAAGACCAAATTAGAGGAAACTCGAAAAATTCTGGACGAGCAATACCAGGAGCTGCAGAAACGCAAACACCAATGTTCTAACGGAAGCCAATCGACTCTTACATTGGGCAGAGGCAAGAAGAAATAATAATAATATTTGTTTTGGAATTCTTGCAACTCTACACTTTTGACTAAAACCATTATATATTTTACCTAAACAATTCAAAATGTAACGTTTATTGATTTTGAAATACATACACGTGTACATACATATATTTCTTAAAAACATTTGTACCCGCCAGCTGGCTAAACCATATGGTGCGCGTTTCTTTATTTGATAACACAATAACATGCGCTCTTTCTTTCACATTTACTCTCCCATCTGTTCGCTCTCATTGCCATATAATCGTACATAAGCCTGTAGTTGTATATGAGTATACGCATGTGTGTATTTATAATAAAAACGTTTGTGTGTATGTTTATACCTGCCCACACAATATCGCTGTCACTGTGAGTGCTCTCCTAAACTTTATTGCAATAATTAACATTTTAAAAATGCTAACATGGCAAATCGGCGTGGATTTGTTGGTCATAACAATTCTGACAATGGCAGCGTGTGGTAGTGGAGTGGAAAACGTCGCTGATGGTGTGTGCAAAACAGGCGGATGTGGTCCTGTTTCAGCTGTACGGTCAGATCAGGCCCGCTACGACAACTACAGAATCTATAACGTGCAGTTCGATAATGAGGAACAAATTAAATTGTTCCAGAAACTAGAAGATCAGAGCGATAGCCTAACTTTTATTGGTCATGCGAGAGAGATTGGCCAGAAACTTTCAATTCTAGTGGCCGCACATCGTGTAGCCGACTTTGCGGATATTCTGAAAACGTATAAAATGCAGCATCGTGTTTTGGTATGTACAAAGTAATTTAACACTAGTGAGGATACTTAATAACATACTGCTCTATTCCACAGACTTATAATTTTCAAGAGAAAATCGACCGTAATTTACGAGAGGTGATACCGGAGGGAATCGACCCTTCGAAATATGACTGGCACCATTACTTTCATTTAAAGACCATCTACGAATGGATTGACCAGATGGCTGTCAAATATCCAGAACGTCTAACTGTTCTGGATATGGGAACTAGCACACAGGGCAACCAGATCAAGGGAGTCAAAGTGGGTCATAATCCTTCCAACAAGGCCATCTTCATTGAAAGTGGTATTCATGCGCGCGAATGGATCGCACCTGCAACGGCTACCTATATAATTAATGAGTTACTAACCTCAACGGCCGATTATGTGCAGAAGCTGGCCAGCAACTATAATTGGATAATTTTCCCTTGCGTCAATCCGGACGGCTACAAGTACACCTTCGAGCATGATCGCATGTGGCGCAAAAACCGCCAACTGTTCGGCACGTGTCGTGGAGTAGACTTGAATCGAAACTATCCCGATCACTGGAACACAACAGGTTCCAGCAGTGATCCCACACGTTACGACTTTGCCGGACCCACCAGCGCTAGTGAATTGGAGACACAGCGTTTAATAGAATTCATACGTAATAACGTCGAAAAAGAGCATATTAAGACGTACATTGCTCTGCATTCGTACTCGCAGATGCTCATGTTTCCATCGGGTTATACCAAGGAGCGCGTACCAAACTACGATGATCTACAAGAGTTTGGAAAAAAGGCAGCAGCAGCTATTAAAGCAGAAAGCGGACGGGACTATGTCAGTGGTAGCTTATATGAGACCATATATCCATCAAGTGGTGGAAGCATGGATTGGGCTTATTCAGAAGCTAAAATACCCATAGCATACACTTTTGAATTGCGTGGTCCCCCCGACAGCGAAGATCTTTTCATATTGCCTGCAGCGGAGATTCAGCCAACGGCCAGCGAAGCGTTTGCGGCTATCCGTGCAATTGTAGAAGCTGCTGCCGAAAAAGACTACTACAAATAATGCTATTACTATATATATTAATTATTTTGGACGTACATACGTAAAACGATAGACTTTTTATGCTTTTAGCAATTTTTTATAAAACGTATATGAAATGCAATATAACGAAAATTAAACATTTACTAAACATAAACATTTATTTATGGATTTGCTACATCAGAACCCAGACAAGATTAGATATGAAAGAAGTACGCTTGGATAACTGAGTCAGTATTTTGCAGCGCTGGTTATATGATTTCTTGGTGATATAATGCTATCAAAAATGGCCTCTATATGTACTTGACATCCTGAAATTAATAAAATGCATTTAAAATATATAAAATATGCAAACCTATTATGTACATATGTATATTGTTAAAAATGCAATACACACCGTTTTCCAATAAAAACAGCATTCGGTCATACAAAATAATACTTTCTACCAGAGGTGCTAACATCAGGCGCAGAGTGTAGAAAATGACGATTCGTCGCCAGTGCAGCAAATCTGTTTCAGTTTCGGAATTATGCAGAAGCGATCGATTCAGCGTGTAAATCCGTGTGCCTTGTACGGCTTTGTAGAAGTAGCTTTTTTGAAAACAGTTGTTATATCAATATTATTAGTTTATACAAATGTATGTATTACTTACTCATCGAAGCTCATATTCGGAGTATGCTTTACGTTACGCAAGCCGCTATGCTTTAGTTCCGGGGTATGCTCAACTATTATCCTTTCAGCTGCGGCTCGAAATGAATGAATTTTCAGGTACTCATATTGCCCGGTGGCTAATCGATCGTGGTACATTTCGATGGCATGACAAGCAACTTCGCGAGCTTCATAGCTAAGTTGGACACTGGAACCGTCACTATCGTCATTGTGCAATCTATTCTGTAGCAACTCACTCATCGGGTAGCCATGCAGCTGAGCTTCAGGTTGTGTCTGGGACGTGCTCAGCTTTTGATAGCAGCAACCAACGAAATTCAAAAACTTTGCTTGTTTGCAGCTTTTAAACATACGCATTAATATAGCACACAGGTCACCACAAGGATGCAATCCAACAATACCAAAACTAAAGTCCTCGTCAACCAGCTGCAAGGCTTTCCGCAAGCTTTCAATAAACTCGGAAGATGTTGTGTTATTTGTCAAACGCTCTGTTAGATGTGCGGGCTGCTTAAAATGATCTCTTTCTCTAACATCAAGATGCTTCGCTGCCATAGATTCAAGTCGTTTATCAATGAGCTTCGCCTGTTCGTTTAATTCTGTTTGCATTTCAAAACAGCACACCTTAATGCCATACCCATAGCCAAGTACACGTGCCAAATGACCTAGGCCAGCTCCAAAATCTACCACAAAATCCACGGGTAATCTTTGGCAACTGCGAGCGCAAATCGATGCCATTTTCTTGATCTCGTGCTGCTTCTTCGGTTTGACGCACTTTATAAACATGTGCTTTAGCTTGTGGTGCTGTAGCAACGGACAAGAAGGAAGCGTTTGCTGCAATAGGATCATCCTCCGATTAATACGTGTTCATATGCACTATAACTCCAATAATCACTAACCTCAATCTCGCGATTTTGGATGCGGCTAACGCAAAGCGTACTCAAAAGCTGTCGAATTGCTAACAGCTCCAAGGGCCATATATTAAAGCGTACATTACCATTACCTTGGAGCAGTTCTGCTAGAGCTTCTATGGGTAGGTTTTCAAAGTGCCGCTGCCAGCTTACCGGCAGCTGCTGCCAGTGATCCTTTATATAAAAGTCCAGCACATATGAGTTTAAAAGCCAGTCATACTTTTTAAGTAATCCTAAACATTCAGTAAGTTTTGATGATATCTTAATGATGGTCGCGTCCTTAATCATGATCAAGTCACTACTCAAAAAAACGACACTGAAAATTGAATACCCTTCTTTATTATGCCGTAAATTATTTTCTACATTTCAATTATACATGTATGTATATACATATGTACATATATACCCATAACAAAATAAAAAAAATTTAAATCGTAGAAATAATTTCGGAATATTGTATGCTCATTTTCACAACGTGAGGATTTTCCCTTGGAAGCTCTGTTTTTTAATTTTGTTTATGCATATGTACATACATATTTATGTATTGAAGAGTATTTAGCGCCGAGGCTGCCACCTGGGCAAAATGAATTCTAAAATCGCGGCAAGTTGTCAGCGCTGTAACCAAAAAGGCGATAGAAAAGGCAAAACAAAAATTGCAAAGACTATACATATCATTTATTTCAGAGCTGTTAATTTTGAATGGAAAAATTTTGGCTTTTCCTATCACAAACCACCTCCAGTTTGCTCCACAGGAATGACTCGACGTCTCGTTTCAGTGATTGCGGCCACCTTTTTGTCCATATGCATCTTGGCATATCTCAAATACGCCGTGTCCCCTTGGACGACAGCTGACATTAGGAGGAGGAACTCATACAGGTTGACTTTGCCCTGCGAGTGAGAGTCGATGTCGCGCAGTACGTTATGCATTAGGTCCACGGGTACCTCTTTTACGCCCATATCTTTCATAGCTTTGCAGCATTTGCTTATGGACACATAGCCGGTACTATCTTCGTCCATGTTCCTGAAATGCCTGGCATATTTTTGCACTTGTCGCACCGACATCTTTACGGGTATGCTGACAAAAGTCGGATCAGGCATTACCTTTCCCATTTGTGTTACAAGAAACTTTTTCGCTTCTCTGATCTGTTTGTTTTTATATTCTTTCGACCATTTCAGTTCTTCGGCCATTATGTTCGCTATTTGGGGCAGTAGCTGTTCTGCCACTTGCACATTGAGGAAGGCAACGCGCAAACGTCGCGCCATCATATCCTCCAGCGTGACAGCATAATCTTTTACGCCCTGTCGCACCTCTGCCTCGATATATGGGAATTCTGAGTGCAATCTTTTGCCGACAATGGGCCACGACTTGCCTGTTGCATTAGCACGTTCTGCGATTTTGAACGCATTTGAGCCATAAGTATCCGACAAATGTTTCGCCACTTCTTTTTCTATTCCAAAATCCTGAACGAGTCGTATGAACATGTTAGGCGACCATCCCGTAGCTCCATCAAGTTTACAATACTGAGTTATTGTGTATAAACGCATAGGTTCTAACTTGCCATATTTTATAGCTGCATTAACTGCGCGCTCCGCAACTAGTCTGAAAGATGTCCAAGTGCCTCCCACAATACTTATCATGTTGCCGGCACTCAAATTAATAATATGACTTTGCAATGGTGTCCGTTTCAAGGTTCCACTGTTGACAGGCAAGGGTTTGAAGCCCCCCCAGGCCGCCAGTACATCGCATCGTCGCACATCGAAGTGTGGACTGACATAATTTTTAATGTCCTCCAATAGAAACTGCACTTCGTTTTCAGTTGGACGGGCTACAGTGGATACATCTGATGGGGCGTCTGTAGTGCCCATGAGCGTGTGACCCTGCCAAGGCAAAAAAAATATGGTGCGGCCATCTTTTGTGTTAGGATCGAATATGCCCACCTCTTCAGGGCAATAAAAACCGGGTAAGACAATATGAGAGCACCAGCTGGGCATACACATTGGCTGTACAGTAGGATCTTCCATTCTACGCACGCTATCACTGAATGGTCCGGTTGCATTGATTACAATCTTGGAGCGAACTTTGTACACTCGACCAGTCATTTGGTCAACGACCTTGGCGCCCACAATTGCGTTTTTCTTGTTTCGTAGCAATTCGACCACCTTCATGTGGTTACATATGTCGGCGCCATATCGTGCGGCCGTCAATGCCACAGACAGGCACATGCGCGCGTCGTCGTGCTGACCCTCGTGGAGAATGAAACTTCCGACCAGGTCACTTCTTCGTATCATAGGAAAAATGTCCTGTGATGCGTCTGCGTTAATGAAATAGAACCCCTTACCGCCACGTGGTGCAAGCAGATGGTAAAGATGCAATTTCAACCAATAAATGGGAGCTTGCCACCAATGATGCACAGGTATCATAATAGGAACGGGCTGATTCAGATGAGGCGCCATGCTGGCAATGTTGTGGCGTTCTTTTAAAGCGCTGCGCACGCGCCGGAAAGCTGCTAAGTCAAGGTGCTTAATAGCATGGTCCAGATCCCTGATTCCACCGTGCAACAGCTTACTGGACTTGGATGACGTGCCGCTCCCAAAATCCTCTGCTTCGACGAGTGCCGCTTTGAGGCCTCGTGTTGCCGCATCGAGGGCACAGCCAGCGCCAACAGCGCCGCCCCCTATAATTAACACATCGTACTCTGTGCGTTGAAGCGAATCGATGCTCATCTTCCGAGTGGGGAGCTCTCGTTTCATTTGAGGCGCGATCACTGTGTTGGGGCCGCTGTCACCGTGACACATAGCCGTGTGAGCCAGCAGGGTGCTACTGGCTAACACAGCCACTTGGTATAGTTTAGCCATTCTGGGGAAGCCGAGATTCAAGATGTGATCCGGGACTGTTCTACAGAAATTTGAATATTTACAACAAGATGCCTGACGATTTTTTCCAATAATCATATGGAAGTGTTTTTGAATTCGTTTTAAATATGTTTGTGTATTTTTAATATTCATTGGTATTGAATATCGAAGAAAGTGATAATACAATCCTTAAGAAAACACAAGCCCACTTACTACGAAATTACAAATTAAAATGCAACCGACTGCAGAATGGTTAACGGTTTTACCTTTAAGACTTAGCACAAAAATTCACTACAGACTGCACAAAGCTGCCAGCGCAACCGTTTCCCGTTTACGTCCACCGCTTAATCCACTACATCCGGGCGAATAACACAGTAAGACAGTAATAGGCCGTTTAAGCCGCGGTGAAGGGGGCATTAATTGCTTGGTGTGATTACGGGAATCGGGTGAGTTGAAGCCAGCGCATAACGTAAGGGCCTTTTATTGTTGTTTGGCGCTCCCGAAAAAGTACTTATAGAATAGCGTGGCCACCAAGCACAGCACCAGAGGCAATATCCATGATTTCAAGGGGCTTTCCTCATTTTGTTGATCTGAGCTCCAAGTGGGTTCCGACTTCTGTGGGACAGTTGTGCGTTCGCTTTCAACCAGTTCGCCAACTTTGTACTTTTTCATCATATCTCGAGCGTCGTTACTGTGGCCTACGTCTTCAAAGTTCTCTGTAGCATCTTTGCCGGCCTGTTCGATAAGCACCTCCTCGCCACCGGGATGCTGAAAATAAAAATGCGAATATTGAATGAGCACCGGATTCACAGTGCAATGCTAATGACTGGCTGACCGTGAAAGAATAAAGACGAAAGAAGAAATCCTATGTTTTATTTAAATAAAACGCTCAGGTAGGACCGGTACCGAAGGATTTCGAATATTTTTAAAACTACTTAATAAACCATTTGTTTTACAAATTCGGTAACTCTGAACTTTGAATTCCGATGTTAGCAAACACACGCGAGACACCAATACGTTCATTTACTATTTAAAATTTTAAATTATGCATTGTAATCATTAAAATCTACTTTCGTTCGACAAACAGCTAAAGGTCTGCCGGCAGCTCTTATCTAAAGAGAGCAACAGTTTTCACCTATGTATAGTATGAACATACGTATATATGTACAGAAATATATATGTATTCACCCATGAAAATGTCGGAAGACAATATTTACGTGTAAAGCACACCACCAGCTCTGTATGCACACATAAACAATAACAAAATATTACATAAGTTTAGGAAGTCGTCTGATCCATCGGCAATGACATGCAAATGCAATACCTTGATTTTTTATTAGCTTTTGACCCGTGCTGGAGATGGCAACCAATCAGTGGATTTTGTGTAAGTCGTTTTGAAAAGATAATATTTCGCAACAATTTGCAAATTCGTTACTCAAGAGTAGACTTCAACAAGTGGAGTCCCGACTTTAAAATACTCTGTATATGTGGGCAGTATAAAATTGAATCAAAGCAGCAACAAAAACAAGATTTGAGGGCAGAGCTTGTGCTTCTTTTCAAATTGACCTATCCTGATAAATCTAAAACCCATTATCACTAACTGGAGGTATTTTCCAAGTTTTAATTATGGAAAATCACTAATAGTGGGGGAGTGGCAGAAAATTCTGAAATACACGTGCACATTCATAAAGGGCATTGGACTTAAAATTGGTATTACACACTGTATCAAAAAAATAAAACAATGTCTATCTCTTATAGTCTCTGAGATACAGGGGCTCCTACGGACGGACAGGCAGACAGGGCTAGTTCAAATCGTCTTGTCATGCTGATCAAGCATATATGTATATACTGTGTGGGGTCTGTCACGCCTCCTTCTGCCTGTTAAATTTTTTACTTCCCGCAAACCTACAAACATTTCATGCATAGAGTATAAAAATCGTAATACGTTGCGACAGATTAAACGTTTCTTAATAACTTGATGCAATGATGGCATCAGTGTAGAGTAGCATGTGTTATAGTCACTCTAGAAACTTCGAATACACATATCAAATTTTAATTGAACAAAAAATAACATAGGGTATGGGTCAATTCAGCGACTGTAGGTCAAAGTACAGCTCAATGTGCCAAGTGGAACACACCTACATATATACATATACATATGTGTATGCATACAAATGTTCAAAATAAACTTTCATATCACCTCAAAAGCTAATGTACAATAAATAAAGACGAACTAAAGCACTTGCTATAAAATGATTGTCTGGATGATAAGACGATTTTTTCAAGAAACGGGTGACGGTCGGGGTTTACTGATTTTCAACGCCCTGATTTTCAACGTGTACCATTGTTGTTGCTAGTGCCGTTTCTCTGTCTGTGCGCTGGTCAGGTCATTACCTCGTTTAAAAATGCTGTGACATCGTAGATACTATTGTGGATTAGGAGCCATGTATCCTTGTTTGTATTGTGCTTGGCAACTTCTGCACGCGTAAATGTTTTCACTCCTTCACTGGACATTTCTACTTGTTGAATAGTGCGCGTTCCAAATCGAAAAAGTCCAACACAACTATTTAATTGCGCTGTTGCTTGACGACTAATAACCCAGGGATGTCATGTCTTCGATACACCACAGCTCTTATCGCTATTGAGTTGAGTGTTGTAAAATGTGCTTGTGAGCGGAGTCAGTTCCCCAACTGTTCCAGCTCTCGCCGAACTGTTAAATTTTGAAGTTCGTAAGCGGTGTATATTTTTACTGCGCATGTACGTTTTTTGTATTTACACTTACATATTGCTTCGTTTGTATTCACCAAAGGAGATTTCAAAGTCAAATGGGTCCTGCCTGTACGCTATTTGCCGTTTCATTCTGTATAACAGTGTAGAAGGATTTGCAAGCAAAACAAGCAAGGAAAATTGTTGTTTCACGCATTATTTTGTAGCGCTTCAAAGGCGTCGGTGTTTTATTAAAAGTTAATAAATTCCGTAAGGCAGAAAATAAAACTATTTCGCCAACCAACCACATTTTTAGAGTGCGTAACGCTAAATTAATTATATTGTTGTAACTCTATATTTTAAATCTACTTAGGTAAGTTGTGTATTAAATCATATTACGCAATTGTACTTAGCCACAACATGTGGCTTTAAATGGTAATGTACAGTTTGTTGTTTGGGTTCTATTTAATGAGTTCAATACAAGTTATAGTTTATCCGAATCTAGGAAAAGAAAAAGCATTCAGTAGAAAAAATACATAAGTATATGTATTTGGAAACCGCTCCTTTGACCACATTTTTACTGCGTAATTTTTCCATATTAAACGAAATTGGGCGTCTGCTTAAGTGCACGTAGTATGTATGTATGTATGTACTTATTTATGTATACATACCATTGACCTAAGATGTTGGTCAATTCCACACATTAACTTATAGTCAAACTAAGAAACTGGAGGAAAATAAATACACGCGTAGAAAATCAAAACACAAAACTCGAGTCAAGTGTATTGTAAATAAATAAGTTGCTTGACAGTGTCCATTCTATCAGTGCCTGGAAACTTCACTTAACAACCAAACAAGTGTTTTACTCTTGAAATGAAAATAAATAAATTTGTTTGTAGATACAATATTATATACATGTATGTATGTACATATGCACATACATATGTATGCATATGTGTGTGATTAATCAACAACTATAAATTATTTTGGATTAAATATAGAACAAAAACCAACATGCGTTGCCGGTCAACGTTGATCAGTTACCCAGGTTGTGATCGCGGTAATCGCATGCACACAAAAGATTTAAAAATAGAACTGTTTTATTTCAGTCCGGTTTAGTAAAAACGATTACAATAAATATTTATGTTTGCATAAATCGTTAGTATATTTTTCAACAGTGCAATAAGTTTCAAGTTAGGAAACAGGCCGCACAACTCATATTAAAAATAAGTGGCCCACATTTTTTATTCAACTATGCAACAAACGATTAAATGCATTGCCAACCCCATTATCTTTGATTCGACAATGACAATTGGCTGGAATTGAACAGCAAAAGTTTCCAATTAAAGCTCTTTACAGTACATAAACATACAATCATTCAAAAATACTTATGTGCTGATCTCATGTCCATCCATCAATTAATCAAAAGTTCAAAATTGCTTCAAATATACAATTTTGTTTGTAAATAACGTATGTATGTATAAATGTGTTTGATGAAGTACCGAATACCGTCTTTATTGTGTGGACAATATATTTTAATGAATTTTTATACTAATTTCCAAAATATAAAGTATAACATACTCGTATCCTGAATATTGAGCCAAAAGCCATTTCTCGTAAATGTTGCAATTGAGTTGGGTTTACTTTTCTGCATAAACATACTTATTATATATCTATGGCAAAGCTGACTCTGATTTGGGTTAGTTCTTTAAGCACACTTTACAATAAATACAATATTTTGCTTCCAAATGTTTGTTTAGATACATTAGTATCTAACATATAAATATTGTCAACTATTTATTTTCTATCAGTCCTTGACTTATTTACCTATTCAAATCATATTTATTCACATTCTATATTTAACTAAATCTACATAACATTTCTTTATGCTTAGCTTAGATGTAATTTTCACGATACTTTTATTAAAGTTATAAAGCTAACCGAAACAAAATGAACTTATTTCATCCGAAACAAAAAATCAATGTTACATACACATATGATGTTAATTAACATTTACTATATCATATTAATTGCAAAAATGAATCTTATATATGTACCTACATAAGATTTTTATTTAAATCTGAACTCTCATAGTTAAGGAATAAAATAAATATGGGTTTTAATGTACAAGATACATTTTGCAAATGCTATAAAGTAAACTCAATAAAAATACGTATGTAACAAAAAAAAGTATGTAAACAAAGAAACAAAAGGAAATTAACGCACCAAAGAAATGTGAAATGCGTACGTTACGAAGTTCAATCTGTGGTGCCTGATGTGCATGTATCTAGATAGTACGTATATGCATGTATGTACATATATGCAAGTATAATATACATATATACTTACACAAATATGTAAATATGTTCATATGTGAGTAAGTTTGTGAGATGCATTGGCGGCCAATAATCTCCATTTGCCAGTTGATCAGTTTTCTATAGGCCGACGAGTTAAGGCCAAACGAGAGAGGGTGACTTGCAACGAAACGCTCTCCTTGCCGTTTGCCTGTCCAATATTCCGGCTGCTGATCAGCCGGCGAGTGCGTGATAATCACGCAGCAAACATGCGCACATGTTTTGCTTGTTGTTTTTGCTGCCTTTGCTTTTGTCACCCCCTGCCTCTTCCAGTATTATATCCATTCAAACATCTCTCTCGCACCGTTTTTGTTTTGCAAACAAACAAAGCACGCATACACAAGGGCGTAGGCAGAAGGTTCTCAACATTCGGCACTGTAATAATAGAGCGGTCGGTTTGAATTTCCTACAATTTTTTGAACATTTAACGCATTTCAAGCGACCAAATGTCGTTTAGAAAACATAGTAAAATATATAAAAAAAGGTGCACAAGAAAGCAGCAATACACACATCTGAGCGATATATGTATAATATAGTATTCGTTTTTCGTTAAAAAAAAAAAACAAATTGATAAAACAGATTAAACTCCATGTAAATCGATTTTTGAATAAAATTTGAGGTCAATTGGTTCCAATTTATGAATCATCCTCTGCATTTAAATGTAATTTTTAAAACCCCCAATTACTATATGAAAACTGCGTACGCCCTTGTTCACACATACAGAGTGTGCGCGCTAACAGTTTCATACTCACTCGGCAAATATTGTTATGAGATTGTGTTCTATATATACGAACTAAATTGTTTGTTTACTAAAAGTTAAACAAGAAATTACTACGCATTCTGTCTTACAATATTAAATTGCCCTAATTTCTCTCAATGAAACTATCAGAAAAAATCAAAACATAATCTTATTTAGTCTGTTGCCCCAAGTCTTTGTTGTACTACGTGACTGAGAGGCGATAGTCTGAAACCGTTGTTGACATATTAATGTCTGACATGTCGCATTTAAGAAAATTCTCAAAAAAAAAAGTAGAACATTACAGTTTATTATTATATGTACATACGTACATACATATATGAATTTAATTTTGCAACTGTCTTGGGCAATTAATTCATCAGAAGTATTTTCCTTTGTGCATATTCATCTCTTTGGTTTGTGTTGAGGTATTTTACACGGATTTTGAAATTTATGTTATGAGTGAAGAAAATAAAATAAATAATAGACTTACATGTATACATAGTATGTATTACATACCCATGTTAATATGTATGTACATACACTGGGGAAATTTAAGGCATAACTTCAGATTGCTGTTATCTTATTTTTCCACTCATTTCTAAAAGAAACCCAACCAGCAGTCTCAGTGTACTCATTTCGATGTGATGCATGAATGTGTGTTGGTGTGTATCCATGAGCGTTTGTATATTTTTCTCTGTTGGCTTTTAGTGCCCGACGCCAGGAAAAAAGTTTCAGTTGTTCTTTGGAAGTGCGCTCGTCAAGACACGTTTTCTCGAGTACTACCGATTTAAAAGAAAAATCTCCCGCAGCTTAAGCAAACAAACTTAACTGAAGTGTTAACTTACAAGATTTTTACAAAGATATAACTATAAAATTTATATGAAATACAAATAAGTGCTTTAGCATAAAAACAGAAGAAGAAAACTGATAAAATAAAATGCCGGTCGATATTTACAGTCAACCGCATAATGTGCTTAATTCAAAGAGGTAAAAGATTGGTGCACACTTGAATTAGTATTGATTATTTTTATTAAAAGATGTAAAACATGGCCTGACTTAAGTATCTAGTCCAGTTTTCTTTAATTTGTTATTGGATTTTTGTCTTAGCCACTGATTAGCCACTGATTTTAACGTGATTATAGTAATTGGAAAATTGAGGCATATTTATTTTTCGTTACATTTCGAAATATTTTTAGTGGGCATAAAATTACATTTTATCGACTTCATTTACTAATTCAGTAGAAGCGCATACACCATATGTATGTACATACATAAATGTTGTGCTAATTATATACACATACATATACATATGTATTTATATATACTATACAAATTAAATGCAACACTTTGCAACGGCCGGAAAAATATATTTTTGTTTTTCTCTTGTGCCTGGAAACAAATTTAGTGTGTAACCTCAATCAAAATTACTGGTTGATTTTCGAAATTATATATAAACTTAGAATACAAAACTAAACAAAATACCAAAAATATTGAGAAATAGTGGAAATACGATGCAGAAAAAACCGAAAAGAAAAAACTTTGTTAGTTTTATAGCAAAGAATTGCTTAATTCCGGGCAAGAGAAGTAAAGCAACTTGTCAGCTAAATATTCATTTATGTGCCTTGATAAAAGAAAGGATTTACGGAAATTTAAAATTTAAAATAGGTTTCATTAGATTACTGTGCACACATGCCAATTAATAAAACATGACAAAATTACACCACATATAGCAAGACTGGCTACATACGAATATTCTAGTTGTATCAGCAACGCTGGCAATTTGACCTTTCAGATATACTTTTAACAAACGTATTTTAATGGGCGCGTTTTCATTTCCAATATGTATTACAGGCAGCCAAGTGTCCGATAATGTTGTTAGCATTGAAACGAGTATTATAGCAAATATGTACACAATAAACACAACTACGTTTTTAGAAATTTCCCAACTCAGCGAGAATGCATAGACTGCTCATACAATTTTTACAAAAGATGTGGCCAATCCAATAAAATATTTATTTTTAAAATGACGATAACGAGCTGAATTAATTTCACATATGAGCTTTCATGTGTATTTTGAATTTAAGAAAATTTCAATAAGCAAATATCATATGGCCTTTTTCCAAATCAAACTATTTACGTACATACATATTTAGTTGGTTAATTTAATTTTGGGATACCTGAATTGAAAAAAAAGTAATTTAACAAGATTTACAAATACTTAAGATACTTTCTTACTTAAATTTATCCGATTCTTCAAAAATTTCGAAAGCTGAAGTGTAGTAGGAAAACAGTAATATTATGTGGATTTCTCCATATTCATATTTAAGCAATTTATAAAGCAAATGGCTTCTTTCAAATAGCAAAGCAAATTATTTTTTTACATTATATTTAAATCCTGTTATTATTATTATAATGTTGTTATTAATTTAATTGAAAGGGAGCAGCAGGGAAGTCAGATTCCCTTTAACTATAGGCGATTTAAAAACAAATATCGTTTTATAAAAGCTTATGTAATTTTTAACTAACACCTTAAATAATGAATGTCTGATAAACTTCCAGCTCCACAAATCAATTGCCCTTAGACGCAACAGCAGATACCTCTTCAGCATCTGGTTTGCCGCCGATCGATCATCACCACACACAACACAACATGAACAAACTTTGCCGTCAAGTGTCAATTGAGTCCCCTGGGCCGGGGGCTAAGAACTGCGTCTTTAACTTTTTCGTTCCCATTGAGGACACACCGCCCCAGGGAGCACGCATTAAGATTGTATGTGCCGGCGCCTGTTATCGTCGCCGAGATCGCTCCAATTCAATTACTAGCATCTCGTCAGTGTCTTCGGAGTTAAGCGACTATTGCCCGACCAGCGCATCGATTACGTCGCTCACATCAATGTCCTCGCCCGCTCACCAGGGCATACGTGAAGGTTCATTCTTTCCTGGCTTTGAAGTAGCTGGTGTTATTGAATCACTGGGCTCAGAGATTACAGAGGCAAACAATCGTGGCTTGCACATTGGTCAGCGCGTCATTGTCTATCCATTTGATGAGGCTCCGGCCGGCTATGCCGAGCTAATGGTGGTGCCCGATCTTAAGCATATCGTACCGATACCTGATAGCCTGCCCATAAGTGTGGCCGCCATGCTGCCGACGGGTGCATTGCTGGCCATGAATGCTGTCTTCAAGGCTCAAGCTGTGGTGACAGAGATTCTAAAACAGCGTGCCAGCACTGAACCAAATAAAAAATGCAAGATCTTAATTGTGGGAACTGGTGGTCTGGCGCTCTGGGCAGTGCGCATCGCTTCCTATCACTTTGCATTGACGGGTTCGGCCAGTGTGGACATCACTGTGGCTAGTCTTAGGGATGAAGGCTTCCGTTTAGCCACAGAAATTAAAAAGTAAGTTAAGCACCGAGTTCCTTTTTTGTACCATTTACTAATTGCCTCCATACACATTCAGCGTCAGCGTTGTGCAGTGGAATGAGTGTCTTTACGAGCCACAGTTGATCGAGCGCACTAAGGATGTATGCGGTGGACCCGTGGATGTAGTTATTGATTTTGGCACAACTTCCAGAAGTCTGCATCGCTCGATGCACTGTTTGTCGAAAGGTGGTGTAGTTTTGATTAGCGATGAAGTGGCCGAAAAATTGCTTCCAAAGTTCTCAAGACTCTCCAGCGAGTATCAGCAGGAGATAATACCGATTTCAAATGGAACGGCAGAGCAGTTGGCGGAATTGGTGCAATTGGTGGCTACCAAAAAAATAGAGCCCCCACCACATTCGGTATTCCCATGCGAGCAGGCCGCTGAAGTTATTCAAAAGTTATGTAACTCTGAGATTCCTGGACGCGCCATATTGCGCTTCCACGATGTGGAATAGAGCATACACATTAGTGGTTAACATTAACTCATTTTACATACATTCAGTGTTTTAAAAGGATATCTGATTATTATTATAGTCAAAGAGACATTTGCATATTCACATTACAACAAACTCTTGCAATAATCTCAAAGATTAGAGAAGCAGAAGAAATATTTTAATTTGCTTGATTTGTAGTAGCGTTAGTATCTGATAGCTGTACTTTTGATATGCTTTGATATGTTTTATACGATCACTGAAATTTTTGTTTTAATTATTTTTGGATTCGATTATAAGAACTTTAAGTATTATATAATAGATTGTGATTGATTTTAATTTAAGCAAACAATATAACAACTTATTTACAAGGAACTCGTTCGAATTTCATGTCTGAATCATTTACTATTTTATTTGCGTAAATACATACAAATAAGTTCATTCTTGCACATGCTGCGCATCACATTAAGGAATAATTGTATTATTGTTTTATGGTTTATTTAAAAAGTGAACCCATAGAACAAATACGATAACTTAAAATAAATGTTATATAATACAAATTGTTAACAAAATCAATGCATATGAAAACGTTTGATTCAATTCGCTTGATGTTTGTACTACTCATAACGTACCCAAAGTACCCAAGATTTACATTATACTCTACTACTCATGAATAAAAACATACAAACAAAAATTTAACTGTCTGTGTGTGCTAGCATAATCTGCAAGTTTGGTCTGCTAATTTGAGAAGTACATGAGATACAGATATTTTCTATTCGAAGCCTTAAATTAGCTTTTCGATTCTTGTAAGCTTTTTTTAATTTGAATGTATGGATAGATAGATCTGTGTAATAGATTTTGTCGAACAGATTCAGCAGTGTGACCACACTACTGTTGGAAAATACGGTCACTAAATTCTATGGCTTTTTAAAATGTTAAGATCTAAAAGAATGGCCGTTTTATTTGCAGAAATTAACTTGGCCACCTTCTTGGTTCGTTACATATAACAAGTAAGGTAGTAAGTTACTATCAGATACTAACTAGTAACCCCATTCCAGTGGCACAATATTCATTCTTCAAACGTAAATGTCTATTAACTTGATTATATTTTACATATACAAATATACCTTGGGGTTTGATGCTTTCAGCTTTGATTCATAAATGATTGCGGTTCTCATTAATAAAAAAAAATTTTAAGCCCAACTGAATTACCGCCTGAATGAAATATAGCTGCTGTTCGAAAATATATTACTTTTTTTTAAGATATGGCATCTACATGTGATATCGATACATCAATCGAAACGCTGCTTCAGTTTGAGCGCCAAAACGAGCAGCGCAGCGCGGCAAAGTGGAGGAACAAGTCATTTTAGCCAAACTAGAACGCAACCTATTTTCCGTAAACATATTATTGCTGACTAAGTAGATTCAATCTACGGTAAACATCAAATCGCAATGGTGAATAAAGAAAATTCATTTAGTACTGGGCAGCAGATTAAGTGGATCGGCAGCAACGATCCGAACGTATACTTTAAGAATTTGGAGCACAGAAACGTGTTATTTTACAAAAAGTGCATTTACGGCCCGCTGACGTTATCAGTCGGGGATTACATATTAGTTTCAAACGCCGATGCGGCCGAACCTGACACAGTGGATGGTTGTGACGTTGCAAGGGTCTTGCATCTTTATGAATTGCGGGAGATGACCAACAAGGAAACCAGCCGCGCTATAGTTCAATGGTACTCACGTCCACAAGCCTTACCACATAAGGAATTCGATAATGATAATATTTGTATTGATTTTGGAGTAGAAATTGTAGAGGAGCATCGACCCTACGACAACGACGTAGCATTGGGTGCCATTTATCGCAAGTGTATTGTACTCGAGGCATCTTCGCAGTGTAGTGCTGATCAGATTTTAAAGCAAACCCAAACGAAGTATAATATCAGTTGTCCCATGTTCGTGTGTCGCTATAAGTTTGTTAAGGTGAAAAAGAAGTCTTATCGTTTAATACCTTTGGAGTTTCAAATTGAAGAAACTACCACACCTGCAGTAGAAGCTAAACGTGTTCGCAGAAGTAGCACAAGGCAAAATGCGACCAAGAGCGGTTCCGCTTCAGCACACAAAGCATCCTCGGAGCGTTCCAACTTTGCCGAGAAACGCCGGAGAGCGTCAGTGGCTGCCGCTAGCGCCGTGGAATTTATTGACGTCAACTATTTCAATAGTGAAAACAAAGTGTCGCCCATAAAGATTGTTGGGGGTCGTAGTGTGGTGCGGCTATCCGAGAAAAAAAAACGTTTGGATGCGGTGGGTGAGCCAGAGATTAATGCCAATTATCTTGTTGCCTCACCTCTAACTGAAAAAAATGCCAAAATAGAGACGCCCAAATCACGCGCCTCGGCCGCGCGCCGTAATCTTAATCTCAGTCTGGACAAAGGCGCAGATACAACCGCCGATTCTGACTGCCTTAACTATTCAATAGTGAAACAAACACCTGATCCTAAGACCCCCTCAAATGATATGAAAATTAAATTGCGTGTTTCGGAAAGAAGAAAATCCGTGCGCCTGGCATCTATGGATGAAGATCGCGATCCTCTGAATCTAGATAGGCAGTGCGATACACCTAATTCACAACGAAGAAAAAGACTTGGCATTACTAATGGAGATATTTATCATACCCCGTCCAAAAAGTCCAGGGAATTGCAGGAAAATGGAGCTACGGAGCAAACGCCCACCACACGTCGCAAGAGCATTTTGAAATCGGCAACCTCTCGTCTAGGTAAGCAGAAATGTACCATTAAAAGATACACCATAGACTAATTTTTTGTTCATTACAGCTGAAGGAACCCCAAGGCGTAGCATTCAACTTTCAAATATTGTGGAGCAACGCATTTTTAAGGACGACGACGTCATATCTACACCTAAGCGGAGTCGTGCGAAAATATCCCATTCAGGGGAGGGAGATGAAGACTACACACCCAAGAAGTCAACACAAAAGACCCCTACTCGCAGCCGCCGTGCTAGTACAACCACGAGACCAGCCAAGGATAGTGCGCCTCTGACACCATCGCAGAAGCTAAAAAAAATACGTGCCGGCGAATTAAGTCCTACTATAGAGCAGCGTCTGCGGCCAGTAGATAAATCCTGCAAATCCCAATTGCAGCTGGCGCGAGAACAGCTGCACGTATCTATTATTCCCAAGAGTTTACCTTGTCGCGAAAAGGAGTTCGATAATATATACAGCTTTTTGGAGGGCAAAATTCAGGACGAGTGCGGTGGCTGCATGTATGTCTCAGGAGTGCCCGGTACAGGCAAAACAGCCACAGTAACAGGCGTCATTCGTACTCTTCAACACCAAGTAGCCCAGGAAAAGTTGACACAATTCGACTTTGTTGAAATCAATGGAATGCGTCTAACAGAACCAAGACAAGCATACGTGCAGATATACAAGCAACTGACAGGCAAAACGCTCTCGTGGGAGCATGCGCACACTTTATTGGAGAAGCGTTTTACCACGCCGGCCCCACGACGACTAACGACTGTGCTCCTGGTAGATGAGCTCGATATTCTATGCAATCGACGACAGGATGTTGTTTACAATTTGTTAGATTGGCCAACTAAGTCTGCGGCCAGGCTAGTAGTGATTACCATCGCCAATACCATGGATCTGCCAGAACGTTTGCTAATGGGTAGGTCATTTTAGATGATTTAATAAAATGCATGTACATATGTATATCATCCGTATGGAAATCCAATATCGATAGCAATTTACTAGAACTCGGATGCTTAACATATACTACTTTTTTTTCTTTTTGGCAGGCAAGGTCACTTCGCGTCTGGGTCTTACACGACTCACTTTTCAACCATATACGCATAAACAGTTGCAGGAAATCGTCACAGCACGTTTGGGCGGCTCAGATGCTTTTAAGGGTGAGGCAGTACAGCTGGTAGCGCGCAAAGTGGCCGCCGTATCTGGTGATGCGCGTCGAGCTCTGGACATATGTCGACGCGCCACTGAGATAGCGGACATGACCGAACAATCAGTGGCTACGGCAACGAAATGCGTCAGTATTCTGCATGTCCAGCAGGCTTTGGCCGAAATGATTGCAAGCGCCAAGGTTCAGGCCATTAAGAATTGTTCTCGATTGGAGCAGATTTTTCTACAGGCTGTTGCCGCCGAGGTTACACGCACGGGCGTAGAGGAAACAACTTTTATGGGCGTTTACACGCAGGTGGAAACAATTGCTGCTTTTATGGGCGCAGTAGTTCCGGCGCCGGGTCGCGCTTTGCGTCTCTGCTCCAAACTGGGTGCTGAGCGTCTAATAATCTGCGAGCATTCGCGTACCGATATATTTCAAAAAATTCTGTTAAATGTCAGCGCCGATGACATCCACTATGCGTTGCGAGTGGAGGGTAATAACTAAAATCTTTAAATAGAAAATTTTAATTGACACTAACACGTTTAGCTACAAAGGTTTTATCAGTAATTTAATTATATTTAAGTTTCTCTTTTAAACAATTTAAAGTACAAACTCGTTATTACAAATACAAAGTAAAAAACCAAAACAGTATAACAGTCATATAATACTTTAGGTGAAAAAACGGAATAGATAAAGAGATGATAGCGAAACCCTAGCATTAGGCAAAGGTAAAATGCTGCCGGCAGCATAATCATGGCAGCATACATGGGCATCACCAACGTGTCAGCAGCGACGGCATAAGGTGGCTGCAGTTGTATGATCCCCACGCTCCTCAGGTCCGTGCGCAGTGTGTGCACGATCAGATAGAGAAAGGAATGTATTTCAGCGCAATATGTGTTCAATGTGACAAAGATCCCGACCACTATAGGATTATAATTTGTCTGCCCAATATAGCCTGGCGTCAAATCAATGGTGGACAAACTATTCGAGTTGCCCTGATAAAAGTAAAACATTCGGGCAATGAATATCGTCATTATGATCTTGTACACATGCACCTGGCGCACAGTAAACTTGCGCGCACTTGTGCAGTAAACATCACAGAGCTTGTACGTCTGGTCCAGTGTAATAAGCATTGTAGGCAGGAGCACAACATTCTGCGCCTTGTGCAGCAGCGACGCCACCACCAACGAGCAACTCAGGTTTGTCTGCAGTAGCTGCAGTAACACGTTCTGAGGCTTTATGTTTAAAACACCGTCCCGATTTTTTTGCGGCAAAGCGAGGCGATAGCCAAGTAAGATATTTGCGGCCATGCAACACCAGAATAAAACCAAGGTAGGAACAATGAAGCGCGCCCTGAAAACAAACAAGTTGTAAGCGTTTCACAAGGTATATATGTATGTATATTAAGTAAATATGGGCCTTCGTTCATTTCGTCTAAAGTAATTCGAAAACGATTTTAGTTGTATTATTTAAATTGAAAATAATTCATTTTTGTGATTAATTTATAAATTCAAAGTAACGTAAGTGATAAATTCAGCTAATGAACTATGAAGGCCAACTCTATTTGTAAAATTCAATTGCCAATTTTTTTTTTACAATTTTCTTACATAAATGTAAGATTTATCGTAATATTCATTAAGATTGGCATATAAGTTGGCAATTGTTTTCAAAGTATAAATCATTTTAACTATACTTACATAATATGCGATTTCAGACCATAGAAATCTACGTCACCATTTAGAACACGGAATCCGAACACCAATAGAAATGCTACGGCATTTAAGACAATTTGAAGCAAATTATTAAATTTACGGAGGCGCGCCCATAGTAGAAACAACGAGAACAGCATTAAGGTGCTCTTAATAACGTTCAAACGATACAAATACCGCATCAATGTTAACAGTATTAGGACAACAAATACTTTCCTTTGTTGCCACAGGCACACAGAGGCAATTTTATGTAAGTGCCGTCCATCTAACTCTACATTTGTTTTAGTAATGCGACGACGTAGCGTTTTAAAGGAGGTAAGAACTAATAATGTGTTGCCTAAGTAGTACCAAGTTTTATACTCGCGCTCTATAAATGATGACGAACCTAGTGTGAAAGTCCGTATTGCAAAGCAAATTAGCAAAGGAAGCGGGAGGGGTATGCATAATTTAAGTCGGCGCGAGTACAAGGGTGGTAGCATGATCGTGAGTAAAGCTTGCACCACATCAATTGATAGGTAAATCGAGATGCCTATTGGTAACACTAACAGAACGGACTGCATAATTGAGCTGGTAATTATCAAGTCTAAGTGATGACTGACTACATTTGAAATGACACCAATCACTAAAGATAGTAACAGTTGTCTGGCCTTTAATCTGTCCATTTGCAGTTGATCAGTTACGTCCAGAAACAAAATACTGAGCACAATGTGCAGTGAGCTCTGTAAAAATTAAATTGTAAAAAGTATTGTATTACTTATTTATCATCGAACCGAAAGTGTGAGGGCCAATCCTATGGCTATGAAACCATAGTCAAATTTCACCAACGATTCAGAAAGTAGCATTGATATCTCACGAGCCATCCGCATATAATTGAGCTTCGCAACCTGATAGTGGACATTACTGGTGCTTTCGCGGTCTCGTATTGAATGCAACAGCTTTTTGTGCAACAGTGTGGCATTTTGATACCAATGATAGTAATCTGTAATAAATGAAGTAAAGCAATAATGTTATAAGTTTATATGAAAATATACCACTGTACGTACGTACCACTGTGCTTAACTTTTTCATGACCAAACTTCACTCTGGCTCTATTTAGAAGATGATGGGCATTATAAAAATATGCGTACATTTGATGTTCCAATGACAGGGACTGTAACATTTCCGGTATCAAACATCCAATGGACATTTTCGGTATCTCAATGGATAACAGCACAGCCAGAGTAGGCGCCAAATCAATTTGGTTGTAACGCTTTGGCCCACCGCTAAAAGTAAAGTAAGTTAAATCGAACAATTTTCTAATCATGACTGAAAGCTTACGTTGATTTACTACAATCACTGGAAAATAAATACAGTGGCACTAATGTCTCGTAAGGTGTATTACCACCATGACCACCACCCTCTGCCATACCATGGTCACCGGTCAACATTAATAAATAATTAGTAATATTCTGAAAAAAATTAACAACATGAATGAGACACATAAAGCTACCTTAAAAATCTTAGCCCACCTTATGGTCTAGTATATTTTTTAACGCGTCATCCATCTCTTTTAACTTGTCCTTCACTCTTGGGCTTTTATTACCTTCAACATGCCCTATATGATCTAGGCCCAGATAATGCAGTATAAGCAAGGTCCAGTCCCGTTTTTCTAATTCCAAACCTAGTACTTTCGTTACATTCCTGTCGCCCTTGTAAAAATCATTCACAAAAAATGAATCATTGTTGGCTGAATGCCTGTTGAATTCACTAGGAAATAGCTCCACCCAGGTGCGATCACCAGCGAAAGAAACGTTAGCCTTATGCTGTTTCAAACGATGCAGCAAGGAGTCATGCAGCTGCTCTGTATGCCCTACATTCAGAGCAATGTCGATGAAATTGGACAGTGTGCCAGTTGTAATGCTTTTCAGACGTGGCATTGTAACAGTTGGAATGTCAACGTGCACTGTCAGCTTCTCACATGCTCTGGCATGCGCCACTGGCATTGTCGAGGCATTAACAAAGTCCTCGCGCAGGGCATCGATCAAAAATAAGATAAAAGCTTGATAGCTTCTCGGCGGTGGATGAATTCTAAAATAATAGAGCATACGTAACATAACAACATAATCTCCCACTTTAGATAAACTTACTTAAGTCCATGCAAGGAAGTTGGCCGCACATTGGGAACGCTGCTGTCTTCCTCCGATGCTGAGTAAGAGGCCGGAAAGAAACCGAACAAGAAGAGTAAGGCGCCGCACAGGAAAAATGTTAGCATGTAACTTGTGTAGGTGAGGCGGCTTTTATTATTAGCTTCCATTGTGTACAGTACATTGGAACTATAGATTGATACAATAGTATTGACAGAAAAAATGGACAGCCTGTCAAAACAGCCAAAGATAAACAAATAAAAGTACTGTAGAAGCAGGGTTGCCCCATTTCTGCAAGTATGCAGTAAAATGTTACAGTTGACAAATAATAGGCAATTTTCATTTATTATTGCAATATCGCGTTTTAATTAGATTTTATTTGTATATACAGTAAGAAAACAAATCTATTTTGATAAATCAATCTAAATATGCCGGGTTTAAATTCATATGTTTTGAAGCCTTGCATCCCTGCCACGAACACAGCTGATAACAAGCGTACCCCGTTACTTTTATGCTCAATTATTTAATTTGTGGTTTTAAGCAATGGAAACATGTGGTTATATTTATGTTAGCACAGATTATGAGAATTTTATCGTACGGTGTTCAAGTTGTCCCACTGATGTGCAGATTGCGCACTGGCAGGAATTTGTACTGCACTTTCGCAATACGCACGCCACCATAGAGGAGAAAAAACTTCGCCAGGACTTTGCGTGGTCTGATGACGATTCTCTAATCCTGAATAAAAACTTGCAAACTACTGTAGAGGTTCCTCTTGATGAAGATAGCATTCAGGAAGAGTTTCTTAATGACTGCATAAAAGAGGAGCCACAGTCACCCAAATGTACACAGGATGCAAAAGTCGGAACTCAACTTAAGCTAGACAGGAACACAGAGGTAAGCTAGTGTGCATTTTAGGCGAATTAATTTACAGGTCTTTAAAGACTTCTTCATCGGATTCTGGTGCAAGTGATAATGATGACACAGATATGGAAGATAAGCCAGAGATGTGTGAAGACGATGAAGATATTAGTGATGTTGCTGCACCGTCTCATAGGGTATGTATGTACATACATATGTGTATCTAGTACTAAAATGTACAATTAAGCAAAACCATTTTGCAGTTTAATCCTTCTTTTTTTCGGCGGGATCCACGTACTTCAACGTTTATTGAGCTATATCGAAGTCAGCCTTGTCTCTGGGATCCTAGCCACAACAAATATAATGATCCAAGTGCAGCTGCGGTCGCTCATCAGGAACTTATAAAAGGTTTGGAGACTAAGATACAGGTTGTCTTTAACGAGCAGTCAGTGAAAGCCGCTATTAAAAGGATGCAAATGCAGTATGACACTGTTGAAAAACGTGTGAAAAATGGGACTCTAAAAAAAAACTCCGTCGCTTTTACTCATTATACAGCTTGTAGATTTCTGAAAGTTCTGAAGCCAAAAAGAAATACCTACAGTAATGAAAAAATTCAGGTAAGAATTATTTATTCATATATTCACTTGCAAATATGTGGAATAAAAGTTTTATGTTATTTTCAGTTGGATTTCACAAAAGTAAATAATATCACCACTGCCCTAATTAAATTATACTCAAACTTTCCCCAGCTATACGATCCACAACACAAGATGTTTTCTAATATGGATTCTCGTAGACAGGCATATGAAGCATTGGCTGTTGAAATTTCATTACCCGATGTTAGTAACGATGATATTTTCCGCGCCATTCAAATTCTCCGTCAGTGGTACTACAAAAGCGTTAAGCGATCCACTAGCCTTAATGCCGTCGAACAGCATTATCTTCAAAGTTGCAGTTTTTTGCCCCCCAATATGTTAAAGCAGAAGCTGACATGTGAAATTTGTCACAAGATTAGTTTTTCGGATCATGTACTCCAGATTCATCTTCATAAGGTTCATAATATTGGGGAATTGCCATTCAAGTGTACGTTATGCGAACGTAGTTTTATTGGACGCGGCGAACTGAGCACCCACTCTCAACGGGTTCACATAGGCAAGTCCCACAAATGTAGCTATTGCGATCGAACGTTTGCGGTACCTTCTGACCTGCGCCTACATATTCGTACCCACACTGGTCATAAACCCTATGTCTGTGATCAGTGCGGAAAGGCATTTAGACTGAGATCACAACTTAAGCAACATGTTACCGAAATACACACTAAAATCAGAGCTTTTAAATGCACAATGTGTCCAAAGGATTTTGTAAGGAAGGTGCATTTGTCGGACCACATAAAAAGTCATTTGAATATCAGAGATAAAATATGTTCGACCTGCGGTAAGGGCTTTACGAGTTGCCACTCCCTTATCAGACACCGTCAAATTCATGCTGAGGTGAAGAAGTTTGCTTGCAAGATGTGTGATCTTAGATTCTCTCAATTTGTTGGCCTGAATTCGCATATGAAACGAACACATAACATAGTACGAAGCAAGCAATCAAATTAAAAGTTGAATAATAATGAATGAATAAGAATGCCGACAATTTAAATAGGGATCGAAGTTAGCTAGCGTTCTAACTCTTTCACTAATATAAGAATCTCCTGAATTGTAAATGACTCGGGATAGAATAATAAACCCTCACATTATTACAAAGAAGTTTTCATTTATTTTGAGGAACATGGACCTAAACCCGACCCAAACAGTACTAAGCTTAAGGCAATCTACATATTCATTTTGATGAACTTTTGCTTTAATTAAAAGAGAATAAACATTTTAACAGCTTCCCTGTAATTAGTAAAGTTTTGCCATGTTATAAAACCGGATAAGTATGCAAAATAGTGCATAAAAACCAGTACAGCGTTAAAATCGTGCAAGTTTGGTATAAGTTTATTATATAAATAAAAACTAACTCATAAATAACAACGATAACGATATCAAAATAAAGCGAAATGTTTTTAGGTACTAAGACTGAACTCATAAATAACAAATAAGACCTGCGGGTACAGCGTGTACACCAATTTGTACACGCTAAGAATCAACAATATTATTTAATATTTGCCGCCATTAACATCCGCTGCAGTATTAATCGCCAGTTACATTTGTATTACTGTTACTGGAATCTATTCATTAGGTCAATAAGAAAAATGTACTCGTTCTTGGCTTTTTTTTTGTAACTCTCACATCACTAGTTTTGAGCAGATGTTCTGTGGTAGCACAGTAAATGGGAACTCTAACAAGCTGATAATTTATTTTCAGCGTTTAGAAAATGGAGGTGTGTGGCAATATATGCAATAGTAGCGATTATCAGCAGTTCTTTTTAAAATGCATATATTGTGCGGTAAATTTGGAAATGAAGGAATGGAAGAAATTTATGATGCATGTTCAATCGACTCACAACCTAATAATATCCGATAATGAGGCAGACTCTGTGGATGTTCCAATGAAAGTTGAAAATGACGATATAATTGAAGAAACCGAGTATATGATCCACCATGAAGAAGGTTCTTTAGAATCCTCCAATTTAAGTACTGACGATGGAAATCAACAATTTACTGACTCAAATGATTTTGAAATCAACTCAGTAGAAACTCCAGCGTGCAGCAAAGGAGGAGGAAGCGAGAGTGGAGATGACGAAAAATCTCAGGATATTTTGGCCAATTCAGAATGCAGCTACATTGACTCGGACGAAGATATAGTAGAGGTATGGGCCATTCGATTTTTCTGGAAATATTATATGCCATTACAATGTGGGTGAAATGTTTTAGAAAGTCGAATTCGCAGAGACCAAAGGCATTGCAATCGTGGAGAACGACGGTAATGTAGATGAATCCCAATCTTCTAACCTAGCAGAGCTTTGCGAACCAGTTATAAATTATAAATCTGTGAATGTACCTCAATACAGCGTACGTATCTTATGCCTAATATTTGATTACAAATAAATATATTATTTTTAATGACTTGCAGTTGCATATATCGTTCAATCGGCGAAATCCCCGCGCATTTTACTTCATAAAAATGTACAAAAACTATCCGTGTTTATGGAACCCCAACGATTTAGACTACAACAATGAGAAAGCTCGGGGTCAAGCTCACAAATCCTTGACAGACGATATGGAAAAAGAAGCGAATTTATTTCTTTCCGAAACAGAGTTAAAGAAAACCATCCAGCAGTTACACCAACAATACATACTTGCAAAAAAAAATTTTGATAAAAACAAGCTCGTTGGAATTCCAACTCTATATTACAACCGTTGTGAGTTTTTGAACGAAAGTGACAATTCATTGGAACAAGAAAGCAAACAGGATCAAATTGAAGATAAGGATGCAATGCCAATGGTAAAATATCAAATTAGTATACACTTCTTGCCTGTTTAAAGATAATTTACTTTCAGATAAACTTTAAAGTAACGAATGACTTCACTTCCATGTTTATAAAAGAATATTCCAATTTCCCTGAAATATGGGACCCTGAAGTGTCCGATTATTACTCAATCGAGGCACGTAAAAATGCATACGAACAAATGGCCAAAAATCTACCTGGGTCTTTGAACGAAACTGATGTGTATATGGGTATTTTAAAGTTGCGCAAGTGGTTTTACTCAGCCATTAAAAGTACAAAAGTGAGGACGAAATTGGTAGTATGTTGCACCAAAATAGAGCTCAATTACTTACAATTATGCAATTTTCTACCGCCTAAAATGGAAAATGGTGTATTTGATTGTGACTATTGCAACAAGCGTTTTTATATGGATTACAATTTACGTACACATTTATGCAAAGTTCATAATGTGGGTGAGCTACCATTCAAATGCTCGCAATGCTCGGATCGATGCTTTGAACATTTTTGCGATTTGAGCAGACACCAGCTTAGACAACACAAAGAGAAAAAGCTCAAATGTAAATATTGTGATAGTTCGTTCGCAGTTGCCCATGATCTAAAGGTTCACATTCGAGTACATACTGGTGAAAAACCATTTGTGTGTGAGCTTTGTGGGAAGGAGTTTCGACTGAAACTGTTGCTCGACTATCATATAAAGGGCACCCATTTCAACGAACGCCCGTTTAAATGTGATCTCTGCCCGAAGGACTTTAGAAAGAAATTTGAATTGAATGATCACATGAACGGACATTTGAATATTCGTAATAAGGTGTGCCCCACATGTGGAAAGAACTTTGTATCCTACTCCTCACTCTCCAGACACCGCAGATTACACCAAAAAAGAGACATGAATTCATAATTTTGTCAATTTTTTTGTTTTATAAAAACTTGGAAATATAAATACATATTTTATTCAAAATCATTAAATGTGTTTTTCTACACTTAACATCCATCTGCTCAACACTTTTTTTTTTAATTTCCTATACAAACAAAAATTTCCATTAAATGCAAAATAGAGTTTTACTACAAATCTATTACGTATAAAAGATGTCAACTTTGGAGGAATTGGGGGTTTTTACAATACACATGTGCGAAAAGTTAAAGTCATATATGTACGCTGTTTAGCACTCGTTTAATAAATATACAAATATATCGATATCCTGCTATCGAAAGTATTTCTCACCACCTCCATTTTCTGTTTACAATATTCGCTTATACATTGAGGGGATATTTGTCATGGTAATTTGTGGCAGTATTGTGGCTCGTAATAATTACGAGGAGTTTACTATAACATGCTCTTTGTGCAAAAATGAAACAAGCATTGTAGAGTGGGAAAAATTTGTGCTGCACATAAAAGATTCTCATCGGCCTGTGGAGTTGGAGGAGGATAAGTTTGAAAAATTGCCTTACAGTGAAAACAAAAATCCAATTCTCGAGGAACCCTTTAAAAGCGACGGCGATGGAATCAGTGATTGTCTTAATGAAGCAGCGATTGTGGATCTGCCGATGTCTGACGACGGCGATCAATTTGATACTGACAATGAAACCGGTGACGATGAGGTTGGTATATTTGAATTAAAAACGTATGTATGTATGTACATATATTAATTGTGGCTATCTGTTCTAACTATAAAGACGTTTGAAGAATGTGAATCCGGAAATGCAGGGTCAGAAACGGATACCGGAACCAAAAGCTTTCCACCAATAAGAAAAGTATGAGAAATTTTGTATAATACTACCCAAGAGGATTGTAAATAAAGCGTATACTTTTTGCAGTTTAATCCAACCTTTTACCGGCGCCACCCACGCATTACAAAATTTATTGAGCTCTACAAATCCCACCCATGCCTTTGGGACCCAAAAGACGCATCGTACAGAAACAAAGAAATGCGCACTTCTGCATATAACACGATGTTGGAGCAATTAAAATCTAATATCAACATCCATCTGACACATTTCAGATTAAAAAAATGTATTTCAAATCTACATAGGCAATACGCTGGCGTAACACGCCGAAAACAAACCCAAAAATTAACAAAGGTCACTTTGCAATATCATGACACTTACAAATTCTTGGCAAAACGGGGAGACATTGATGATGACAGTGAGGCCGAAGCCGAAGATGAGAAAATTAAGGTAGGAGTTATACATAATTGTAGCTATTTCGCCATTTCTACCCTTCAAAAGTCAAACATACATCCATCTGTGCCCATGTCTGCTAATTTTCTTGTAATTTTGATAATTTTAACGTTTTGAAGGGTATACGGCTACGGCAGAGTCTATCTGATCATTTTCTCAACTAGTTTTTTAAAAAACATGATCTTTCTTCCCAGCTGATTTTTACTGAAACAAACCAGTTGACTCAGCAGTTTATTCAAATCTACGAACTTTTCCCTCAACTTTTCGACCCGGAACATAAGGATTATAGAAATCTAGCAGCCCGGAAGGCGTCTTACGAAGAAATGGCTCAACTGCTACGAAACTCTGGCGTAATGCCTGAAAATAATATTACTGGGAGCGACGTTTATGAAAGCGTATTGTGTCTTCGCAAATGGTACTGCCGCAAAATCAAAGGCCTAACAGAGGGCCTAACTGAAGGATTAGGTAACGCTGAAAAGCAATTTCTCGAAAAATGCAAAAGCTACTTAAGAACAACAACGTTCAGACTGAAATTACCATGTGAAGTGTGTCAGGCAATCTTTAATACCGATCACGCCTTACAGGCTCATCTATACAAAGTTCACAAACAGGGCGAGTTCCCATTTAAATGCGATTTGTGTTCGGGCAGCTTTGAACGACGATGCAATTTACAGCAACATATCCAAAGGGTTCATGTGGGTAAGATGTTTAAGTGCAGTCACTGTGAACGTAGTTTCGCATTCTTACATCAACTGAATATTCATCTGCGTACCCATGAAGATTCACATATAGCTAAACCATTTGTCTGCGAGTTCTGCGGCAAATCGTTTAAGCAGAAGATTCAGATGACCACACACGTGACTGCCGTTCATACAAAAGTACGTGCCTATAAATGTGAAATGTGCCCAAAGGACTTCCTCACAAAACGAGATTTGAAAGATCATGTAAAAGCACACTTAAATATTCGTGATAAAGTTTGCGAAATATGCCAAAAAGCTTTTACGAACGCAAATGCTCTTGTTAAACATCGACATATACACAGAGAAAAGACCATACAATGCACACTGTGCAGTACTAGATTTTCCGAGCGGGTAAGCCTTGGAGTACACATGAAACGTACGCATAAAATTATTAGAAATATTCCAAAAGAATAAAAAGTTTGCAATATAACATTTTTTGTTTCAAATTAACGGCAATTTCATTTGGCTACCTTTCAACACTGCACTGAACAGCTGACATCAATTTTTATATATATGTACGTACATTCATATGTATGTATATGCATACATATGCTAGTGCAGTATTCTGCAACTCTGTTATCATAACTGGTTTCGTCGGTATGAACGGATATGGGCTCCTTTCAAATATTTGTAGACAATGCACTGCATTGTACCGGCCAAAACAATTCAATACATTTTTTGGGAGCAACCACACATCGAAATGGAAGTGGGCCCGTTTATTTGGAACAGTATCTAACAACAATACCGCAGCAAGCTTACGTGAGCGCCCGCACTGTAATATCGGCACCATTGGACATGTCGACCATGGCAAGACAACACTGACGGCGGCTATTACAAAAATTCAATCCCAAAAAGGATTAGCCGACTACGTACCCTACGACCAAATCGATAGAGCGCCAGAAGAAAAGGCACGTGGTATCACCATTAATGCATGTCACATTGGGTACGCCACTGCGGATAGAACATATGCCCACACCGACTGTCCAGGCCATGCTGATTACATTAAGGTAGGGTTCTGTGAATGCTGCATAAAAATTGCTAACTAACCTTTTAAGTTCTCTGCAGAATATGATATCCGGCGCTTCACAAATGGACGGAGCTATATTGTTAGTGGCAGCAAATGACGGACAAATGCCTCAAACACGTGAACATTTACTGTTGGCCAAGCAAGTGGGAATTCAGCGAATAGTAGTGTTTATAAACAAAGCTGATCTAGTCGACCAGGAAGTGCTGGAGTTGGTGGAGATTGAAATGCGCGAGATGTTGACAGATTTTGGATTCGATGGTGTAGCCAGTCCAGTGATTTGTGGTTCCGCTTTGCTAGCACTGCGTGGAGACCAGTCAAAGTTCGGTGTTCCAGCTATCGAGGAATTATTGGAGCAATGTGACTCATTTATCCCGACACCAACGCGCGATATAAGTTCCCCCTTTATACTGCCAATAGATAATGCATTCACCGTTCCTGGACGCGGTACTGTGGTAGTGGGAACCATCAAGCAAGGGACGATTGTACGTAACGCCGACGCAGATTTGTTGGGCTTCAATCAAAACATAAAGACAACCGTTAGTGACATTCAAATCTTTCGCAAGAGTGTACCACAGGTACTTATATAATACATTTTTGAAAATTTTTGAAATTGATTTGAAAATTGTATCTTTTGCAATAATATTTACAGGCCATTGCCGGTGAAAATGTAGGCGCCTTGTTGCGAGGCATAAAAATTTCCAATGTTGAGCGTGGCATGCAGCTTTGTGCGATGGGCAGTCAAGATATATCGAATCACTACGAAGGCTCCATGTATTTACTCTCGCGTGCGGAGGGTGGGCGCCACAAACCAATGCTTTCCAAGTATATACAGCAACTCTTTAGTATGACTTGGAATGTTCCGGCTCGCGTTGATTTAGGTAAAATTTCACACTGTTTTATAGCGTAATATACTTCTTTGCACAGAAATAGTCCTATAGACCATAGTAAATGTTAAGAAGGCATTTTTTTTGATTTTGATAATTTGGCCAACAACAAAAAAAGAAGACATTGCTATAAGAATTATAATCACGTCCTATTGTTTGTTATACTGATTAACCCTATGATTATGATTATAGTATTTTCTTATGAAGAATGAAGGGTAAATGTATTAACTTTCAAGTAATTACTTTCTTTTTTTACAGTTCCAAGCGATGCTATGCTTTTGCCTGGTGAGCACGGTCAGGTACGGGTTACTTTGCTGCGCAAAATGGTCATGACTCCTGGCCAGCCGTTTACAATACGGGAAAATGGGGCAACTGTAGCTACGGGAATGATAACAAGTCGCTTGCCATCTTTAGACGTACCTAAAAATAAATTGTCAAAGGTGTATGTGGCATCCTAGTAAGCAATCATCGGCTTTTATTTACGCAAAATTCGTATTATACAAACTCATTTTATTGTACATGCGTTTGTTAATCTAATTTATGTATGTGGTAAATAACAATACATTTCAAAGAAATGTTCGTTTCTGTTCATAAATATTGTAAATACGTACTGTATAAATATGCTTGTATTAGTATGCTCAGGTATGTAGATTCTTTAATAAGCCTAATTTTGCTTAACAACACGTCTACATTTAAACTACAATTCAATAGCAATATTCGCGCTAATTGATAAATACATATTTCAAATAAATAGAATGGAATTACATTTCAAAAATGTTATCTTAACACTTATAGTCTCTTTAGTGCAAACTGTAAGGCAACAAGCCGGCATATTCTCAACGTCTTTCAATGCCTTACATAAACTAATACTTTTTTAAGTACGTGGTATATGTAAATATATCGTATACACGCAAATAACATGCAAAAAGGTACAATTTTCGTTTATTGCAATTTAGGAATGTTATGGAGTCTCACTCTCGACAAATATTGCTTCTCAACATTGGTTCAAAACCGCCATCACGATCATTTCCACTGTATCTCGAAAATGAGGTTACAATTTCGACAATTTTTCGTTTTGAAATCATTGATGAAATGTGAAGGTAATAATTTAAACTAAACAGGAACTACACACAAGAGTAATTTCATTCTTGGCAACACAAATAACTATAAATATTTAATACGTTACAAAGGGCTAATGGTGACCAAGTCAGATGGCAACGTTCAAAACAAACATGGACACAATCGAGCAAATAGATTAGATTTTGGTGAGGAATTCGTCCAGATTCAAATGCGACGGCAGTTCAATATCCTCCAGCTTAATTTCACTATATTTAAATACCACCTTGAATGGTTGAATGAACTTCTGGTCCATTGTAAATTCGTCGTTTTTATGCTGCAAGGAAAATATGACGCGATCAGAATAACACTCATATCATTCAACAACATATACAACACGAACCATTTGACGAGCATTCAACTTTTCAGCCAACTTATCCAGAAATACATTCGTAATTTCGCTTTCGTAGTCATCGAGCTTGTATGACTTCATTACCTTCAGGACCTGCGCAGTATTTAAAGAGGTGCAAAGGTCACAGATCGTCTGCACATCCTGCTCACTTTTACGCGATTGCAACAACTGCGAAACTTGATTTAATGGCGCCAGTGGCGTTAGCACATCGTTCGACTGAAATATACAAGACATTCATTTTAAATTTCTTTAAACATCATTTAAGGCAAAAAATTGTGCCATACCATTTTTTTGCTGCGCACCCAATCCTCGATACAACCAAGATTATAGCGTATTATCATGCCCGTCTCCCACATGCAAATATCGCCACGTAGCATCAAACAGTTAAGAGCGACAGCACAGATAAAGTACAATAACTGATGAAATATTTGCTCTGCATAGCAATTGTCCAATCCGAAATGCTGAAACTGTTTGTAGAAATGCTCGAGTTGAGAGATAAGCTGTTTCCAAGCTGGCATATTTCCATGCTCTGGCGATGATGAGTCCATCGAGCTGGTACGGTTTCTCATGCCATGAGCCTGACGACCGCGTTGAATCTCATCGTTGTTCAGTATAGCTGGCACAATCTTGGCGTCAAGTAGACCCTGTATTTGCATCACCAGCGCTTGATATAAATTTACGATCAAATCAAGTATAACACGACGGTATTCGAAAAGATTGAAGTTTTTCAATTGCTGCTGATTCTGCTTTTCGGTATTGAACTTGACGTACTCCTCGACGTCACCATATTGTTTAAGTAGATTTAAGAGACTGCAAAAAATAGAATTTGTACTCTATTGCAATTTTAGTAAAGTTACTCATACTCACGTTATTGAATTAACCAGCCAAATAACTCGATACTCTATGGGATGAGGTGTACGGTGCATTTTTTTGATCTGCATAACAAATTTGCTGAGTAGCTCACGAACATCATCATCGGCATTTGTCAGATCGGTATAGCGAATGCACATGAATATAAGATATGCAGGAAAACCGGGCAATAGACCGACAACAGTTCTGGGAGTGAGATTGCTGAGTAATCTTTGCAAGATCTTGTCCAAATCGCCGCTGTGGAACTTCATTAGGCCTTGCGGATTTTGCGATTTTTGTTTGGTTACATTGGCGCCAACATCGCTTCGATCTCGCTCCTCCGCTGTTTTGCCCTTGCTGCGACTTACTTCCTCCTCCAGCTTATGCTCCAGCTTGCCACCATCTTGCCTATAGGCATTAAGTTTTTTGTTTGCCAACTTGAGCTCGTCCTGCACCAGCAAATATTGCGATATTGCCTTCTTCAGCTCCATGCGCAAATAACGATCATTCTGTTTGAGCGTATCCATTGTGGCGTTGTCATATTCATCAAGGCTCTTGTACAGTACTTGCTGCATTTCTTCTTTTTCGATACGGAAGCGTTCTATTTCTTGAGTCATCTCCATCAGCTTGCTATTGTGCTCCTCGGTGATGGCCTTCAGCTCTGATTCCAATTGCCTATAAAAAGTTAACGATCAATTATGCCGAAGCTCCTTTGATTTTTAGAATTTTAAGCAACTTATGTTAGCTATGTTTTGTAACCAAATAGTAAGTGGCTGTACTGTCACTTGGTACAAGTATACAGAAAATGTATATATTTGTTTATACTGGATTGAGCAATTAATCTTGCAAGGTTACTATATATTTACACTAAATACTTATGAATGAATGATTATACTATTTGAATAACACGTATTTTTATTGCGTTCTTACCTATTGACAAGCTTTTGGGCCTGGAATGCCTCCATCAGCTCATGGATATTGTGGGAATCATTGACGCGTAGACTCTCAGGCTCGAGGGAACGCATTGTCTGATTCTGCTGTTGCAACACTGCCTTCAGTTGTATGCACTCCTCGCGTCTTCTACGGACTTCTTCCTGTAGCGCGGCATGTTGTGCTGTAATTAAAAGAGGGACCAAAAAGGAGAATTGGCGGCATTAGAGTAACAACTGCAAGGTGCTCGCAATGCAGTTGTTACCATTGAGCTCGTTGATCTCAACACCGTGTTTTATGCTCGTGCGCAGCTGATCGTAGTCACTGCGAAGTTTCTCGTTCTCTACCTCAAGCTCGGAGACGCTATGATAAGTGTGTGGCAATAATACATAATTGTAGTTAACCGATCTCTTCGTTATTTTTAATGCTGTTTCATGTGTTATGAATTTCCTATATCAATGAAAGGTCTGTTACTTACCGGAACGAATCCTCAGTTGGCTTATTACGACTGGCTAGCTTGAAATACTGTTCTTGCAAATACTTATGTTTGAGCTTTTCCTCCTCCAGTATGGATCGCAGTTTCACAACGATGCTAGTGCTGTCTATAAATGAGTCTTTAAAAACGTATTTTTAATATTGATTGATTAATATTAGTATTAGTTTAATTACCACTCTTTGTTAGCAGGTCTGGCGGTCTGCTGATTTCCAGTGTATTCTTTGCCGAGGCATAGCCAATATCATCGTCATTCTGACTGGAAGCATTGCTAACGGAGCGACTGTGATGATAGTCTGTGACTCCGTTTTGTTGCTGGAACCGACTAAGCTCTTCCTTTAGCATATAGTTCTCATTTTCAATGACCTCCTTGTCCTTGATAGCACGTTGATAGGCCTCGTTTAGCTCTTTATTGTCAATTTCTGTTAGCATGCGCTCTGCGTGCACGCGTTGGTTAACCTCCACGTTCTTCGCCATTTCAATCATCTCATCAATTTGCCTGCGCAATTCCTCGTTCTCTATGCGCCACAGTTGCTTTTGATTCTGCCATTCCTCTTGCGAGTGCCCATTCTCCTCGAGCAGCTGCATTTTCTCATCCCGCTCCGATTCTAACTGCTTGTTCAGTGCCGCTATTAATTTGTCCTTATCCAAACAGGCAGCCTTGACGTTCTTGAATTCACCCTCCAGATTCTTTTTCATTTCCAGCTTCATTCTGTAAATGATACAAACATTATAGAATAAATAATCTATCTGCTTTTAACTTTTAACAGCTATAATACAAGAGCAAAAATAGCTATTTAAAGATAAAATTTATAGGGAATTCTCTAATATTTAATAAGATTCCAACTCACTTGAGGACGGAAATTTCGCTGGTCTTGAGCTTAAGGTTGCTATTGTCTCTGTTCAACTCATCAATGCGCTGCTGCATGGAAATGATCTTGTTTTCTAGACCCATGTATTTCTTCTCCATGTGTTTTATGGTCTTCGCCTCGGTCTTCATACGTTTGAACTTGCGTCTCGCTAGGAAGCGGCGTACAGCGGCCTGACAGATGATAATGTTACGGCGTCGCTTTTGGTAGGCACGCCGTGCCAGCAGTCCTCGCACAAAGCGTTGTATTTGAACGGCGCGATGATGATCCCGCATTTCGAAGAAGCGCTTCCTTGCCAGCATTCCTCTGGCGTATTGTTGAATGCCTGCCACAGAGTGGCGGAGACGCAAATAGCGCCGACGACAAAGCCAACCACGTGCGTATTTCGAGAGTATAAGAGCAGCGCGCACTTCACGCATCTTTTGAACGCGACGGCGGGCCAACACTCCACGGGCATAACACTGAAGACCACGAATGACGCATTGCAAGCGCAAATAGCGTCTACGATGCACAAAGCGACGCACCACAGATTGCACAATAGTTATGTATTTCTTACGCAAATTGGCACGTACTTGCTCCAAATAGGCAACCTGACCTGCTCTGAAGAATATCTGCGTGTTGCCAAATCTATACTTGTCCTCATCTTGTATCCACTTTTTTACAATATGATAACAAGATTGCTTCATGTCGGTCTTGTCGATTTGAGAACGATGGGCCAACAATTGATAGCGTACATAGAAATCAGGATAGACCCAGCGGGATGGAAAGCCCGCGGCGGAAATACGGACAGTCTCGAGAACGCCACAGGCGCGCAATTGCTGTATAATTTTTGCAGTCTCCCATTTGAAAGCGATCTTGTCGTCGTTGGGCTACTCAAAATTTAATAAAAGATAGAAAAACAAATGGTTAATGCATAAATATTAAGATACATTGGCATAACGCACCTTAATGCAGCGCACATAATGTGGGGTTGTGGCATGCAACGTTGAAATTAATGAGGCGAGGCTCTCCTGGAACTGTGAGCCCACCGTTTTCCTATGTTGCTTGGATGGCATCACCTAAGGTAAGTTATACTTATAAAATAAATGTTTCTAATCACAGCAAGGGTATTCTCCGTATTCCGATTTCGCTTCAAATGAATTGAAAGTAATTCTACATGTTTGTGTTTCATCAATTTAAAACAAAATTCGGATCCGAATTACAGAGCATGCACAAATAATTTAACAATGGTAGAGTTGTAGAGTATTGCTATGAAACCAATAAACAATACTTTGATCAAAAGTGAAGTCAAATAGTTAAATATTTGAATATGTGTTAAGTAGGCTAATCTAATATACAGTATACGTGTTAATCAATATACATTTACACATAATTAAATGGCAACTAACTCTTCGACGTGTCTCATTCAGTTGCTGTTGACGGTGATATAGAAACACGGAGAATGGGACGATACAGCACAAGATGGTCAGCAAGTTGATGGGGACGACGACAGGACAGTTGAATATACGTACAAGCAATAGATGTGCGTATGGAAATATAAATTAGCAAGTCAACGTGTAATATTAGCAGACATATACTCATATGGATTAAAATGATTTTGGGACTGCTGGATAACAAACCTGTTTCCGGCCTGCACTGATTACAACACGTCCGCCCAAAGTTGTTGTCTTGCTGGCATCCGTACTAAGCGTGTCCACTTCCTCAAGAGCCATGACTTGCTTGCACAGCGACATACTTGACAGACCCATCACACTCACAAGCTCTTTTGACACAGTATCCCGATTTTTCTCAAGGAAGCCATTCACATCATATTCAACAGTATCCGAAAAGTGCTTGATGAAAAAGCCTTATAATCATTTTGATATAAGATAATTATTAGAAAAAAATTATACAAATAATAAACAAATAATTTGTTTATAAGGAAATTGTTTTCAGACCAGTTAGCTCCTAGTCTAGCTTAATATTATAGTTATATATTTTGAATTAAATCAGGGGCTTGAGCATGGTACGTGGTTGTGAATAGCTTTAAGCAAGTGATTGTTGTTTTACTACCAAACTGTTAACTGACTGAATGTCGTATATTATTATGAATTTACTTCCAAGAATAAATAGTCCACAAATGTGAAAAATTTACAGTTTAAAATAATACTTAATAGATTAAATGAGCTTTTCTTGTAGAATGTGATAGAAGTTTTAAATAACTAGAGGACGGTTGGAAATTTTGAAATAAATGGAAAGCTGTCTTTTGAAATACTCTGGAGTACGTTTGAGTATGGGTAATTAAGATGTGGCCTTTGTGAACGTTTTGAAATGTAAATAAAATCATATAAAAATGGTGTTGTGTTATCAAACCACGTTTAAAATTCAAATATCTTTGGCCGTCTTAAATGTTCTTAAATAATATTAGAAAACTTAGCTGTTATTAAATTTTACAGTGCTCAACTTACTTGTGGTGCCAAAACGTGGTTTCTCAAAATGTGGGAACTTGTTGCATTTTTCAATTAACTTGCCTGCCCAGCTCTCGTCAGACCCTTTTGGCATCTATATAAAAATACGTTGCCTTGTAAATATACCTTGAGTGCACAATATGCTAACTAACCCGACACTCCTCATCCAGGAGATCTAAAACACCCAGCCTGGATTCGATCAAATCAATACACGGTTGGTTGTCGTAAAAATCAATCATGGTCCATGTAATACCTTCTTTAAGGTACTCCTCCTGCTCCAACTTGAAGACGTGCTGATTAAACTGTTGCTGCAATTTTTCGTTTGCATAGTTTATGCAAAACTGTTCGAACGAATTCACCTCGAATGTTTCGAAGCCGTAGATATCGAGCACGCCAATGAAGCTGCACAGTTTACTACCGTTGTTTAGACTCTTGTTCAATATACCAACAATATACTGAAAGAGCTTTGCATAAATGTGCTTGGCAAGGGCATCTCTAGCTGCCTGAGCCATCTCAATGTTGTTCGGTATCAGCACATATTCATTGACAGACTCTATCTTACGCATCAAAAGCCAGCGACGCAAATCATCCGAGTTGACTTTTAGCAAATCGCCCGTTACTTGCAGATGCAAATCGTTGTGCTGTAGAAGTAGGATATTATTATAATAATTGAGATACCTTCAAATATTTGAACTCACAAAAATCTCACAGGCCTCAGAATCCTCCTCGTCGGTGCCTTCTCTATACTTTTTGGTTACCTCGATATTGCCTAAATGAAGTATTCCTGCCAGTATTTTCACAATATCGGCTATCTGTGGGGTAGATAATGTGCTTAAGAACTGCTATTTTTGGATGGATATCTTTAATATTAACCTGTTGAATAGAGAAACCGAGCACAGTCATAGCCTGGACAGTCTCATTGAACTGATCAGCATCCGAGACGCGTTCAATATCTGGCGCGCCGCCCATGTTTAAGAACTCAAACTTGTCCTGATGATCTGTTAAATATAAAATTGGTCAACCCATTATCATTTCTCTGTTTTTTAAAAATCGTACTAACCTAGTACTAATTCTGGATACTTGGCTCGCGCCGCACACAACTGATAAAATATGTGATAGTTCCGTTCGCCTTGCGCCTGATAGACCACACGTGATTTCTCCAGCAGATATGTGTGCATGGTGGCACCCTGGAGATACATTACCCCCATATTGTTTTTGAACAACAGCTTCGTGAATTTTCCGAAACGAGAGCTATTGTCGTTGCGTGTGGTTTTGGCATTGCCAAATGCCTCCATAATTGGTGAAGATGCCAGCACCTTGCGCTCAACTTGGGTCTCCGACTCCGAGCCACCAACAGCGGCAAAATAACGCATAGCGTATTTAGCCGAAACGGTTTTGCCAGCACCAGATTCGCCGCTTACAATGATGCTGAGATTGCAATTCTCCCGCTCTAGCTTTGTGTATGCTTCTTCTGCTAGTGCGAAGATGTGTGGTTCAAGCTCACCCATCGAACGGCCTCGATAGGCGCGTATAATACTGGGGCCGTACAGGGGCAAGTCAGCATACGGATTTATGGCCACTAATATGATTCCGCAATAGGTATAGATAATTTGGCGCTCACAGAAACGCACACGCAAATTGTGCAGCACTCCAGGCTCGTGTAGATAGGACAGGGTAGTGAGATCATTTTGACCCACCAAAATTGCTGGGTTTCGTAGTGGAGGCAAATCGCTGCCATCCGTTTTCAGTTTAATCTCCTTTTGTCTACCCGATTCACAGAGAATTTTCAACGAAGACGCACCTTTGAGGTAGCTCTCCTCCAATGTGGCGCTTTCCCAGACATCTTCCGCATGTGGTATCCAAATTTTGGAACCCTAAAGAGTTAAGTGTAAAAATAAAAGTGGATAAAGTATAAAAAATAAAAGTGGGAAAGCTGCGGTAATATCAGAAAGTTTCAGTCTTAGTATCCTAAAAACAAAAATAGACTTCTACTAGTATACTGCAATGCATGTATGTACATACATACATATGTACTTTCATGGCACAGTACTTGCAACTCCCATAATGTGTGAATTTTTTTATAATCATATATAGTACATATGTACATCTTATCAGTCTGTTATGCCAGAGGGAGGAGGGCGCAATGAGGCTGATAAGAACTCTGATTCATAGGTACAAAATTTTCGTCTCAAACTGCGTGACATCAACAACAAAGGTAACAACTGTTAAAATTCTATTATGTTCCATATACATACATACATATGTATGTATCTTTACAATTTCAGTACTTAGAATCACAGGCTAATAAAAAAGCGGGGAAATTGGAGAAATGCGAAAATGAAATTGGGCGCAAGAACACATGCGCTGCATCGACCGTGCATGTGCATGCATTTTTATTAACCCCATCAGCAGCTAACACTATTGGCGCCCCCTTCAGCAAAAGACGATGACAGCAACGGCACCGCGCAATTGCCAACAATGCAAATGCACTTGTACGGCATCAATATAATATGTAAAATAAAATACCTTTGCGTATAGCATCTCCTCGCTTGACATGGTTTCACAATTGTAGTTCCACTTCTTCCACTCGACTACTCCACCGCCACTGTAGCGTTGATACGTGCATTTACATAAACCCGTTAGTGATTTGTTGACGAAATTGCTTTAATTTGTATTAAACCAAACACTTTGAATATTACTTTTGATAAAGATATAGAGCCATTACTTTATAATTCAAATTACTGGTATTTTTTAAAGATTTTTTAAACCAAAAGTAAATTAAAAATAAACTAAAATTGAGAATAAGAAATTTTCCACATCGGTAATTTAGCAGACGACAACGAAAAGATGCTAACAAAAACTAATTTTATTTTTTCTGACGTTGCCGATGGGAAAAGGGCAGGGTTGTCAAAGGGCGCGTAGTTTCGACCAAGTTAACAACAATACTGAGTGTTTGCGGTCGCTTGAATCTAATTCGATCAGAGCTTTCAAAATTCTGATGGAGATGTTCAATATTCATCGCAAGGGGATGGAAAAGTGCAAAAATTGCAAGTAAATGTTTTGCGCGGCAAATTATGCGTTAATGCTTCACAGCACTAATACTTACTCGAAACTGTTTTCCAGCACTCTTTTCTGTCATATTTCCCGCGCTTTGCTAAAAGGCACCGCGCTTCTTCGTATTGTTGTGTCAGTTATCGTGTTATTGATTGTAATATATTAAACAAGTTATAACTAAAACAAAATAAACTTACAAAAATGTCAAGTCCCGCTCGTTCACCAAGTGTCGGCACTGGTGCCGGTGCAGCACGCACTCCAACGCGAGGTGATTATAGGAATCAGTTGAAGCGTAAATGACGCATTTGTCCTGAATCATTTATGAATGTATGTATCTTATAAATTTAGGCATCGAAGGACAAGATGTGGAAACTCCTATGCGTATGGGCCCCGGTCGGGTTGGTGCTCGACCCTCGGATAACATTAGTTTGCCTCCGACATCACCGGGCAATGTTAGTTTACCCGCAACAAGTCCGGCGCGAGGTTTGGGAGCCATAAGTGAAATCGATCTAAGCTCTCCATTGAATTATGGTACACCCAGCTCAATGGGTTCCATTCGCACACCACGCTCCGGAATTCGCGGTACTCCCTTACGAGCGCGTCCCGATATACGAACGGACAAACGCATTCGACAGGTAGCCATTGGAGGCGCCTCTGGTGTAAGTAGATAGGTATTATACATTTTCTGCAAACTACTTCATTATTACTTTCTGCTCCAGCTGGAACCCATAGCCGAGAAAGGTTCGGAGGCTACAGATCCCATCTCAGAATCATCTGCAGCTCCTCAGCTTGTTGTCTGGGGCACCAATGTTGTTGTGAGCCAATGCAAAGCCAAGTTTAAATCATTTATTATGCGTTTCATTGACCCAAGTGCTGAGCAGGATGAAATTTCTGAAAATATTGACGTCAATCAACCGCTGTATCTACAAAAATTAGAGGAGATTCATACTTTGGAAGAACCATACTTAAATCTTAACTGTGCCCACTTGAAAACATTTGATCAGGATTTGTATCGACAACTTATAACTTACCCTCAAGAAGTAATTCCAGGACTTGATATGACCGTTAATGAGATGTTTTTTCAACGGTATCCGGCTGCCGTGCTCGAGCATCAAATTCAAGTGCGCCCGTTTAATGCAGACAAAACACGTAACATGCGTTCCCTTAATCCGGAAGATATGGATCAGTTGATCAGTATAAGTGGCATGGTTATACGCTCTTCTAATGTTATACCGGAAATGCGGGAGGCATTCTTTACATGCAACATCTGTTCGTTTTGCACTACCGTTGAAGTCGATCGCGGTCGTATTTCACAACCTACGTTGTGCACCAACTGCAACACCAATCACTGCTTCCGACTTATACACAATCGCTCAGAGTTCACTGACAAACAGCTAATTAAGTTACAGGAGTCACCGGATGATATGGCGGCTGGCCAAACTCCTCACAATGTTTTATTGTATGCACACAATGATCTTGTGGATAAGGTGCAACCAGGAGACCGTGTTACTGTGACGGGCATATATCGCGCTACTCCCCTTAAAGGCAAAGGAACAAATGTCAAAAGTGTATACAAGACGCACATTGATGTTGTGCATTTCCGAAAAGTTGATAACAAACGTTTATACGAAGAGGAGGAGGGGTGAGTATTACCATAAATGTAATTTGAAGCCATTAGCTTATCCTTGAACAATTTCAGAAAAGACCACATTTTCCCACCGGAGCGTATTGAGCTCCTACAGTTGCTGTCGAAAAAGCCCGACATCTACGATCGCTTAGCACGTGCCATCGCTCCATCTATCTATGAAAACGATGACATCAAGAAAGGTATTTTGTTGCAGTTATTTGGCGGCACTAAAAAGAAACACGCAACCTTGGGTCGACAGAACTTCAGGTCGGAAATTCACTTGTTGCTTTGTGGAGATCCAGGCACTTCGAAATCTCAGATGCTGCAGTACGTTTTCAACTTGGTACCACGATCCCAGTATACCTCAGGTCGAGGTTCCTCAGCAGTAGGTTTGACTGCCTACGTTACCAAAGATCCAGAGACACGGCAATTGGTTCTACAAACGTGTGTTGATTTCTCATGCTTCATTTTGTTGGCGACATTTTGAAAAAAATATCTCTATTTTAGTGGCGCTCTTGTTTTGGCTGACAACGGTGTATGCTGCATCGATGAATTTGATAAAATGAACGACTCCACGCGCAGTGTTTTGCATGAAGTAATGGAACAACAGACCTTAAGTATTGCCAAGGCCGGTATCATTTGCCAGCTGAACGCTCGCACCTCCATTCTAGCGGCAGCAAACCCCGCAGAATCGCAATGGAACAAACGCAAAAACATAATTGATAACGTGCAGTTGCCCCATACGTTGTTGTCACGTTTTGACTTGATTTTCTTGGTTCTGGATCCACAGGATGAGATTTTTGACAAGCGCCTAGCGAGTCATTTAGTTTCATTATACTATGTAACACGTCATGAAGAGGAGGACACTATGTTTGTAAGCATGAATTGTAAAATAAGAATTCATTTTCGTTTTACATATTTAACGCTTTATTTTTTAGGATATGAGTGTTCTTCGCGACTACATTGCATATGCACGTGAGCACCTGTCACCCACATTGTCAGATGAAGCACAACAGCGTTTAATTCAAGCCTATGTTGACATGCGAAAGGTGGGCGCTGGCCGTGGACAAATTTCAGCCTATCCTCGACAGTTAGAAAGTCTAATACGGCTTTCAGAGGCTCATGCAAAAGTGCGACTTAGCAACACTGTCGAGCTAAAAGACGTTGAAGAGGCTTGGCGCTTACACCGCGAAGCTTTAAAGCAATCTGCTACAGATCCTCTGTCAGGCAAGATCGATGTTGGTATCTTGACCACCGGTTTGTCGACGGCAGCTCGCAAGAAACGCGCCGACCTGGTAGCCGCCATTAAGGAAAATCTCAAAAAGAAAGGGAAGGTGCCCACGGTGCCGTACCAGAAACTGTTCAAGGAGATAAAGGATGCCTCACAAATAGTAAGTGAATTTTTGTTATCGTTAGCAGAAATATATCATGTTAATTGTCTTCTGTAGCTTATTACCCGCGAGCAGTTCGAAGATGCCCTGAAGGAAGTACAAGACGAAGGAGCTATTGTTGTGATGGGCAAAAATACCATTCGAATTTGTTAAATTTATTACATTTTCATAATTTTTTCTTAATTTAATTCAATACTGTGTTTTTAATAAAGTAATTTTTCCAATACAGTAAGTTTGAATTCAGTGCACATTTTCTTTCAGGTGCAAACATACTTGTAGTATGTACATACATATGCACATTCACATAGGTATGTTTATAATCATCGCTATTCTATGCTCTTCAAAATAAACTCCGTCGGTTATGTCGATTTTTTCTGGCGGAGGGTTCCGTTTTAAAACAATCCCGATCGAAAATATAAGTTTATAGGTTTAGTTTTTTGAAAACTAAAATAATGAAATACATAAGTGACACCTCCGTACATAAACATGTTATACCATTTTTTAATGGATCGGGTTTGTGTCCGATTTTGGTACGATTTGATATCCCAAGCGCGGGGTATTTTTTAAAATAAATTTCGGGTACTCCAAATGTATGGATGTATATCGATAACATAAATGAAACTTTACTGGGCTGCCAACTCAACCGCGAAGTGCATTCTTTGCTATCTGGCAACGCCAAATGGTCATTCGTTGTCTTGGCGAGGAGGGCAAGGGTAAGCACAGTGCATAAAATAAAATACACAAATAAAAATGCCATCAGATCCCGAGGAAAGCAGTAGAAATATGGAGTTTGGGAAAAGCTCAGATCAGTCGCTACACAGTGCCTCCGAGACTTCGGTGGATTCAAACAGCCTGCTGAACAGTGAACTGGCTGTTGGCCGCGACAACACACCTACAAAGCGAGAACGGCGCAAGTCCCCAGCAACTAGTTTTGGCTCGGATAATACTAGTACCAGCGTACAACCTCCAATGTCCCCAACATCATCGCTGGCTGATATTACTTTTGAGCCAACAATCGATATGATGGTGAATGATTTTGATGATGAGGCAACTTTAAATGAGGAGGAGGCCCTTGCAGATCTCGAGGCCCACAATCCGGAAGATGAGATTGCCACGCTTCGAGAAGAGAGTGAAATGCCTATCGAAGAACTGTTAGCTAAATACAGTGGCATAACAGATGTTGAAATGCCGCAATTGCCAACGTACAGTTCTAGGCGCGCCGGCAGCTCCAGGCGGAAGCGGCAGCATCAAGAAGTTGAGGAAAACAGAGCTATTGCCGAGGTTCAAAAAAGCGAGCCAAGCCAACCAAGCGGAAGTGGTGGGGAACATTGCATTGATTTAACAATTGCCCAGCATCAGGTCGTTGATGTGGGTGAGTTGAGCAACTTAACATCTGTATCGGCACATTTCAATGACGTTCTGTTGGAAACCGATGAAATGCCAGCTATTTTACCTCCCGAAGTTGAGAAAAAACACCATCGTTCACATTTACTGGATTTGTATCCGGATGAATCATTTGGAGAAAATACACAGGCATTGAACTCCTTGGATGTTCTTGAAAATTGTAGGTGTTGGTCAAACATTTTGTTCTATAAAATCAAATTCTGTGTTCTATAGTTGAGAATTTTTCAGTTACACCTCTTCAAAATCTGTTTGGAGACGTAGAACCCGAAGAAGACGAAGACAGCGATACCGACTCTGACGATGCCAGAAAAATCATTATGGTTGGGCCAGATTATCAGGCTGAAATACCCGAAGGCCTGTCGCAATACGGCGATATTTTACCATACGAAAATGAGGATCAATTAATTTGGGAACCCAGCCAAGTCAGTGAACGTGCAGTAGAGGATTATCTTACAAAAATACAAGAAACTAAAAGCACCGCACCAACCGAAGACAGTCTTACCCAAGGAGCAGGAGAAGTTGATGAATTAAACGTTGATGAGGTAGCAACAGCGGTGATACCATCGTCGACAGCAATCCAGCATGGAGGAACTGCTAGTAATGAAATAGAATCAGTTGTAAAGGATAATGAGCAAGCCCTTCACTTGCTAGTTCAATGCGGCTATGACTTTAAAGAGGCTTTGCGCCGGAAGCGTTTAAATGTAATGCCACTCTGCAGTGACGCTATGAGCAGCTGGTCGGAGGATGAATGCCAAAAATTTGAAGAGGGTATACAGAAGTTTGGCAAGGACTTTTATCAGATACGCCAGAATCAGGTAAAGGTCCCGTCAACGACACACACACGTACCAACTAATGCCAACTAATATGGTGTTCGTTCCTAGGTGCGCACGAGAACTATGCGCGAATTGGTGCAGTTCTATTACCTATGGAAGAAAAGCGAGCGTCGCGATCAAAGCTTTGCTCTGAATGATACCATCGATCACATGGATGTGTTTATAAATGAAGGAGGCGATCGCGCCGGAAATGGTAATGGCAATGGTAGTTGTTCATCCCATGGCAGCAGCAATAGCAGCAATGGCCACGGCAATGGTAACGGCAACGGTGAATACATTCAGGATGGTGTAACCATACGGAAGTCCACATCAAAAAGTTATTCAATAATGACTGGCAACAACAACAACGCTGCGACTGCATCCACCGCAAACCGAAAACGCAAAGGATCTTTTGCCCTTGAGGACGACGAAATAGAAGATGAGTGTACTTTGGCCGATAATTAAGTTACATACATGTATGTATGTGTATATGTATAGAGAAATATGTATGTATATGTGTAAGTTTAGGGCGCTGTATTTGGTAGAACTTCAGTGTGGCGAGCGTATGTATATTCCATACGTTACGCGGCAACTACAACAACAACGCCAAAAACCATAGAAATAGGCAACGGCACAACATTGAGACCAAATGCGCAGGCGCTTTCGACTCAACGACGGCTGCTGGAGTAAAATGGCATAGTATTAAGTTTAAAGTACCATTCAAAATAAATGTGTAGTATACAATATATCGATAACTACATACATACATATATATTCCAGATTCTTGAATCGACACCTCTCATACTTATTACTATTAACTCGTATTGATAAGCAGTTGTATGTGTACTTGTCGTGTAGAAAACTTAAATACTATGACGTGCATAACACGTCTATATTAAATTATTTCCTAATCGAGTACATACATATTTATAAAACTTCTCCGGTTCCGTTGATTTTTGAAAATCAATAAAATTATTCAGTATCAATGTGAGAAACGTATTTAAAAGCGCGTTTTTATTCGTTTATTTTAAAAATACGTTTGGTCGTCCTGCTCTCCTAAAGAAACATTACAACAAAATGTGATTATAATATTGCAATAGTCGATTGATGTCACATTTATTTATAACCATAGTTTTCCATTTATTTTGTTATTATTTTAATAGGTCTGCTACACATTAGCACAACTTCCGCCGTACTTTATGCTCATTCCTAATAATGCCTTAGACGAACAGCATAGGATTGTTAGAGTCGAGGATTTTCGAAAAGTTATAATAAAAATAATTAAGTTTATTCTATTCATTTTTAATTTTATAAATCTGTGCTTTACATATTTGAACTAAATCAGCTGCATAGCAACAGATTTGAATGTATGCACGTTTACGGTTTTATGTACAATTTTTGTTATGGCGTATTTACTAACATATGTACACACATACATACATTTGTATGTACATTCATATGGATGAACATAAAATAATTCAAGTAAATATACAGTTATAGCAGTGTTCAAAAATCCAAATATGTATTACATATGTATATATGTACATATACATATGTATATGTATGTATGTATGAATGATTTTTCGTAACTTTGCTACGCAGAAGTATGGATCAAATTTTAACAGAAGCTCAGAAAAAGCTCTGAATGTACATATGTATGTATGTATATTTTTTGCATATTTGTACATGTATGTATGTATATGTAAATGTGCATATGTATAATTAATTATTTGCACAGATACGTACATACATACTTATGTATGTATGTACATATAAAAATAAAGACCCCAGACGATAGTGTGGTCGCCAATTCTCAAATTTGCTTTGCTTGCATTTTCGTACATAAAGCATAGGACAAACGCTACACGCACATGCAGATAAACACGTAACACAGACACAGAGAATACATACAAACTTATGTATGTACGTGAAGTGTGCATACATATGTACATATATGCATATACATATGTATATACATACATATATACGTACATTTAAAAAAAAAATGTGGAGATAGTAAGCCCCGCAATATCACAATCAAGAGACGATCGTGCAAAACGAAGTTTTAAGTTGGCATGTCTTCCTCTCTTTTCCGCAAGCTTCAATATTTCACGCTTACTCCATGCCATGCAGTCCAACCGACCGTAGTGAAATCCAGTTTTGATAAAAATAAACAAAGCGCAACAAGTACGCTACAGTCCGTCAACGCTCGATCAATTGAAAGAATAATTAAATAAATGTAATTACGATGTAAAGTTCTAATGCTTTCTTCTTCTTGTTCCCGATAGTCCAAAATTTTAACCTTTCTGGTTAGAGGAAATTAATCGAAATATATGTACATATGCTATATATATATGTATGTATGTAAGTTTATTACCAATATGAAATATATTGAACACATTTATTTGGAATATCATATTTGCTAAATGCTAAATTAGTGAATTTTCAATCGCAAATGTGGACACCAACTTAAGATTAAACCGAAATCGTTATCGTTTTACTTATGAAAAGTAATAATAATTGAATATGTGATATTGCGCTATTATTTGAATTACTTTACAGCAATTACAAGAAAACGAAAGGATTCTTACATGCACATAGCTCTCAGATGAAGAATTCAGGCTCGTAGAAGACTGATCGTTAGTATATTGCACCGCATTTGCGCTTCGTTGATACCCCTAAAAAATTGAGAAGCAAGAGCAGAGTTAACAACCGTAAAGCGAACGTACCAAGCACGACGGCGGCAGCGGAAGCCGCACATCCGGATAATAGCCCCCTAGTGAACGAAGTGATGTGGCTGGCTCTGCTTTGCATTGCATTCTTCTCAAAGCCTGTTGCCTTTTGGCTTGTGTCCACATCTGACCAACGCCTCTCTCTAGCTTACGCTCTTCTTCGCTTCGTTTGTGCAGCCAAAAGGCACGTAAACTGGTTGAGGTTTGCTGCCGTTGTCGACGATCGTAATGGCGTCGCCGTAGAGTATCTCGATGTGGCCGTATTTTAGTCTGGGTGTAGCGTTTGAGGTGCGCAAGTCGCTACGGCAGCAGCTGCAATATGGAGTTACGTTTCAGCGCGTCACTTGTCCCGTCACCGTCTCCGCCCCCGCATGCGTCCTTTACCAACACTGCAAAGCTACCGATCGAAACGGTGAAGCGGCTTATTGCTGCCGTTTCGCGCAGGCCAGTGTTGTGGTTGCGCAATAACTGTGGCGGTGGTGGAGCGGCTCAAAGGCGGAGTGATATTACGCCAATTTGGAATGAAGTCGGACAGGATGTGAACCTACCAGGTACGTAGTTACATATTATACTTGATCGGCACCATAATTCTATGCTCTTATACCATTTGTAGCCGACATTTGTCGTATAAAGTGGGGTCATTTGCGGGACAACTTTCGTAAGGTGTTCATACGGAATAATTTGTCCCAAGAGACACCCTCTTCTTGGCGTTTCTATAATGATATGCGGTTTATGGAGCGTGCTGTTTCAGAGAATATAATGCGTCAGACGCGGAAAACGGCCGGCGGTAAAAGGGGAAATGCCCCAAATTATTGGTTGGATAGCAACAGTTCACCAGCGTTGGAAAAATGTGAATCAAATGAAGTAAATGTTCCCATATGCGAATTGAACGAGAGCTATGACGCGGAACTTCATCGCCCAAGTTTTTCCGACATCTCTGCCTTCTTTGAAGACAGTCAAACATCGCCACAAAACAAGCGCATCAAATTGGAACCGAGAAGTGCTGCAGATTCTGATGATGATTTCGACGAGGATGCAGCTTCTGACAACGAGGATGAGCGAAATGCAAAACATACTGAGACCGTCTCTACGCCTGATGCAGGTGTTTTCACCATCGAGGTTCTGGACGATGAAGATGAATTGGCGAATCCACTGCCCAAGCTTGAGGAACCCAAGTCGAATGACGTATCCCATATTAACTTACCGGCTCAGCCGACAAATTTGCCATTCAAATATATTAGTACTGATGCATCCACAAACACAGAAGGCAATTTCGGTCAGGAGGATGATGCCGATCGCTTATTTCTTTTAAGTCTGATGCCTTTTCTACAGAAAGTGGATGAGCGTCGGAAACTGCGCGTGCGCCAAAAGTTGCAAAATGTTTTGGTTGAGGAGCTGGAATTCGGTTAACCAAAATTTTGTAGCGCGTAGTCTGGCTTTATCCACAACTTACATACTATGTACATATATTATTACAACATAAGCATAGCTTTCACTATTACATTTATTATAGGACTGATGTAAATTAAAAGATCCACGGGTTTTCTAACAGAGGAAACTTAAAACAAACAAATACAAACTACTTATGTACGTAAATACAATACAATGCACGAAACATACATACATATGTTGTATGTACTTAGATGATAGGAAATACTCGGTGCAACTAATTACCTTGCAAAGGATGCATAAACCTTTACCTGTTCATAAAATTAAGATACCGAGTGCACCTGCGTCTACCTGCGTACTGCGAAGCGCCGTTGCGTTGAAATCTATAAGCTAAGAGCTACGAATTACAAACCCAATAGGTATATTATGTCTTTATGTATGTATGTAGGTACATTCGTACATGTTGGTGGGGGTAGGAAATGGGTACGCCTGAAATGCATATGATGCACTCTCAATTTCTGTCAGTGCAGTAGACTTGGGTTCCTTGGCAAGAAGAAAACAAGTTCCTTAAGGGGTGAATGACGACGCAACCACCGGGCGCTTAGCCGGTGTCTCATTTACTGTACATATCTACATATGTACATATATATGTACGTATGCACATACATATGTACATATAGCCACATTTTCGCGCCACATGCGCTGTTGACGCTTAAGATACGCTGCCGACTTCGCTCTCTCTCTCTCTCTCTCTCTCTCACTCACTTTCTCTCTTTATGCACACTCTTTAGTTAGTGAGTATGCTCGGCCGCTCTTTTTAGTTTCATCGACTTTTAAATACTGTACATGTGAAACTATCAACATAGTTGCTTAAAGAATAAGATGGAACATAAGTATTAAATATTCATTTGCTAACTGCAGTCATGAAAAAATCTAAAATTGCGATAGCAAATAATATTTTTTGTTTTTGTATATTTTTATGCATTTATAATAATTGTTACATAAGTACATATGTAAATTATTTTAGTTATACATTTTTTATTGTTCTAATATATATTTGATTAGCATTGATGAAAAAGGAAGATGGGCGTTTTTATATAAATTTGTTAAGAAATTATTCTACGACTATGTTACAAAGTGCTTGACAATTCGTCTATTCTAATTGTCATGTAGAGCAAGAATAACCAAAACAGACGATGGGGCAGGCGGCAGCGCAGACCAAAACGTGCATCACACTCATCCAGTTGTATGTAGTTCCATGTTTTAGTGCGTGCGTGAAGGTTGAAAATTTCGAGAGCGCAAAAGGAGTCGTCGTACTTTAGTTTGTAGCCCCGCGAAGTGGGTCAAAAATGTTCTTAAACTAAACAAAACAAAACAACGACTCTAAAAAAAGTAACAAAGAAAATCACAAAATCCACGCGCATAAAATTTGGTGAGGAAGAAGTGCATCTCAGATAATGAGGCTACACATTCGCCGCACAAGTGAAAATAAATAGAAGATAAAACACACATACACTTATATATATCTCTGTACATATACGTGTACATTAATGTATGTATGTATACAGAAGTATTGTATATCGGCGCATTCTGAGAGAGAGCTCCAAAACGGCTACGGCAAAAAATTGAACGCTGAGCAGCGCATGGAGCGCGCGCACGCAAACATCCAACTGTGAGATACATTTGAGTTTATTTTATTTTTTGTTTAGCTAGATGATGAGCAGCAGTAGCAGCAACATCAGAAACAACAACAGCAACAGAACAACACAGCCATACACACACAGACGCGAGGAGGAATGATTATTATGTTGTGTTTTTAGTTGGAAAGTATCTTTCAGTCGGAAAAAGGAATACACGAATGTCGGAACGAATGTACGGGAAAACGAATTACGCATAAGATCTTTCAGTATAAGACTAAAAAATACAAATTTTCGCTTAATTCAAAACGCACAAAATCCAATTGAAAACGGAAAATCAATAAAACGGCAAAACAAATACATATAAAATAACATAAAAACATTTAACATTAAATTATCTACGCTATTAGAACAACAACAACAGTGATAATTTGTTTGTGCATTCATAAAAATTGTGCAGTTACAAGCGGCTTGCATGAAGCTGCAAGAAAAGGTGTGTATAATTTTCGACTGTAAATATCAGATTGCATAAATGCAACTTTTTCAAATGGAACAAAATTATTGATTGGCGGATTTTGCAATAATTTCGAGAATCACATCTATATGTATGTATATGTGTATGTACATAAATACATTTATGGTATCATGAACACATACTTACATAGATACCTACATATATACACACATGCATGTATGTATATGTCTTACAAATATGTATGTATATTTGTTTGTTTGTATGTATGCACATACATCTGACGGGCTCTATATATACACACAGAAACAGGAATACGTATAGACATGTATAACTACAACCCTCATCCCTTGGTGTTTTTGCGTTGTAGTTGCACGTAGCGCATACAAATACAAACAGTAAAAGGACTTTAACTTCTTGGTCGTGTTTTTTTCCACGTTTCGAGACAGACTGTTTCAATGGAAATGTTCAAGGGTGACAAGGGTGGTTCGTCCTGTGTCTACACGGCGCGAAAATGGCGAGTTTTCTCACCACTCGTATATTGTAGATGCATTTTTAGGACTAAATGCGGAAAGGAATATTATAGAATGACGAATCTTTTTGGTTTCGAAATGAGTTTCTTTTTCCATACTCATACATATGTACATACATATATATGTATATTTCCTTCGTGCAGTACATCGTTATTGATTTATTAAATTATAATATTTTTTAAATGCCGAAAAACCATGCCACATAACACTGATTTAAATAATATTTGGCTTTTGCATATGAAACTATAAGTATAAATTTGTGTAACGCTGCAAACGGTTTTCAATCACGAAAACAGGTTGTAACACACATTTTCCCCAAGTGTACCAGCCGTATTGAAATCTACTATTATTGTTGTTGCTATTATTTTTGTCGCGAGAGGGGTTGAAAGTCGGTCGATTGGGCGTACTTCGCCTGGTCTCTGATACACTCGCTAGCTCGCTCGTCTTCAAGATGATGGCAACCAACAAAACAACCAGTTTATTTTTTAAAAATCCGAAAAAGATTTTTGGGGCACGGGGGTTGTTGGTGTTTGTCTTTCAATATACATACAAAGATACATAAGTATATGTGTATGCATATATTTCATAATTTTCGGAAAAGTCGAATAAGTCAATGGATCAAGCATATCTAAATTAACCAAAATAACTAGTACAGCTAAGTCATCTTTAATTTAAAGCATTTCAAGGATTTGCGCGCGAAAGCGGCCATTTTGGAGGAAAAACCCAAGAGCCTAGAATAGGGCATGACAATAGCGGCGGTGCCATAAATTTACAGCAAGCATGCCAAATTTCATAGATTTGTGCAACTAAGAACACTGTACAGGACATTGGCTTGATCCTCAAAGCATTTTTGTGCCTACAAATTAAAATCTGACCTGCTCTAGCGTCTCACAGCTGCTCGGGTCCTTTCTTAAGAGATCAGCAGAGTATGTTGTTGTTGGTGTCATTGTTGTCGCTCTTATGTGTGTGTACAAGCAAGCCTAAGTAGGCACAATAGGCCAAGAATTTCCCCAGGCTACGTCACAAGCCTATGCAGAAGTTTCTACCTACCTACCTACTTTCTACAATTTTAACACACATAGGCAAAAGCAGCTGCATGCACACACACACACACTAGCACGCTAAGACGCATAAGTCCTTGCTGCACTTGGGACGACTGCCATAAGCATTTCTGGGTACTTAATGCACAGCAGTGCGTCTGGTCGATTCAGTATTCTCCTACTTCGGCATCTGTCAACGTCGTCGTTGTCCTCGTCCTCGTCACCACCTTCATTATAATAATCGAGCCGTAACGCGTTACAAACGCAACGACAAAACGTTCTAAAAAATAATAGTAGCAACAAAAGCCACGTAGAACGTTGGTGAAGAGATTTTTGCAACCCCAATCGAAAATCAAATTTCGGATCACGCCTGGCGTCATACAGCCTGCAGTCCGTTTCTGAGTTCCAGTGTGTCTATCTCCATATAACAGTGCGAGTGCATTTCGATACTTGCAGTGGGAACGTCTTTCAACGACTGCCGCCGTCTCGCCAACAGTCGCCAACACTGTTAACGTAAACGTGATCTCAAACGCGTCTCGCGCCTTCTTATGATGGAACTCTTGTCAAACAATTCAGTTCCGCAACAAATGGCTAGTAGTAATACGCCCACCAATTCCGGCAACCCCGCCGTCAATACAAATGGTGGCAGTGGCGGCAGTATCAGCAGCAATGCCAGCAACTCATCAGAACGCCTTTTGGCCGGAATTCTGGAATCGTTCCCCTCGTGGGATCTTAATGCTGGTCTTCTGCCCAGCATGGGACAAAGTCAGCTAAATGGGTAAGTGTGATGTGCTCTGCAAACACAAGCTAAACTGCAAGTCTAAACCCTATTGCCTTGTAGATCGCCACCACGCACTGACTTCTTTATTAACAATTTTCTGGGCGGACTTGACTCACATGGTGACTTTAGTATTGGGCCCATTGTCAGTGGAGCTCGCAATCCAAAAATGTCACCAGAGTCCTCAAACAATTCGAGCATCAGCTGTGGGTGGTGCGAGGTCAGCGCTTCCATACGCTGCCTGGAGTGCAACGAGTTTATGTGCAATGATTGTCTGCGGGAGCATCGCAACAGTCCGCTATCGTCGAATCATTCGATTGTTTCACTGCCCACGCCCATTGGCGCCTCACCCACCGGTGGCACTTCGGCTAATGCACAGACGCCGGCCAGTTCGAATTTCATATGCGACATCCATAACGAGATGCTGCGCTATGTATGCGACTATTGTCGCAAGCTAGTCTGCCAGTGCTGCACACTGCACGAGCACAAGGAGCACAGCTATGCTTCTATACAGAGCTTCATGGTGGGGTCTAAGGAAAAGTTGGAAAACGCCATTGAGAGCAGTCAGGTGGGCACCAGATGCATTAAGAGCAGCATTGATAAGGCCCTGGCCTTCATACGTCTTATAGAGCGCAACTGCAGTGAGCTTAGCGACAACATACGCAAGGCCTTTCGACAGTTCATTATCGCCATCGAGGATCGGGAGCGGTTCCTGCTCGATTTTGTGGAAAAGCTACGCCAGCGACGTCTCGCGATCTTGCACGATCAGATGGCGGGTCTAAAGTCAGCCCTGGCCGGTCTCTCGGAGACATCAGACATGCTTAGCAAGGTGGCCGATAATGCCTGCACCATGGATCAAATAGAGATTGCAATGAAGTTGACCAATGGACAGCGTCAAATGGAACAGTTCGCGGGTATCTACAAGGACTTACAGCCGAAGCAGGAGGTGTTTGCATTTGCTCCACCCGACTATAGTCTGCTTCAAGACATACGTAATCAGGGTGGCGTCATTCTGGTCGATGATAAAAACATGCCCATCGTATCAAGCACTAATGGCATTGTCACGGCCCCTGGTGCCGGTAGCGGTGCTGGTGCTAGTAACAGTGGAGCTAACGGTGCTGGATCTGGAATTGATATAGCCTTTGGCGCAATGCTGCCGATGCCCAACAATCCTTTGAGCGTTGCCGCAACAAATGTGCGCCGACCGTTGCTTCGTGACAACTCATTTCGCATACCATCGCCCATTATGCAGCCACGAGGAGGCAGCGCCTGTGGCATGTCGAGTGCGGCACTAGACTGGGAATTGAATGGACTGCGTAGCTCTCCGGGATTGCATTTTAGTGCGCCCCGCACCACGCAAGCCATCCCGGGCTGTATGGATCTAGTCAAAGCACGAAACTCGAATGCTCTATCGTTGTCGTTTGCCACCGAGGGCCATGAGGATGGGCAGGTCAGTCGTCCGTGGGGCTTGTGCGTTGACAAGATGGGTCACATATTGGTCTCAGATCGTCGAAACAATCGTGTTCAGGTTTTCAATCCCGATGGCTCGCTTAAGTTCAAGTTCGGTCGCAAAGGTGTTGGAAATGGTGAGTTTGATTTACCGGCGGGCATCTGTGTGGATGTGGACAATCGCATAATTGTCGTCGACAAGGACAACCATCGGGTGCAGATCTTTACGGCCAGCGGCGTCTTCTTGCTGAAGTTCGGTAGCTATGGTAAGGAGTACGGCCAGTTTCAGTATCCCTGGGATGTGGCTGTCAACTCGCGACGTCAAATCGTTGTTACCGACTCGCGCAATCATCGCATACAGCAGTTTGACTCTGAGGGACGCTTCATACGCCAAATTGTGTTCGACAATCATGGACAGACAAAGGGCATAGCCTCGCCTCGTGGTGTCTGCTATACACCTACGGGGAACATTATTGTTTCGGACTTTGATAACCACTGCTTATATCTCATAGATCCAGATATTAACGATGTAAGTATCATGTCCTTGTTCTTCATTTTATTTTGATAATATTTTCGATTCCAATCTCGTACAGATTCTTTCCGTCAAGGGTCACGAAGGCTCCGGTTTTCATGAGTTTAATCGTCCGTCAGGCTTGTGCTGCGATGATGAGGGTCGCATTATCGTTGCCGATTCAAAAAATCAACGCATATTGGTCTTTAATCAAAATCTGGACTTTCTGTGGGATGTAAGTACAAATTAATAAATAATCTAAAATTTTATATAAGTTATAAAGCTAATAAAATTCTTCAACTTTTCAGATTGAGGTGCGACCATCAATTAACCCTCTGATGCCGCCAACGCTTGACGAAAAAGACCGCACTTGCGATGTAGCACTGATGCCCGACGGGAGAATTGTATTCCTCATAGAACTTTCACCGGATTCCAAAGAAGGGTCTAACCCTTATAAGCGGTTTGTGCACGTATTCTAAACTAGTTAATAACTGAGTGGGACGAGGGAGAAGAGTAAATGAAATGAGTAATGTGGAATACAAGATCAAATTGATAAACATAAGCACACCTTTTTTAGACCATTTACAAGCCCCAAGCATTAGCATAGAAAACCCACAAGAGCATTGAAATTAGCGAAAATTTTTAGCATAAGTGCTACAACGATTACCTCGATAATGCTTAAGAGTTGATTAATTATGGTTGCAAAACCAATTAAAACTAATAACAAGTAAAATACTTACCAACAGGACGAATGCGTTCAGTAGGATTTAGGCTAGAGAAACGTACCATTAACAACAAACAAACCAGAACAAACCAACAAACAAAACCAATTTATATGTTTGTATGTCTACAATTAAAAATGTAGGTACTTCATACATACATACATTCATAGATACAAATATTAATTAATGTTAGTTAGTTAGACTGATGGCAGTTTGCTAGCTGAGAAAGATCTGGGCGGGGTGTGTTTTTTGTGCAGCAAACAATTGAGTTTGGAAAGTTGCTTACAGGGGAGAGCTACTGCTACTAAGTTTTGTTTCGACGAGTTACTAAATAATTTCTTAGTGGTATTCTTTTGATTTATGTATTTCAATTTTTTATGGTACTCTACTAGTTTTTATTTTTAATAATTTCTTATATTTGAGACTGAGAAAGTGAGTACGAAACTTTGAAAAAAAAGAGAAGAGGGAAGAACGAGGAAAATAATATAACACAAAAGGTAATTTTAAATGAAACCCGCTGACTTTTGGTTGAACTTTTAACGAAGACTGATTAACTAAAAGGCAATTTGCGCCAACTGAACGCCATACATAAATACATAAGTATATGTCTGGTGAGGCCAAAAATTGCAATGACATTGATACCATAACGTAACGTAACGTAACAAACATACTTACATACATGCATACATAACTACATATAGTACATACATAGCTAAATGTAGCATAACTTAATGCAACATTCAGTGACATCAATTCATGGGCATAGCTTAAACCGAGTTTAACTGATACACACACACATACATACATACATACATAAATATTAAATACATGCAAGCATTTGTACATCACAACCGACCCCATTGTCGGATCATCATCAAGTAAACCACATTATTGTAATTATTATTATTTTTTTTCTTAAATTCAATCATTATTATTGAATATGGCATATTTACGAAATGATGAGAAAGGAGAAGAAAGGTTAGCAAAAAGTTATCATAATTTTTGACATAAATGTGTTCATTAGCATTTAGTAGAGTTTAAATCTAGCGGGCGTGGCATGGTGAAAACATATAAAAATTCAGAGCAATAAGATAATGGGCGTATTGAATACATATTTAGGTGACATGTTCCTCACAAAAAACAAAACAAACAAACAAACGAAACTTAAAAATGAAAAGCAAGCATTCGATTAGCAAATTATTCTTAAATCAGTTTTATATAAATACATGGAAATGCTGCTAATGGCACAAGATACGTACATAAATACATACATACATCAATACCTAATTTGACCGTTCGAAACACCCCCGAAAACTACATACTCGTATGTATATGAGAGTGCTAAATGAAAATAACTGACATGAGTTGCAATGCGCCCGAAAAGCGCTTAAAATGTATTAGCTAACTAGTTATGTTCTTATTTAAAATGTTTTGTTCTTTCGTCGACCATATTGTATTTGTTCATACCTGAAAATCAACTGAGAGAGATTGTAAGAGAGAGCGAGCTAAAACTCCTTCCACATATAAAGCAACATGCATAAAATGCGCAAATAAATAAACATAATAATAATAACGAACAAAAAAAAAAAAAAAAAAGAAAAGCATAAAAAGCATTGGCTCTGCGAGAGCTTATGTGAAAAAAAAATTATACATACATATATATATTTATTACAAAAACAGAAAATTATACTATATATACATACCTATATATTTAGTGTTTAACAGAAGCGTAGTTTAACTTTTACAAAACCACATTTAAAAGCCATTCATTTATTTAAATATGTTTTAATTATATTTGAAACTTTGAATGCCTCCCCATTACTGCCATACATAACACATTATTATTTGACATTCATACTCGTACTTTGAAGCGCCGTTCATTTTTGTGATTGCTGGTAGCAACCAGATCAGAATCGTTTCTCCACAATTGTACTATAAATACAAACATGAATATACATACATATACATACAAGTATATGTATGTATATACATATATATACAACAATAATATACATACCACATACGAGAAACGCCATATTTTATTTTATATGTATGAGATTTACTAAAACAAATACTAAAATCATTACAAATGAGCGCCGTTTTTTAAAAGCCACAGTTTTGAAATTGTGTAAAAAACCAAATTAATATTGAGATTTAAAATGCCATAATTTAAAATAAAAAGCATTTAAACGTATATCTAAAGAATACTAAAGTATGTCAAACACAAAACTAAAAGTCATGAATACTGAACAATTTGCCAAAGGCTTAAGAATCAAAACAAAACAAAAACAAAAGATCCTCTTAAGAAACTTCATAAATGTCATAGAGATATACACATAATTCTAAATCACACAACGCATTTAACTTACTTCATTAACGTCATAGAGAGAAGGTACATAAGTACATACATACATATGTAGCTTTTTTAGTAAACATATTCATTACATATACTATATATATATACAGACACACATACATAAATAGCTAATTAAACATTTTCATACCAAAAAGTAAAATCGCAAGCAGGTATTTTTTCAAGTAAATATTTAACGAATATTCCAAAAAGTTGGCCCACTGTTAATGCTACAACCTAAATGCTCATATACAAGTAGCTTATTAACGAACTAAACGAATCCAAAACCAAAATCAGGTATTCATTTTTTTCATATAACTAGATTGGTAGGTAAACGAATAAAATATTATGACTAAAAATATTTAGTAGAAGTAACCATGTAACGTGAAAATAATTTTCTAAGAAGAAATTAATTTAAAATAAAAAGAACTTTGATAACAAATCTATTGATGATGCTAGGAGGAATTCTTATACATAAATGTATATCAAAATGCAATTTTGAATAAAAAGTTTTATAAATGATATGTTGATGACAATTCTCCCTGACAGAGAACAAGAAATAAGAAAACAGAATGTTAATGCGAGCATTACTAAATATTTTTCAACTGCATTAGCATTAGCTATTAAGTTACAAACTACATACATACATGCATACAAACATATGTAAACAAACAAACAAAACAATTAAACCCATATTTTTTCGGCAAGCAAAATTCTTTCCTACAAATATTCGGACTTTGAAATACACACATACGCATACATACTAACATATGTAATAGTTATGGAGCAATTGAGTACAAAAAGAGTACAAATTTAATTGATAAGTTTTCAAAAACAAAACGTATGAAAAAAGCTAAAAAAAAAAACGATTTAAATTCAAAATGAACTCAAGAAATTATAAGCCAGTTACTGGTTTCTAGCTAGTTATTACGAATACTACATATAGAAACATATACATACATAAATACATACATATGTATGTATGTGCATATAATCATTCATATGTGCATACACATATGCATACATAAATAAATACATACATATGTACTTGCAGCCGCCATATTGACAGAAGCGCTCTCTAGCAAATTATATTTAAAAACTAAAACTCAATGAACCTTTTTTAAAAGTACATTAACTTTATAATACTTATACAAACATACATACATACATACATACATATATGTGTGTGTATGTTCGTAAATGCGACTTAACCACTGACAGTGTGACTGCTGACAATGCATTCTCCATACCATATACGAGTACTACATACATACATGCATATGTAGATACATAAATGCATACAATACCAGCATATATACATATACAAATATATATATACATACATGCATACATACATACATATAAACTTACTATATGCATATGAACGTACATACATAAATAGTTCTAGCTTAATGTTATTCTAAAACAAAATTGTAAACTTCCCTTTTGATTTGCTAAAGGATCCCGAATTTTGGCATTCATTTCAATGATAACAACATTAAAATACATGCATACATATGTATAAACTATCATTCTCCGACATTCACACAAACACACAACACACATGCATTCTAGGCTCTAGGCAGTGCAACAGATATATTGCATATACAAGTACATACTTACATACTTACATATAGCTCATAGGAATATGAATGAAATTAATAATTATGATCAAACGAAAACTGTCAACATCAATTGAAAATCAGAGAACAAGTTGCAGTTGAATGTAACTATGTAAAAGTGGAAACAGAAATTATATTATGTATTGTAATGGATTGTAATTTTTTCTATATACATACATGCAAACATATTTATACATATATGTATATATTATATACATACAGATACATACATAGATGTGGGACAAGACAAGAGTATATTTTATACGATAAACAAATTTTATAACATATTTAATAATAAATTATACACTAATAATGCAACAGTAATATCCTGCAGTTTTATTCCCCAGCAAATTTTTATCTACAGAGCATAGTTTTAGGCTGGTTCACTAGTATGCCAAAAACATACAAACATACTCTTATAAACAGGTCTGTTTGTACTTGTAAGTATGTCTATGTAAATAAATACTACGTTTCGGATCTAGGTTATTGCAAGACATATGTATATGGCCTCATTATTCTATATACCAGTCATAGGAGCGATCGGTGGAAGGACAACTTAAGCAAATGTGGTAATTATGAGCTTTTTTTAGTTTTACCAAAATGGTTAAACTTTATCACATAGCTGCAATAGGCATGAGGTTCATTTTAGTTGAGTGGCTGCTAATGGGTGCAGGATATCTAAAATTTAACTATTTGATATACTTGTCTGATGTAGTTGGCCTTGACGAACATATTATCTGTGAGCAGCAAAATGAATCCTCAATGCGTAGCTGTATGGAATAACAAGATGATAAGTATACTATATAGTAGTAGTAACTTAAATAACTTTCCACTTATCAGTGCAGAGTATAATAAAGTCATACAATAATGTTATTTTAATAACAAGACAAGACTCGTGTCTACACAACACTTATCGTTAGATTGACGAATTGTGTCGAAAGTCCATAACACATGCACACACAAAGTAGCTATTTTTGGCGAACCCACATCTCAGAAACCGCTGCGCAGTTGGCAATTATTTCCGAAATATGGTACATTCGGCTCTACTACAAATATGTAGCAGTTGCTGGAGTAAGTGCTGGTACAGATTTATATAAAAGGAATGAACAAATGTGTAATGGCAGCTGGATGTTTCATAACATTTATGGCAAAACTTTATTGGTAGTTACGAAGAACGAGTTTTCAATCCACCTATTTGCCTTGGCTACGCTGGGGTCTGTCTTAATTGAAGTCTTGGTAATTTAAGCCGGCACTAGTTGGCTCAATATATGTGTGTACACGTATGTAGTAATTAGAGAATATTATACCCTTCACTTTTTATAAAATGTTAATTGAGTTTGTCTCTATATTGCTGCTATTAATAAA